ACTGCCAACTTCACGTTTTATAAATTTGCTACTGCTACTGCTGAGCTACTGCTACTGCCAACTTCAAGTTTTATAAATTTGCTACTGCTACTGCTGAGATACTGCTACTGCCAACTTCACGTTTTATAAATTTGCTACTGCTACTGCTGAGCTACTGCTACTGTCAACTTCAAGTTTTATAATTTTGCTACTGCTACTGCTGAGATACTGCTACTGCCAATTTCACGTTTTATAATTTTGCTACTGCTGAGCTGTCCTACTGCTACTGCCAACTTCACATTTTATAAATTTGCTACTGCTCTTGCTGAGCTACTGCTACTGCCAACTTCAAGTTTTATAATTTTGCTACTGCTACTGCTGAGCTACTGCTACTGCCAACTTCACGTTTTATAATTTTGCTACTGCTACTGCTGAGCTACTGCTACTGCCAACTTCACGTTTTATAATTTTGCTACTGCTACTGCTGAGCTACTGCTACTGCCAACTTCACGTTTTATAATTTTGCTACTGCTACTGCTGTGCTACTGCTACTGCTAACTTCACGTTTCCTACTGCTGCTACTGCTACTGCCTAATTCCCATATAAATCTGATAATCGTTTTCAGAAATGGCGGCCCACTGAGACAATATGAGCACTGGATGTAAAATGAAAATGAAATAGAAGTTGTCAATTGTTACAATTACCTAGGAGCATACTTTACCCCGAAACTCGACTCTCATGGATTGAAACGAAAGATGTACTAGCCATACAGGCGACCAAGGCTGTAAATGTTATTTATGCTTATCAGAAACATTTTGGTTATTTTAGTGTTAATGGTGCTTTCAAACTATTCGATGCTATGGTAAAACCCATTTTGACTTACTCATCAGAGATTTGGGGATATAAAACATGTCGACAGATCGAAAATGTGCATATATCATTTTGCAAAAGGATAGCATATTTAAATCAAAACGTTGCAAGTTTCTTTAACCTTAGTGAATGCGGACGCCTTCCAATTAGTGTAACATATATATCGATGGCTCAGCGCAATTCTGGTCTAACTGCTATTTTTGAAAATGTTCAGGGGAGACAAAAAACTGATTTTATTCAAAAATACTTAAATTAGAAAATATTTTTTTGCTATGTTAACATTAATTATAATAAGAAATAATGCCATTTATATAATTTTTTATTAAAATGTTACAAATTGTGTATTTTAGAAATAGACATTTATGGCGCTGAAATTCTGAGCGCAATACAAGACTTACTTGAGTTAGACTCAAATTCCCTCTTGCAATTTGGTAAAAGTGGTACAAATATTTGAGTTAGACCTGTTTTATGTTATATATTCTGATATAAATTTGAACAAAATTGTTTTGTTAATTTAAACATTGTTTAAAATATTATGCAAGTCTGTAGAAAAACTTTACAAAGACTAAATCCTTTAATATTTTTTTATTAATATATCATGCTAGCTGACTTTAGATAAATGTACACTTATATAATTCTTCTTTTTCAATTTGTTTGAGATTCAGATTCACTTAAGATCTTTTGCAGATTATCTGTGCAATAAATTTGAATTCTAAACAAAATGCAAACAGTTTTGATGCATATAGTGTTATGAACAGTAGTCATGAACAATGGTGACTGACAACCCAGGTCATCAAAGTTTGAAAACAGGGATTAATGTACATTTTCTATAACTCACATTTGTACAAAGAAGAAACATTTTATTTTCTCAATGCACACCATTACCACCATTGGTGCTTAAATGCTGTGATTTCCATATTACTCTTATGCGCTAAATCTTAATGAATTTAATGTATGTGGTCCTCTATTCTGATGATATAATCATTTATAAATATCAAATATTTTCAAAAATGAAAGCCGCTGTTAGACCATGCTCTTATTACATATTTTGTATTTACTTTCTCAACTGTTTAGAGTATATTTTGAACGTGAAATGTGCAATTTTTATGACATGTTTTGCTGAAAACTGTGCATATGTTAAGAAAAGTGTTTCATTTTATATATCAAAGTCATTTAACCTCTAAATTTTGACCAAATTAGAGGTTGTCAAACATATTTTAAGAGAAAAAAGTAGGGCAGTACAACCCACTATCAGGGATTCATAGAACAAAGTATTGTTAGTACAGTCATGATATAATTTAGAATCATTATTGTAAAGTTAAATGTGCTTTAAACACTTGCAACCACTTACTCATTAAGATATGAAAAGGCGCACACCTGAAATGCACCATGTGCACATATTAGATTAGCACCAAACAATTAGAATGGATAAATGTTTGTATTTTCTCATTGACACTGATACTATACCAAAAGCAGTTGATAGTCATTACATTTTAAATTTCATTAAATGATAGTCATTTCATTTTTAATTTCATTAAATTTGATAGGTAAAATTAATGGCTTTAAGATCTAAAATGAAACATTTTTATCAACTTATAGCTGTTTCTGCCACATAAGTCAAAGAGTTTTTGACAATTGCACTCTTGAAAATTCAATGGAGCTGTGTGATGTAAAAAATTATCAGAAAACAAGAACTGAAAAGGTCATTATAATATATAAGTGTGCATATTTTTTAATTTTTTTCTGCACATATCACATCAGACAGAAAGATATTGTATCAATAATATAAGTATTGTGAAGAGTGTGATTTGCACATGTTGACACTATGTTGTTATTGTATTGTTTGAGTTGATCAAGTGTAAAGTTTTTATTTCTAACACGACCCACATTTTTCCCGTTTGAACATAGAAGAACCGAAAGTATGTGTTATTATGATCACTGTTTGACGTTCTATATTTAGACGTGTGACATTATCATTATACACGTGACGTAACCACTAAAAATGTGACGTGCTGACAATAAGACCGGAAACAAATCAGGCGCAATTTAGCTAAATATCAGGTACGTGTTAATGTCGTGTTAGAATTGAAATAATATATCCAAATCGGTGATTTTATTGCTTGATAACATTCCTGTTTGTCGTTCGGATGCGCATCATTATATCACTTAGGCTACGCCCTCGTGATATAATTCCTAGCATCCGAAATCCAAACAGTGATGTCAAAGTCTGTTATAATTGTAACAAATATACAAATAGTAACAAAAGGGACTAATATTATAATACAGTAATATTACATGCATATTTTTCATGTCAAATTAAAAAAATGGTTTCTTTCAATACTGAAAGTAGAACACATTCTGGAATGAAAAAAATGGGATGAATTTCAAAAAGACCAAATTCAGGATTTTTTTGTTTCTTATACACGCGTTACATGGTGATACAGTATTTATCAATATAATAGAAGACTGTTACCTGAATGTTAGGTAAGCATGAGGACATTCACTAATATCATATTCGTGCGAGACAAAGATATGAAAGCTATTCGACATTGGTAATATATAAAAAAAACTATTGTTAATTAATTTTTAGGGAGATCAATATATATTATTTGTTGAATAGCTTTAAAACCACTCATAAAAAACATTAAACTTCATGTTCAAACTGCAGATCAAAGTTTCTGTCGTTGTCATGATATCTATGTTAGCCATGTTTTTTTACACTAAAGTCTGTCTAAAGTGAAAGTAGGCCAAAATTCATATAACAAAAGAAACTCTTATTGTAAAATGATGAACCATTTGAAAGTACACTTTTAGATTTATATTTTAAGGACAATTATAAACAAAAATAAAAAATATGTCATTTCAAATAAATCAGTTCAAATATCATGCCTGATCGCTCTCCTTTATAATTGCTCAGCGCTCACAGGCGCGGAGCTATTTGTGTTTACTATTTTTATTGTCCATTGGCCCGGATTTGAGCAATAAATCCTTTCGGCAAATGGCAAAATCCAGTTTAAAGTCTATTTTAGTGCAAACAAATGCTATTTTTGCAGAAAATACAAAAAACTTTAAAAAACATAAATCTTAGGAAAGTAGTTTATCTGACCTTTAAAAAAAATATGGCCACCATGACATGTGTGAAAAAGTAGAACAATGAAAATAAACATCATTTACCTATTTCTTGTGTACATGACAAAAAAACAGACTTCACTGTTACACATAAAAAGGTTAGATTTTAAAGTTTGATTGTTTTTCATTTTAATTGTAGTTCATAAGGCTATACATGATGATTGTTTTCTTGCACTACTTCTTTACAAAAATAATGGAGGCCATGTGCTTAGAATGACATGAGATACTGATTTATTTGGAGTTAAGTTTGGGAATATTTTTATATTTGCTGCAAAAAATAGCTTTTGTTGGCACTAAAACAGACTTTAAAAAGGATTTTGCCCTTCATGAAATGTATAAAACATTTGCAACAGAATGTTTTTGGTCTTCAGAAATGTAGCACATTCAAGGTAAATATTCTTATTGTTATCATTTTTATTTTTGTTTATAATTGTCCTTAAAATATAAACCTGGAAGTGTACTTTCAAATGGTTCATCATTTTACAATAAGAGTTTCTTTTGTTATATGAATTTTGGCCTACTTTCACTTTGGACAGACTTTAGTGTAAAAAAACATGGCTGACAAAGCAGAATTACCATAAGTATAGGCTAAAGATAGATATCATGACAACGACAGAAACTTTGATCTGCAGTTTGAACATGAAGTTTAATGTTTTTTATGAGTGGTTTTAAAGCTATTCAACAAATAATATATATTGATCTCCCTAAAAATTAATTAACAATAGTTTTTTTTATATATTACCAATGTCGAATAGCTTTCATATCTTTGTCTCGCACGAATATGATATTAGTGAATTTCCTCATACTTACCTAACATTCAGGTAACAGTCTTCTATTATATTGATAAATACTGTATCACCATGTAACGCGTGTATAAGAAACAAAAAAATCCTGAATTTGGTCTTTTTGAAATTCATCCCATTTTTTTTCATTCCAGAATGTGTTCTACTTTCAGTATTGAAAGAAACCATTTTTTTAATTTGACATGAAAAATATGCATGTAATATTACTGTATTATAATATTAGTCCCTTTTGTTACTATTTGTATATTTGTTACAATTATAACAGACTTTGATATTTTTATCATCTTTTGTTACTGACTACAGTAGTGACACAAGCAGAATACAGTACAGTCATGTCACATAACATTTACAAGTCTTGTTTGTATTCAATGGAATTACTTTCCTTACCAGGTAGGCATCAATGAAAGCATTTTTATATTAAAAATTTTCCCCTCTTTTTAATTATGGACAGTGCATAAGATAAGTATAATTATGCAAACAATGGTTTACAAAACATTCGGAAAAAATCTACAATAGTACTTAATCTGAATATAACATGGCTTGTGCGTAGGACTAATTTGGAAAGGTATCTGTGATGAGCACATTTTTGCGCGGAGCTTCTAAATTGCTGCATTGCAGCAACATTTGTACTTGTACACTGTGATATTTTACATTTAACGTATTGTCACAATATTCATTGCTCTAGAATACAATGTTACATAAGTCGTGATATCATTACACACTGCCATATATACACTGTCACGACACACATGTTACACTTTCATTCAACACAAGTCACACTATACACTGTTAGATAACAAAAGTTCACAATTGACATTATTATAGGATATTTTAACACTATCACATAAAAATGATTATATCATGCACTGTCACATAACACAGGGTCACATTCCACACTACCACATAACATATATACCCATTATACATTTAAACAACAAAACGTCACATTTTACACTGCCACTCAACACAATGCAATGACATGATGTACATATTTTATCATTATACGTTAACTTATACATTCACGTGTTAAACTTCGTTACATTATGTGTTGAGACATTATACATAGTTAAATTATAATACAATGACATGATATACTAGTATTTCATTATATGTTAGATTATACATTTACATGTTACATAATGGTGTAATCATACATTGTAGTAATTATACATTGGCACGACATACATGGTAAAATTATACACTGACACCTTGTACATTGTTAATTTATAAATTGACAATTATACATTGATAAATTTTCCACCTTATATATGTTGTTAAACACTATATTGACACTTTATACATGATTAAAATAGTAATTGACACTTTATACATGATTAAATTAGAAATTGACATTTTATACATGATTGAATTAGTAATTGACACTTTATACATGATTAAATTGGTATTTGACACTTTATACATGATTAAATTATAAATTAACGTGAATTTTATATTATTAAGACACTAACACGTTATATTTGGTTAAAAGACACATTGGCACGTTTAAACATGTATGTTGATTATTTCAACACTGACACATTATATACATGGTCACATTATACATTGACAAGTTATACATGGTTATATTATACATTGAAAGTTATCCATTACGAGAACATACATTAAAACCTTATACATGGATAGATCATACAATGACAAGTTATGAATTGTTATATCATAAATTGGCACGTAATAAATTGTTATATCATAAATTGGCACGTAATAAATTGTTATATCATAAATTGGCACGTAATAAATTGTTACATCATACATTGACACGTTATTGAGGATTACAACATACATTGACAAGTTAAACATGGTGAAACTAACATTGCTATATACATATATTTATTATAAATTGGCACGTTAAATACATGGTTACATCATACATTGAGAAAATATACATGGTTAAATGATATCGAACAAGTTAAACAATGATACATTGTTCCATCGTTCATCGGCATTTAATATTTAATCATGAAATAAATCACAACATCAGATATTTATACATGTTAACATTTCATCATTATAATTATATTATATACGAAAATAAAATATACGTTGTCAATACAATGCCACTTAAATATCGTCATATACACTACCATGTTATATGTAAATTGTTTCATAATATTACAATATTATACATTCATATATTATCACTGGTGAAATTCTTAATTGCCAAACTATAAATAGTGAAATTGTTCGTTGCAAAATTGTACATAATGTTATGATTCTTTTCCAAAGTAGACATTGTTGATTTGAAATGTCGTTCAAACTGAACATTCCCAAATTACGTTGCCAAAAAAGTAGCATGCGGTAATTCCAGCTATATGTATTCATGTTTAATGATTTTATTACATTAGTCGTCAATGCTACATAAATATCACTCCTCAATTCTGAAAGACAAAAAATACAATCTCATACAAAGTATATAATTTTTTCATTTCACTAAGATTTTTTTCAATCAAGCGGGACGGTTATATTAACTAGAATATTTTAAGTTAGCTTTAACAGCGATAAATTATGAGATTATTTCTTTATCTATAATTTCATCTTTTTATTGAAATCCACCGCTTCTGTTAATCATTTCCTATAGTTACAATAACATTATTTTATTTGCTTGTCATTTGCTGAAAGACTAAAACTTGTATGGCATTGACTTCATTTCGTTTCTGATTTGTTTTTATAAAAGTTGAACCAAAACATTTGCCGTTGCATGAGAGACATTGTTTAGGATAATTTTATATGAAAGCAACTGTTGAGGGTGACGGTCATTAAAAAGTGATACATTTTATATGCGTCATAAACGTTCGAAGGGCATAATCATGCTTTTAAAAGTTATAATTATACTTACCTATTCCTTAGAACGCTGATTTGTCTTTCAAGGTTGTTTGCTCTCTCTTAAACAGAAAACAGCACTTTTCAAAGGTTTTATCATTTCTTTGTATATAGCACGTGCTATTCAAAAATATTATTTATCACATACACATGCATATATTTTGACATCATTTGCGTTATACAAACACAGCGTTTAGACGCGCTAAATGCTAGCGTTATATAAATATACGTTGTCATAATTTGGATGCTACTAAAATATCGTCATTTTATAATTTTATACACTGCCATACATTGTCATAATTTGGATGCTATGAAGGAGGAATGATTCTTTTTCACTTCAAACGGTCTTTCGTTTTGGTATGTGATAAATAGAATATTAAATTCTTGAAAGTTCATTAATGAATTTATTGAACGAGTTGAATAACACCACAGGCTCGCATAATATAATTTTATTCAACTCGTTAAATAAATTCAGTATTAAACTTACACTCATTCTATACCCTATGTACTTCTTATCTACTTTATACAGAATATATTTCAGTTCGAGCGTGTATAAAGCAATGCGTTTGGAAGACAACAAGGAAACCACTGCTTGACCCTGACATGGCAGCAATCCTTAGATTATTAGTTCGACGCGTTAACCACTCATTCTTGCGATCACTGTTTTGCTTATTTTCTATTTTTATTAGTTATATGTATATATGACCTTCTGGTATAATATGAATAATATCTAGGCTTTGATAAAACAGAAAACATATCATTTAAGCTATATCCATTGTTTGAACTTAAAACTTAGTAATTTTTATTTTTACTCAAAAACACGAATTAATCTATAATAATTCAATATCATCTATTTTTACACACAAGGCAACATAGAAAATAAAGTCAGGAATAACGTCACTTACCTTTGTAATGAGCAACATGCTTGTTCTGTTTCTCTAATGTTTTCACTTTATCTTTTAGGTCACAATTTTCTTTTATCAAACCCTTGTATGTCCTCGTTGCTGCCTTCAATTCATCTTGAAACATATATTTAAAGACGTACACTATTTTTTTTGCTTTAAAGATTAATCAGAAATGTGTAATTGTAAAGGTAAGTGGTGTTACACGTAGTGCTTATATGTTTTTCAAAAGCTTAACAACTTGAAAAAATGCTAATTCGTTTAACTGATACACAAAAAGTACGACACAAATCGGTTGGTTGAAGCCTCTTAAGTGTAAATTACATGTACCTCAAAATATGATATAAAGCTAACAATGTGAGCAGTGGTATGGCTTAAAAACAATTAACTAGCCTAAGGTAAGCATCGTTGGAACGCATAGGGACTGATTCCGCTGAACAGTACGCATTGGTTATCGTGAATAAAGGTAGGGAAACAGTTTATTTCAGATTATTTTAGACGTACCTCAAAAGTATTAGATTAAAGATTAGCTCTCACAATTTAAATATAATTCGAATGCGTTAGGCGACAAAAAAAAACAAAACAAAAAACAAAACGAAAGCAGGTCATTTCAGTTAATTCAAGAGTTTAGACTCAGAAGGTTCTGTTAAAATTATGCTAGAAATAGTAGACTGGTGAAGAGAAACACCCTTCACAGATAAGTAACTCAGATAAGTAATGGAACCTCAGCTAATATTTATAAGCAATGAAGACAAGGCTTGTGTATTCATGAATACAGAATTATGAACATTTCTAATCTTGAAATGAACTAGTTTACGATGTTTCAATATGCGTCTTAATAATATAGATATGTAAATTTATCGCGACGGACACGGATGTTCAATAAGTAGATTTTCAACAATTCGCAAAAAACACCAACATACTATAGTATGTCCCTGCGAGGCGAGTATAAATTCAATTTTATTACAAAGTTCATATTTGCTTTTTAATAAAAGATTTGTTAAATATTTAACAAATACATTTTGTATTTTATTACCTCCAACATCCTCTCGATTTTTCAGTTCAGTTTCCATTTCAGTCACATGTTTTTTCATAGCTTCATTCCTCCTCTCTAAGCTAGCCATTTTGGTTCCATATTCGTCCTCTTCATTAAAATAATAAAAAACGTTGAAGATAACAGAGATATTTTGAAATTATAGAAAATAAGCAAGTCGCAAAATATAAAATACTTTTTTATTATATACTTACAAACGAAATATTGAGAAATATTGATGAAATAAAATACGTATTTTCATTTTCAGTATTTGCACTGTAAAAATTTAATTTTAACTTCAGTGAAACATATTTTCCGTATTTTCACTGGTGTCTTGCCAGACTACTTTCTTTTAAATTTTGCCAGTACACAAAATTTAAGGGAAAATCTTTAAAATTTTAATGTCAAAAAAGAGAAAAATGTATATAATAAACAGAAAATTCAAGTTTTTTCTATAAATACATGATTTATTTTCATCTTGTGGCATGATAATTACCATATTTCATACCACTCGATGAAAATAAATCATGTATTTATAGACAAAACTTGAATATCTTCTATGTATCATGATTGTGTCCCCCTAGTTCTTAACATTTGAAATGAAAGATCAACAAGGAAGAGTGACATCTACTAAACGCACTCTTCAATATACCCAGCAACACAGGACCACCTGTAAGGTACTAACAAACACAACAGTTCGACGCCCATAGAAAGGAGAGAAAATGGTCTGCAAGAACTTATGCTAAATATATATAAATGAAATTATAATCTCTACTAAACAAATAATAAAATTTGATAAACAAGATCAACAAGGAAAGGCGGTAATTCAATGAACAAATTATCATCAACAAAAGAGTAAGAGAGTTATGGTGACCAAATATTGTCCACCTGTTTATAAAGGCTATATAATTATGTCAAGAATTAATTAAAGAAGAAATCAGGAAACAAAGTGATCCCTTGGAAGCATTAATCGCAACAAAAGTACATGAAATTTGCAGACTCTGTTTGATTGAGTCTGTACATATATAAAAAATAAAAGATAACAAGAGCTGTCGGTAGGACAGCACGCTCGACTATTCTTAGTGCTTGATAGTAAAAGAGCCTTGATAATTTTTAAATTTTTTAAGTTCACAAAAGGGCTAATTTTTTTTATAAATTCATGTTATAGGCCTTAGAGAGAGTCTAATTATACAGTATTGGCTTGACTATTCGGAAGGTAATGTCGCAAGGGTGTTTTATTGAGTATAATAATACTAATTACCTATGAATACAAAACTTTGACAGAAAAGGTACAAAGGCTTGTTATTAAGATGTTTTTATCAAGTAAATCACTGCTTTATTATTATAATGCATAAAATTGTCCCAAAAAAGGCACAAATCCTTCAGTAGTTATTGAGATAACAGCTTACAAGCAAAACTTTACCATGAATTTCTAAGTTGAAAAAGGGGAGAAAAATCAGCCTAAATGCAAGATAGAATTATGGATCTTTGTCAGTGACCTACAATTATGACCCTAAATGCATATGTGAAGTTTTAAATAAATATCTTTAATAGTTATTGAGATATGTAAAACTTGCATGTAAACATTAACCAAAAGACTAAGTAGAAAAGGGGATATGAATCAGCCTTAATGCAAGATAGAGTTATGGAACTTGGTCAGTGACATACAATTATGACCCTCCAATTATGACCCTAAGTGCATGTGTAAAGTTTCAAGTAAATATCTTTGAAGACCTTAAACCTTTAACCAAAATTTCTAAGTTTCAAAGGGGCAAATAATTCTGCAAATATTGCAGGCAGAGTTATGCAATTTTGCAAACTGATGTAAATTGTTACTATAAAAAAGTATTTTAAATTTCAATTGAATATCTCAAGCAATAATTGAGATATTTGACTTTAGAAAAAAACTTTAACCAAAATTTCTAAGTTCCAAAGGGGCATAATTCTGTCAATTTTGTAGGCAGAGTTATCCAACTTGTCAATCTGATGTACCTTGTTACTATAAATAAGTATTGTAAGTTTCAATTGAATATCTCAAGTAATAATTGAGATATTTGACTTTACAAAAAACTTTAACCAAAATTTCTAAGTTAAAAAGGGGCATAATTCTGTCAATATTGTAGGCAGAGTTATCCAACTTGTCAATCTGATGAACCTTGTTACTATAAATAAGTATTGTAAGTTTCAATTGAATATCTCAAGTAATAATTGAGATATTTGACTTTACAAAAAACTTTAACCAAAATTTCTAAGTTAAAAAGGGGCATAATTCTGTCAATATTGTAGGCAGAGTTATCCAACTTGTCAATCTGATGTACCTTGTTTCTATAAATAAGTATTGTAAGTTTCAATTGAATATCTCGAGTAATAATTGATATATTTGACTTTACAAAAAACTTTAACCAACGCAGACGCCGACGCGGACGCTGACGCCGACGCCGGGGCGACTACAATAGCTCTCATATTCTTCGAATAGTCGAGCTAAAAAAACTCATAACTTAAAAGTTACTAATATTGATTAAGATCTATTATCACATTCGTTTCTGTCATTGTTTCAAACAACAAGAAACCTAGACAATAGTAAATTTAACTTACCATAATACTGTTTAAGTTCTTGTCTCGTCTCTACTAGTCTTGTCTGAAGAATTTCAAAATGCTCTGCTTGTGGAATATTGTTTCTTTGTAAAACCGCCACCTCATCTGATTATATAAAAGGCATAAAAAAGAAAAGAAATTCATTATGTAATTATAGAATAATTTCTTTACCATCAATCGTATTTAGTTTAGTTTATTAAAACAACAACACAGAAACATTAAAAAACGATATCAACAAGAAGCTATATATACTACGCAGAATATATCTGGAAATTGAAGTGCACCTGAAAAAAAGCAACAACAAAAAACAACAACAACAGGATATACTAACACATGTTTCTACTTACCGATCAGATCTGTTATTTTTTGTTGCAATTGGTCTATAGCAGAATCCTTCTGTGGCACCACAGTATTGTTAAGATAATCTAGTTGTTGGGAAGCTTCAGAATACATCACCTCGTACATATGTAGTTGCTGGACCTGCTCAGTCAGCAGCAGACAACTTTGTCGTGATGCATCTAGTTCAGCTTCAATCAAAATATCAAATATACTGTAAGTTACAACACACAAAAGCCTTTATCATTTTGAGAATGTATACTAAATGAAGCTAGAAAATTATATTTAGTTCTTTTTAGTTGTGACTCAAACATTTAACGCTTAAAATATTAGAATGAACAAGATATATTTGTAAAACATGTTTGCCCTGTAGGAGCACATTTGTCTCGGAGCACATTTGTCTCACGAGGTGTGACCGATGTCCTATTTGGGACAAATTGGAAATGAGCACACATTAGAAATGACACTCGAAGCACATTTGTCTCACATTCTTCCATTAAATTCTAAAAAGGTAATAATTATGCCCGTCCGTATACCGACTTCTTGCCATTGTTCTGTGTTTTCTGTATTTATAATACCGTTTTTTTTTTTGGTAACTTCCGGTCAATCAAAAACATCCTGCCTCTCCATAGGAGTCATATATTTACTTAAAGAATATCCCTGTTCTGCATGTCACAATGAAATGTATATAAGTGCAGTATTCGGAACCCAAGCTTATACTAGTATGCTGCAAGTCTATTCTTATCGCTTTTAATTGTGACACGTTTCCTTCCGATGCTTGAAGTTTTATTGATCGCATGGTTTGGAACTTTTCTTTTGTTCTTACTAACCCATTATACTCAGTACACTTCAACGAGCATTTGAAAAATGCATTGATATATAACAGTACAGTTTATTCATTGATTCATGTAAGAAAAAATCTCGACTGCTATATAGCGGTTGAGTTTTGTTTCGCACCTTGTATATATCAATATAGTTTTTTTCACAGAGGCTCCAATGGGGCAGTGGTAACGGACATTCCCAATAGCAAAAAAAAAAAAATAGGAATCAATAAAATAAAATAAAGAAATACAATGAAAAATATAAACAAAGATAATAAATGAAATGAAATTTACTCTCATTTTAATCAAAAGGTACATCCGCTGAATGAACTATTTCCACTGAAAAAAAGCCCTTTAATCTTGAATCAATATTGGTAACAGTTTTACAATTCGCTTCTAACACTGGATGTCTTTTGCGGCAGCAAAAAGAACTTGAAAAACATAAAAACTGTAATGTAGCTAACGATTTATTTATTTATTTTATTTATTTCTATTACAAAAGAAAACATTATGCCATTGCGATAAAACAGTTATACACTGTAGTATATGAAACTCGTTAGTTACGAGGATATAACACTGGCTGGGCGACACCTCGGGATGTTTCTGCAAAAAATTGACTCGGTCTAACGGCCTCACCATTTTTTAGCGACAACATAACCTATACCGTTATCGCCTAGCGACAACAAGACAAAGCGCCAAACGTCGCGTTGTCGCACTGTCGTCTTGTCTCTAGCGAAGCATGCCAAACGGCGCGATGTCGTTTGGCACGTTGTGATGATGTCGCCCTGTCGATTGGCTTATAAGCTTATCATTCGATTTGAACCGAACGCGACAAGTGATATCACAACAACACGCCGCACGACAACACGCCGTTTGGTGTGCATCGTTAGCGACAGGACGACAAGACGACAGTGCGACAATGCGCCGTTTGGCCGTTTTGTCGTGTTGTCACCAACGACAACGCGACGCACAAAAGCGTAGCAAATCAGCCATCATGAGTAATATGTATTAGAATTAATAGTTCCACTTTAGGTTTTAGGGTTAAGATTTCATAAAAAAGCATTCGCAAACTTCTTGATGATTGAACTTGACATGAGGTTAAACGGCGAAAACATTTCTGCCGTGGGAATATATATGACAAATAATTCATTAAAACTGACACGAGACAAATGTGCTTTCTTGTCCCTTAAAGAATATGAGACAAATGTGCTTTCTTTTTCCTTTAGAACTTGATCGGAGCACATCTGTCACACAAATGGGTGTCACCGAATGCCACCGCATCGGCCTTACAATGTGCTCCGAGTCAAATGTGCTCCTACAATGCCCCTATCGACAGCCAATTAGTCATGTGGTCAGGTTATCATGACTGACTTTTGACCTAGTGACCAAGAAAGCAATAGAGGTTATCTAGGTCATTGTGACCATAAAGGCTGTGTGCAGCAATTTTATTTTAAGTTATCACAAATCTTACCAAATAAAATATGCATACATGTTATGAATCATTTAGGTCTCCTTACTGACAGCCAATTTGTTATATGACATAAGACCACGAAATGTGTGTACCAAAAGCATTTTAGTTTAATAAAAATATCGACAAGGCAACTTGAGTTGTTGAGTTATTGGTCGGAAACCGTCTTAATGTACAAGATCAATGTGACTTTGAAATCAATAGGGATTATCTACTGGCCAAGACCATTGCACCTGTGAAGTGTGAAGATAAAGGCCCCTTGTGTTGCAGAATCGTTTTTACCTATAAAGTCAATGTGATATTGACCTCTGACCCTTGACCCCAAAAATCCATTGAGGTCATCTTTTGACCAAAAGCAATGCATTTGTGAAGTTTGAATGCCAAGGGTTCATTGGTTGTTATTGACAGGAAGCTGTTTTGGCATATAAGGTAATTGTTCCTTAGATATTGACCAGGAACCATTTTACCTACAAGGTCACTGTGACCTTGACCAAGGTCACTGTGACCTTGACCTTTGATATATTGACCCCAAAATCAGTAGGGTTCATCAACTGGTCATCAACAATCATTATACAAAGTTTGAAATTCCTTGGTTTTTGAAGCGGGTATAATCAGAAAGGCATACGGAACTCACCATCCGATAATTGTTTCTGCTGAAACATTTGATCTAGAAGCTCTTTTAATTGTGTTGTGGTACTTTCGCTCTTCTCTAACTGTTCCTTTTGTGATTTCAAATCATCTATAAATTATAACCTAAATTATTTTCCATTGTTTAGGTTACGATAAAATATCTATTGAACATAAACATTCGCATCTTCCTTAAAACACGACAATATGTTTCTTTACATTTAAGATGTAATATATTTAATATAAAGTACATGTGTAACTACACTTTAATTGTACTGAATTGACTGATTAAATTATTCATCAAACTTTGTAATTTGTCATGATGGTTCACACAATTAATTGCTTGTTTATCAAAAAATACCTTTTGTACTTTGAAGTTGCAACTTCAGGTGTAAGTTTTCTTTGTTAACTCCATCTGCAAACATATAAACATACAATTCTATAAAAAAGAAAAATGCATTAGATTTTACGAAACAACGTGAATGTTACGTAACGTGTATACATGCATAAAACAGATGAAATATTATATTGGAAAAAGTATATAACCATTTATAATGGAATGTCTACGCAAAAGAACTTACGGAAATAATTAAATGTCGTATATAATTTTTGCATTTAATCCAGCTGGTGAAAACGTCTTAAGCTTATGAATCCAGTAGGTTTCTCTACATAGACGCTCCATTGTGTCGCTGACAATCTCAAACGGTAAAAATGAAAAGTCATTAAATGAATGATCAATTGAATTAAAATGACAACGTTGTAGTTTCCGCCTGTAATTCACCGACTGAGAATATTTCAAAATATTTGGATAGCATATTAAAACCGTATATGTTCCGACTCCCATCTTTCATTAAAGATACGACGGATTTTATTCAAAAAATTAAAAATGTGAAGTTGAAAAGCAAAGACTCATTATTAGTTACAATGGATGTATCTTCACTGTATACATGTATTCCGCACTCTGACGGCATAAAAGCATGTGAATATTTTCTAAATGAAGGAAATAGTGATCATAACTTACAAACACCAGTGCTCTCTAATCTTATACGGATAGTTCTTGAAAATAACTTTTTCGAATTTAATAATGAGTTTTTCATGCAAACGTGCGGTACTGCTATGGGATCATCTATGGCGCCAGCATATGCCTCCCTGTTCATGGGGAAACTGGAAAAGGACTTTATCGAGTCACGAAATATCAAACCGACGCTGTGGCTACGTTTCCTGGATGACATTTTTCTAATCTGGGACGATACTCGCGAGGAACTCGAGAATTTCATTCGTGATCTAAATGATTTTCATCCGACGATTAAGTTTACGCAAACCATTTCCAGTTCATGTGTTGATTTTCTTGATGTGCGTGTTTCCAAAAATAATTGCACTCTTTTAACGAACATATTCGTGAAAAACACTAATAATCATCAGTATCTTCATTATACCTCTTGTCACCCAAAAGCATGCAAGAATGGTATACCATACAGTCAAGGCAAGCGTTACCGCAGAATAATATCCGATGACAGTACATTCAAGGACTCTCTAGTTGATTTGAAAGACTTTTTTCTGAAACGTGAATACCCGAAAGAAGTAATTGACAATGCATTTGAGAAAATTAATTCTATGAGTCAAAATGAGGCACTGCGACTCACAGAAAGTAGCCAATCTAATTTTGTCATACCATTTGTTGTTACTTATAATCCTCATCTTCCTAACATTGGTCACGTTTTAAACAAATATTGGGACTTACTAAAGTTGTCAAAAAGTGAAACTGTAAAATATGTTTATGAGACTTACAAACCTATTGTTGCGTTTAAGAGACCCAAAAATATCCGTGATCATATTGTGCATTCTAGCTTTTCAAAGCAAATGTCAATTCATTCATCTTCTCCTTGTAGCAGAAGTAGATGTTCTCATTGTAATCGAATTACTTCGGATGTATCTTTTGCAAGCAGTGTCACAGGCGAAAAATATACACTGAGAAACCCTACAAACTGTTCTACAAATAATGTTATTTATTTAATCTCCTGTCAAAAATGCAATATGCAATATGTTGGCCAGACATCTCAACCGGTTTCACGTAGAATGAATAGTCATAAATTTGATATTACAAATTTCAAAGATCCAGCGTTTTCAACTCTTGTTGCAACGCATTTTAATTCAATTGATCATTCATTTAATGACTTTTCATTTTTACCGTTTGAGATTGTCAGCGACACAATGGAGCGTCTATGTAGAGAAACCTACTGGATTCATAAGCTTAAGACGTTTTCACCAGCTGGATTAAATGCAAAAATTATATACGACATTTAATTATTTCCGTAAGTTCTTTTGCGTAGACATTCCATTATAAATGGTTATATACTTTTTCCAATATAATATTTCATCTGTTTTATGCATGTATACACGTTACGTAACATTCACGTTGTTTCCTATTATTGTTTTTTATGTATTTTATATAGGAAATACTTGTATTTCATAATCCGTGAATGTTTATATACATATATATCGAAATCTTTATTAACTTTATTAATTTTTAATGAAATTTAATATAACGTAACGTAACAATGTATGTTTCCCGCCATCTCGGACGGTGACGTCATGTGACGTCTCTTCCTGTTTATTCACTTCCTGTTTATTCACTGACGAAGAACATATTTGTTCGAAATCGATTTGAATATTAAAAAAAATAACTGAATGTACGCGTGTGGTTGTTCTTTTTGGATTCATATTTAGATTTTACGAAAATTACATGTTAAAATATATGATTTAATCCGGAGTTACCTTGCTTTATATGAAAAGGATATGCAGCGTACAATAAAAATATATAATTTCGAATTACCATAAATGATACTCACCAAATTGAGCCTTTACTGTAACCATTTCTTTTGTTTTTTCTTTAAGCTGCTCTTCTAAATTTTTCCTGTGTTGCTGTGCTTGTAATGAACCTGCTTTTAATGACGACAAACTGGCCTCAAGTGTTCTGATTTTATCTGACAATCAATTATAAGAAGAAGGCATAACATGTAATAGCGGAGATTCTGGTTGATGTATATACTCGTATATTTAGAATAATAGTTTCAGAAATATTTTGCTTAATAAAGGAATTACTACCCCCATGGGCACTATAAGGAATTGAAAAATTGAAAAATTGACATTATAGGTCAGATATATACCTTAAAGGACACGTGTATGCAAAACTTTAAAGAAATTTTACAGTATGGTAAACGAGTTATGGCCTTTTTTTCTGAACTTAAGCTTGGATGTTAAAAGGGCCTTTTTTCAGAAATGATGAACCTTTAAATAATCTACGAAATAATTCTTATGAAAAATGTTTTCTCATTGATCATTCTTTTATTTCTTTCTAATGTTATATAATTCTATTTTATTTTATAAAACGGAAACTGAATAACATATTTTATATAACTTAGCGTGACATGGAATATTTAGATGTTTTAAGTTGAAGGTCACCGATCTCATTTTTTAAGAGTTAACTGCTATTGAAAGTGTATGTGTTCTTTTTTCTTGCTGTTAAGTCATTTAGTGTATCAGATTTCAGTTTTACTTTTTGGTTACGTTTCTCATTTATCCTAGGCGCAATACAAAGTTTCATGGAATTCCATATTTTGAAAGGAACTTTGTTTTATAAGTAAAGAGACTAATGAAAAATAAAAAATAGCCTTTTTAAAAGATATGAAAACTATAGCATAGACCTTTAATTCGATTATCATATATGATTCAAATGACAGTTTACCTTGAAATTGTCGGTTTTGTTCCGTAAGTGTGTCCACTTTATTTTGTAGATGAGTTGATCTTTCAGTCAAAGTGGGAAGTTCGTCACCTAATTGACCTTTTAGACGTTCAATTTCGTCTGCAAAATGTACAAATTTGTCATATCTAATTAGATATCATTAAAAAATGAATTCACAGATCATAATTAGTTTAATATACCATTGCGCAATAGTCAATGTTATATTAAATGTGCCCAACTAACATTAGAGAATCATCTACCCGACAAAAATCGAACATTTCATATGTATCCATGTATAGCTGAAAATCAAAACATAAAATAATTTACTATTTTCTTTTCTTAGCCGATATGAATGTAACGATAAACGGAGCCCGAAAAGGTCTCGCAAAATCTTTGTAAGACCATCTACAGATAATTCATTGTTAGTTAGTCTTTAGTTTCTTTACGTAAAACAGCACTTTGAAAGAAACCCGTGGATAAGTAAAGCGTTGTTTCATGACAAAAAAGACAATTTTGAACAAAAGATTCACATAATTTAATCTTTTAATAAAATATCGTAATCAGATCACAGTTTGTTAAAATTTAAAGGGTAAAAAGCTATACGTTATGAAAAATTTTCATAAAATTGAAGAATGGTAAACTTTTGTTATTTACATAATATTATGGTAGATTCTCGAAAGAACTGTTACATGAAATATTTCTGAAATAGTGTTATTTAACACACATGTGCTTAAACAGAATAAATGTTCCGGACACAAAGTATTATGCTGCTGTTTTAAGGAGGTTTAGCAAAGAATTCCGACTTGCACAACTCACTCATAAGAACTGTTATCAATATATTTCTTTCATACAAACATTTTGGAATTATTACTTTTCAATTTTCAGACAACTTATTTGTTACTTTTGGGCTGCAGAGATATAATTTTATACACTTTAACATTGTTCATACTTTGATAACACTATGACAGTGTCAAATATCACATGGTGCAGTCCATTTTATTATGCATTATCTTTAAAGCATCAAAATTTGTTATCTGATAAATTTACAAAAGCAATAGGTAATATAAAATTATATGTTGGCCTAATTTTTCCTCCAATAAGACGCACGCTTCATTTGTTTACATTTCTTAAACTTGATAACAAATTGATTACTAGTATACATCACGAAGGCCTTACGCATCTTCGCATGCGAATCATATGGACATCCCTATGCGGAAGTTTAAAATATGTTAAGGTGAATAAGTATTATTATAAGAAGCATAAATATGCTAATTATGCGATAATATTTGGAAAGTCAGCTGGACTTTACGTCTTACGTCTATCTTTTTATTTCAATTGTCGGTCTACGAATCACGTTGGTGTATGAGGAGGAGATTCTCCGCCACTGGGTGTTCACACATCTAGAACTTAAAGCTTTTCAGTGTATATATAATATGCTTCATTTCAACGCTCTTTGGGTTCCAGAGTTCCGAAAATGTCAACTGAGTTATGCATTGACTTATTTTCGATCTGCGACATTGAAATATTCAAGATGGCGGTTGATACTTTGTTTTATGCTTAAGTGATAAAAGGGTCATTAATTTTACCATTTGAAATATCTAAAAATTGTGTCCATATCACAAAGTACTCTAGTACATAAATTGTGACTGTATTCCAAGTGCTGAAAAGGGCCATAACTTGGTGCCAATGGAAGCCATAGTTATGTAACTTGCCCAGATCATAAACTTTGTATGGATTAGTAAGTGTGTAAATTATGAAGCCATTGGTACAGGCAGAACTTAAGAAAAATCCAACTTGCCGTTCTAGGTTAACCTCGTACGGACAGACGGACGGACGGTTCAATTACTATATGCCCGGGGGCATAAAAAATCATTGTCTATATATGTGACTTTTTTTTATAAAACATTGTAACAGTACTGAATTCGACCTCTTGTTTGAGGGGGAGAACTTTGCAAAGACTAATAAATTCTGGCACAGAGGCCTGAGCCCTTAATTCATGACTTGTCTCCTAAACCAGTGAGTTTCATTTCTTATAGCCCGAAAGGATTTAGGTTATTAAAATACCACAGAGTATTTTCCCCTATTGGATTGTGAAATTTTAACAAAAAGTAAGCATAGAAATTATATGGAGTTCTCCTCGGTGAGTTTTCACAGGATGGGGCAGACAGGGTAGTCTGTACTAAGACTGAGACGGACCAAACAAGGTGACAGGGTGGACTGTATTTTGAGACAGTGTGTTTGGAATCACAAAAGGATACTGATAAATATTATAACCTTACACTATTGTTAAAATTTATTTGATGACCACATATTACATGTATGTGAAATTCTTTTACCAGGGATTACATTATTGTAAGTGTGAGTTCTAAAAGGTCTTTCATTGAACGCTGTCTTTCCTTGTTGGTCTTGTTTATAATATTCTAACATTCAGTCAAATCCATACTAGAGTGATGGGTCTTTTGCATAATTATATCTCAATCAATAATTGTTTCTAGTGAATAATTCAGTAGTTCTGTAGATTATTATTTTTTTGCATGCAAAACATATTTCAACCAGGAATTTATTATTCAAAGTCATGTTATACAAAATGTAATTTTATACGCTTTGAATATTTGAATATTGAACCATTATAATGATAAAGTACATGTTTGAAGGTTTAAATTAATCAGCGGTAGTCAGGTAGTTGTTGTGCATGGTCCAGGACAGAATTAATAGACCAAAATTGGTAACTATAAACAGATCAATACGTTAATTGATAGAAACAGATTAAAATGTTTTCTAAATACAAATTGAATGTATTAATTTCTAAATGCTTATACCGATTTACAGTAAATTTTAATTGATTATTTCTTATCGTCCGTCAATATTCCAAGTTCGACGAATTGTTATGGGTCGAATGGTCGAGTGGCCGAATCGTGTTTTTTATTTTTTTACCCATTACTGAACCAGGCAATAACCGCTGAATTTCGAAACATTTCTTTTCATTAATCAAAGGCATACAAAATTGAAAGTAAAATCATGTGTAAAAATGTATTCAAATAAAATTGCAAGCTTACGAAATTTCTATTTTTTTTTCAAACAAATCGAAGCTGTCGCGCCTTTTTTAAAGGTATACGTAGGCAAAAAATGTTTGTTACGGAGCTCCATACTCGTTTTGTAAAACATTTTAGAACACTTTAATTGCATAATTGTAAATCAGGAACTTTATTTGATTAATCATCTATTTAGATGTTTCGTCTCATTTATATATTTCTGACGACTATATATTTACGATGTATTCATTCATGCTTGCACGCGCATGCGTGTATGCGAAGTTTAACGCGTAGGTATATACTACGATTTTATCAATGGACTGTTATTTTTTGTTTTCTATATAGAAATGTATCATTTAATGAAAATGAACGATTTGCAAGCAATGTATACAAAACACTTTAAAAATACAAATAAAAGCATAATGGGCCTTTAAAACCTTATTTTTATAATCTCGGGGGGGGGGGGGGATCGAAACACTACCATCCCCTTTAGATCCTCCAGTGAGAACTTTACATTATTAAGAAGTACCGCTCTTAATGTGTGACTACTTAAATAGTTTGATATTTTTGAGTTCTGCCTGTACGGACTACTACTTAAGGCCGCATCTACATCTAGTCAAGTTTCTTAAATATCACATTTAGATAAGCTAAAAAAATGGCCCTTACGTTATATTATCAGGCACATTTTTTACTGAAATGTCTTATAAAGATTGCCCAGAATTTATAACTTTGTCTATGCTAAGTCTTTCATATTTTTGTAAAATGTGTGAATAAAAAAGCGGAAAAATGATGCAATTACCTAAAAACAGTGGAGTTAATTTAAGGTGTACATTCTTTTAAAATAAATGGAAAATGTGAGAAAAAATGTTTTGAGCTTATTTATTGATACAAATTCGCTATTTGATGAAAGTTCTTCACTAACTAATAAGGATCATTTAAAATCCCTATTGATTTTACTGTAATTCAGTGCACATGTTTTACGTCTATTCAATACCTTGATTTTTGTTTACCATTGGCTTTGACTACAATATATTATTTAAAACATCATGAACATTCATTTTTATTGATTGAATTTCTATGATCCCAAAGTGCGGATGTAAAAAATGCATATGTACCTGTTTAACGAACTTTAGGTTCAAAATTGGACCCCAAAGTGCGTTGGACCCCAAAGTGCGTTGTTACATAGCATGTTAACAGTTTAATGTACATGAATATTTTACCGTTTAATCTGCTAATAGTGGCAGCCTGTTCACGTTTATTTTGTTCAAGTCGACTTATTTCTTGATCTTTCATAGAGATGAGGTTGTCGGTTAGGTTTCTCATGTCTTGATCTCGCTGTGGCATAACACTCTGTAAAATGTTGCCCAACTCTTCTACAGACATTCCATTACCCTGTCCTACGTAACGAAAATAACCATAGAATTACACACGCTCGGAATATATAATGATAAAATAGCTAAATTTGATGATCAAATTTCAACAAAAAGTGTGATATAAAGTTTCCTTTTAAAAGGAAAGGCTTGCACAGTTGTGCCTTCATCCCAACCCTTTAAAATTGTTTTTTTTTTGGTTTCAATTTATTATCACATTTTTTTTTTGAATTACGGTATTTGTATATCATAAAGGGTTTATTTAGTTCTCGTATCTCTATTGTATAAAACAAATAAAGAAAATGATCAATCGTAAAAATACTAACGTGATACTGAAGGAAAACAAGTGTGCACATTTCATTTCCCCTTTTTCGCAGCGAAATCATTCCTTTGCTTTATAGACAAGTAAATGCACTAAAATTCTTCGTTACGTGGTACCAATTAGTAAGCATGTATCAACTATGTTACACGATCACGATGGCAAGGTTAATGATATGCATGGGCTATTTTTAGATTACCTCACCAGTTCAGTAGATCTAAATATAACTCGATCATGCGTGATTTGGTAAAGTAGCAGGACCACCCTTTGAAGACGGAATACTACTACCATTCTCTATTGTATAATACAGACAAAAAACAATTATAAAAGAAACTAACTTTTGCGTCTTGAAAAACAATTGAAACGGAACAATTTCGTTTATAATTTATTACGGTAATCAAGTAAAAATAGAAATCCTATTTATATAAACCAACTGGGATTACCGAAGTAACTAAAATAGATTAGATTTCAGTTATATTACTTCTTCTGATTCCGCAGTATTACGGAATCGCCAGAATTGTCACGATTGCAATCGGAACTACATCGGCTATTATCATTAATCCGAAGAGTGACGGAAAAGGCCGAAAGGTTGCGATTGGCACGATTGCAGCTGGTTCCCCGTTCAATCATGCACCAACAGATGTAAGCAGGAAACCACCTAACCGGAACAAGTTTTCCATATGAAATGGCTTGCAGCCGTGGCTGCAAGCCAATAAGAGTAAAATGGTTAATCAATATTTAACTTGAATTATCCGTGATAGGGCTTATAACAGCCAATGAATCTTCCTAGAAAAATATATATACTATATTATACAGTATTTTTTTCTAGACTTACTTTTTACACTATTCCAACACTGTGGAATAAAGTGGCTGCGTTGACTGTGAAAGTATTGTACATGTATTTACCATTTAGCAATTTTTCCAATTTAAACATATTTTCATCATACAGCTATTTTGTAATAATTCTTTTTCGGACGAAGTCCGTCTGTTATCAGTTTGACTTCCTATAAAATTAATAGGCAAGGACTGAATATTAGAAGAACTTTCATTTGTCATTTTTAAATAACAAACTGAAATCAGTGAATCTCATTGGTCATGTAAGAATAAAATGTAAAGGACAGTTCTAACCATTCTGAAATGAAAGTAAAAGGATAGTTCTTACCATTCAAAAATGAGATTTTAAGAATAGCTCTAAGATAAAATGTAAAGGATAGTTTTGCCACTATTAAATGAAATGTATTAAAGATAGTTCTAAAAAAATATACAGGAATGAGAATAGTTCTTTAACTTTTAGGTTAGTTTGTAAATGATTACAAAATTTATAAAGTAAAACGTAAAACAAGTGAAAGGGACACCTTAAATAGAAGTTATCCTACTTTGAAAAAAATCATCAATATCAATATGCTATAATTTAATTTCAATATTGGGTATTTTCTTAGCTATAAGAAATAATTATTATGTCATTGTAATGCAAGCATTGCTAACATTTATTTTTGTATTGAAAACTTAGAAAAACATAATTTTTCATATTAACCAGTATTACTTTGGCTGAGTATCTTTTTGAAAGATACTTCTTGTTTTTTTTTCAAATTTACTCACACAACAGATGTAAAGCTTTATAAACATTAAAGAAGACTGGTTGCATACCTCGTTGATTGTTTTCTGACTGTTCTTTTGCCTCTTTATACTTCCCTATAAAACAAAATTCATTACAAAATAGTGAAAAACAGAATCCCTAAAGAAAGCCCAAAACGTCAAAATTGTAAAATGTTGCAGGCTCGGTTTGATTGGGCCTGTTCATGGACGGTACTGGAAAGTGCAAGTTACCGTCCACGCCTCCTAGCACCGGATTGAGCAGAATTCAACATTAAAACATAAAAGTGGTGAAATAGGAACATTATTCAAATATCTAGTTGCCTGCATTAATATTGAAAACGTGAATCGTACGTCGTACAAAAGTAAATAAATGTTTGCTTAACAAGAGCTGTCACAGGAGACAGCGAAGCTCGACTAATAAAATACTGGACGCAGTAAGGAAGACAAAACTATGGAAAAAAATAATTATTTATAATAATGTTTTAAGTTATAGTCAAAAAATAACATTGTTAACATAAATTCCAAGATCAAGGGGAATAATTCTGGAAATAGTCACACTAGAGTTATGAACCTTCTCACACAACATGTGTGTAATGATAAGAAATATATATTTGAAGTTTGAAGTAGATTCCTTAAAAAGTAAAGAAGTTATAATATTTCTTAAAGAAAATCCTAAGTTCAAAGAGAGATAAATCTGTAAATGTTGCTTCAAGAGTTATGAACCTTGTCACATAAAATGTAATTGATGATAAGGAATAAATATTTGAAGTTTGAGGTAGATATACCTTTAAAACTAAAAAAAATTATAGTAAAAAATAACATTTTTCAAGTTTATGGGGAGATAATTCTTGCAATATTGGTATTAGAGTTATGAACCTTGTCACATAAGATGTGGTTAATGCTAAGGTACGTATATTTGAAATATGAAGTTGATCCCTTTAGAAATAAAGAAGTAACAGTAAAAATAGTATTTTTTTCAGGAAAATTCTAAGTTCAAGGGGAGATAAATCTGAAAATATTGGTGCTAAAGTTATAAACCTTAACACATAAGATGTGGTTAATGATAAGAAACATATATTTGAAGTATGAAGTTGATCCCTTAAAAAATAAAGAAGTAACCGTAAAAAATAGTATTTTTTAAGGAAAATTCTAAAATCAAGGGGAGATAAATCTGAAAATATTGGCGCTAGAGTTATGAACCTTGTCACATAAGATGTGGTTGATGATAAGGAAAATATATTTGAAGTTTGAAGTTGATACCTTGAGAAATTGCAAAGTTATAGTGAAAAATATTTTACTGCACCAAAACTTTAATCTGAAATCTGGACGCGGACACGAACGCCGTCGCCACCGCCGACGCCGGGGCGAGTAGGACAGCTCTCCATATACTTCGTATAGTCGAGCTTAAAATGACAAAACAGATTTTATTTACCAAAGAAATGATTCCGAGCATTTCTATATATATATACACACACATTGTATATGTAAGGAAATAATATATCGTTTTCAATATTTTCTCAAGTAAATCCTGAAAATGCTTAATTATATTTTGCAGCATGTATTTTACATGAACTTCACAGTAATACCTTGTGAATTCATTAAAACACTTTACATTACTATCAAGTCTATTAATATTAGAGCTTTTTTTAAAGATTTTCAAGAGCAATCGGAAATTCATATTAGGTGTATCGTATGGTGGCTGACTTGGTTTTGTCGATATCTTTATCGCCTTTTCGTCTTGTCGCTACCGACAACACGACAAAGCGCCAAACGGCGCGTTGTCGCGCTATCGTCCTGTCTCTAACGAAGCACGCCAAACGACGCGTTGTCGTGTGGCGCGTTGTCGTGATGTCGCCCTGTCGCTTGGCGTACAAGCCATTCTTTCGATTTGAACCGAGCGACAATGTGACATCGCGACAACATGCCGCACGACCACGCGCCGTTTGGCGTACAGCGTTAGCGACAGGACAACGAGACGAAAGTCCGACAACGCGCTGTTTGGCGCTTTGTCCTGTTGTCGCTAACGCCAACACGACGCACAAAAGCGTTCCAAATCAGCCACCATAGTGCCTCTATTTCCTAACAAAAGTCCATATCTGAACAACATTAAGATGGGGATCAGTCTTCGCGCATCTGCAAAATGCTCCAAATCGGGACTATACAGGTGTTCGGTGAGTGGCCATGATTAAATTATACCCCCATTCCCCCTCTACAACCCAAAAAAACTTAATATCATCCAAACATCAAAAATGTTGACAAAAATCAATTATATGGAAAAAATGACTAAAAAATAAAAGGTATTTTACTCTACTTTCGTATTGTATAGAAAAAATCACACTAGCATCTCGATTTTCAGCGCATATACCGATCTTAACAATCTTTGTGTAAAATCTTAGAGTAAGGAAACAACACTGACACATTCGCTGATTATACGTAGCAAGTAAAATTCAAGCCCAAACTGTCAAAAAATTAACTCGGAAGAGATCTATGGAATAAAAAAAATTGTTACCTTCGAGTCGACAAAAAATAGTCCAATCGGGAGCATGCTGCAGGTGCGCGATGACGTAGTATCCTACCAATGGAGTAGATCGAGTATGAGATCACAAAAATATTATAAGCTACTCAGAGTATAATGTTAATATGTTTTGATATTCAGACTTTCTAATATTTAATTTCGGTTTAGTCTTTTTAACAAACGATCCTTACTTTTAAATTCCTTAAACGATTTGTCCTCGGCAAGGGTTTTGGGGGTAACAGGTTGTCTGCATTGTGGGCAACTCTGGTTCTGCCTTATCCACTTCTTGATACATTCAGTACAGAATCGATGTCCACAAAGAGTTATTGACGAATCTTCCATTTCATTGTGGCAAATTGAACAATTGAATATTTCGTCAACTGTGCTACCCTAGTAAACCATACAACAATGTTGATCATTTACAATAGATATAATATTTGCGTGTGGACTACATGACGTACTGTACCTACGAAAGACCGGTGGAGAAAATGGCAATTTCATGAATTCCCGATTTTATCTTCATGAATTCCCGATTTCATCTTCATGACTTCCCGATTTCAAGTTCACGAATTCACAATTTCAACTTCACGACATCACGAAATGGTAATTAATATTCATGGTAATATCCAACAAAAACATCTCGCAGATGAATTCGTGAAGTTGAAATCGTGAATTCGTGAAGTTGAAATCGTGAATTCTTGAAATTGAAATCGTGAATCCGTGAACTTGACATCGGGAATTCATGAAGCTTAAAGTCGGGAATTCGTGAATTTCGTATCATGAAGTTAAAATTGTTAGTTTTTAAAGATGATATCGGGAATTCATGAAGTTGAAATGGCCCTACCGGTATTTCGTATGTACCCTTCCACGCTAAGTAATACATCTTTTGTTATTTCTATAATCTTTTGTTTTATAGTTAAATGTATGGGAAGCTCTTCCATAATGAGAAATATGTTTTCTTTTTGTTGAATAAACTTGTGAAATTAGCATACCTACATTTGTTATTTCTGATACATTTTGCTACCATACTGAATAAAATGTATGAAGTTTATTTTAAAATAATAGAATAATAGGAAAAACTTACCATTAAGTCATTTAAAGCACGATTTAAGCAAAAGAAGTAATCTATTTTGAGACATTTTTATACCCCCGCACAACGAAGTTGTAAGGGGGGTATACTGGAATCAGCTTGTCCGTCCGGCCCGTCGTCCCGTCCGTCGGTTTTTCCTTGTCCGCCCAATAACTTAAGATTCCTTTGACCCACAGTTTTCATATTTGATATTTAGATTGGTCATGGTTAGTAGATGATCCCTATTGATTTGGAGGTCACTGGGTCAAAGGTCACAGGGGCCTTGACTTCTAAAAGCTTGTCCGCCCAATTACTTAAGATTCCTTTGACCCACAGTCTTCATATTTGGTATTTAGATTGATCATGGTTAGTAGATGATCCCTATTGATTTTGAGGTCACTGGGTCAAAGGTCAAGGTCACAGGGGCCTTGACTTCAAAAAGCTTGTCCGCCCAATAACTTTAGATTCCTTTGACCCACAGTCTTCATATTCGGTATTTAGATTGGTCATGGTTAGTAGATGATCCCTATTGATTTTGAGGTCAAAGGTCAAGGTCACAGGGGCCTTGACTTCAAAAAGCTTGTCCGCACAATTTCTTAAGATTCCTTTGACCCACAGTCTTCATATTTGGTATTTAGATTGATCATGGTTAGTAGATGATCCCTATTGATTTTGAGGTCACTGGGTCAAAGGTCAAGGTCACAGGGGCCTTGACTTCAAAAAGCTTGTCCGCCCAATTACTTAAGATTCCTTTGACCCACAGTCTTCATATTTGGTATTTAGATTGATCATGGTTAGTAGATGATTCCTATTGATTTTGAGGTCACTGGGTCAAAGGTCAAGGTCACAGGGGCCTTGACTTCTTAAAGCTTGTCCGCCCAATAACTTAAGATTCCTTTGACCCACAGTCTTCATATTTGGTATTTAGATTGATCGGGGTTAGTAGATGATCCCTATTGATTTTGAGGTCACTGGGTCAAAGGTCAAGGTCACAGGGGCCTTGACTTCTTAAAGCTTGTCCGCCCAATAACTTAAGATTCCTTTGACCCACAGTCTTCATATTTGGTATTTAGATTGATCGGGGTTAGTAGATGATCCCTATTGATTTTGAGGTCACTGGGTCAAAAAAGGTCAAGGTCACAGGGGCCTTGACTTCAAAAAGCTTGTCCGTTCAATTGCTTAAGAATGCTTTGTTGAACATTCTTCATATTTAGTATTGAGGTTATTTATGACTAGTAGATGACCCCTTTGATTTTTAGGTGACTATGTCAAAAGTCAAGGTCACAGGGATTTTAATATAATAAGCTTGTCTGCTCAAATGCTTAAGAATACCTGTCCGCAGTGTATTGATTTTCACATTTTAAGCATGTAGAATACATAACTTAGCAATGCACTGGCTTAGTAACCTCATATTTGGCAGGGCTTTAAATGGCCACTGTTGATTCTGACAAAGTGGTATGCGGGGGTATTCACGCCATGGCAGTGGCAGTTCTAGTTGCTCTTGATAATAGACATTACCCTTAAATATAGTCATATGTTAGAAACATCTTTTCTGTTTCATGTTTTATTTCATTTCTATAGATTAAAACATGTAATTTCTAGACACGGATACACAGGGAAGGGTCTGTGTGTGTGTGGGGGGGGGCGGTACCTTTGGAGCTGGTATATTTGGAACCTGGCTCCCTGCTGAGCTTCCTATCTGCGTGTCTCGAGGTAATTCGCTAGCGTACGTTCATGCAGACGTATCCGATATTGATTACTCTTGATCAGTGTAAAGCCAGGTTCAGTTCAAACGTTAAAGGTCCGCTGCTTTTATTTTACTTAAAAACTTTTTTGTTGTAATTTCGGTGTCCTGATACAGTTTCCAAAACGTTACCTACTGGCCAATTACCTGGCCAATTACCTAAACTATCTTTTACTCCTGTTGCCTTTTGGCAGTTTGTGCAATCATAGTGATTAATTATTTGGTATGAAAGTCTTAATACTTCTTTGTTTACCATTTGCTACTTTTATGACAAATAATTTTACATTGAGTGCTACTTTCTTCAGGTGATAAGTATGGATCCTGCTCTTAAACCATTATTTAAGCTTTCTAAATCTCGTGTATGTGCTTTATAGAGAACGAAAAATCTGTTCGATTCTGAGGCATGATATGCCTTAAACCAAAATAATGCCTTTCAGAATTATATCGTTCAGGATGTTTTATGGGATTATAAAAAACATTATGCAGTATCATTAAAATAAGGATGCAGAAAGGTTGATATTTACATTGTACCACTCCTGCATGTCCGACATTTAATGGGAAATTAAGAAACGTGTATTTTAAAACGTGAAACCGAAATGCAACTGAACATTGAAAGAAAGAAAGTCATCTAAGTTACGTTAAAGTCTGAAATGTTCTGGGGAAATACAGGAACGCGAACACTAAATAGTGAGCTGTGAAATGCTTGAGAAATTTCAAATTAATAATAAACTCAATCACTACGGTTTACCATCTTATTACCTAAAAAAAAAGTATTTGCTCAACCATAAGGTGATAACATGTGCTAAAAAGAAGTAATGTTCTGTGATCAATAAAACACATTCTCTTATATGCATATGCAACTTCCCTCATGAATAGAAGACATGATTACCTTAAATGCAAATGATTCATTTATTAATACGCATCTTTTTACGAGATACATCATTTCACCATATCAGACAGCAAACGAATTGCGCTTATCCGAAGTTTGGCGGAAAGGGCCCAAAGGTTACGACTGATGAGACAGTAACGTGTTGGCTGCTACAACTACGCAGATCTTACCTGTCTGTCTGTTCGGGATCGACTACCTGCCTCTGCCATATCTCCGTTTATGTATCGGTAATATTTCTGGGAATCTTTCTGTCAAAGGTTAGATTTCTTTTGGTGTTTCTTTCCCAATAAAGAAATTATTCTGATTATTTCATTCGCAGCCTGTTTTCTGTTCTTGCGTCTAAAGACCTGTAAAAACAAGGGACACAGTTTATATTTAATATTTGTGCAGTTTGCGCCAAACTGATTTATGAATTGACTTAAATCGTCTATTACCACTCAAACCGAGGCTGCCATATTTTTTAGCCCCATTATATATCTCCTATTCTAAGGGTGAAAATGATCAAATTATATGATTCACCCAATAGAAAAATGGCTTTGCAAGAATTTAGAAGTCAAAAAGATCATATGTTTAACTTTTTTTTTGCAAAAGCATGATTATAATATGTAAGGTATATTTACATTTCGTTATCTAACTAATATTATATGACAGTACAGCGTGTACTGTATGAATTTGATACTGAAATCTTTAAAGAACTTAACTTTGTTATACAATAAAGCTCTCAATGATCTCATATGTATTTGATATCGCTCTGTACAATAAGTACCCATTTATTTGTTTATGTGCTAATAGAGCAGTATTTTTCAGATAAGGCGATAATCCTTGGATAAATCGATATGTTATTTACTGATTTCATACTGCTCAAGGAAGTGTCAAAGGCGCGGTTAAAGATGAAAACGAATAAAAGTCAGTAAGAAATGAATATAACCAAGCAGTCAGGTTTGGGAATTTAACCCATTACTTCATGAGCATTTTGTAAAAAAATGGCTGTTTTCATTTAAAAGTCTCCCGTTACAAGTTCAAATTGCTATAAAACTACAAAAACTGCTTCAATACTAATCAAACTTGGCACAAATGTTGACTGGACAATTGCCTTTGTAACAACATGCCCAGGCTTAAATTTCCTGTTACCATGGCAACGAGGGAACATCTCAAAATTGCCAAAAATGACTTTTTTGCGTTGATTTTTTCAATCAAAATTGATTTCAAAGTGCTGCAACATCTCAATGGATTGAGATAGAGTCAAATGCTTTTCAGCGTTCGTTACACGTTACCTTATGATCGATCTGGGGTCATTTTTAGCCTCTCACAAGTCCAAAACTTTCTTGGCGATGAGGGGGAACTGCCGCCCCCTTCAAACCCCCCAAACAAAGGGGCCACATCCCCCTCCTGGCAACCCCCTGATGTATCTTTTGGTTGGGGGCCGCGTCGAAAAGGTGGTCACTTTTTAAAACAACATTTCTCAAACAAAAACAAGTGTTAGGAGCCTAAATAAGGCATTTTTTTCACCATTTGAGACAACAATAAAAGGGGGGAGGGCGAAAAAGGCGTTAAAAGGCGTGTATATCGGATAATGGGTTAACAGAAAATGATGAAAATACCTGAAATTACCCAAAATCGCGTTTTTCCATGTTTAAACATGGCCTTACATATAAATTTGAACAAGAATTGTTGTTTTGTAGATTGATTTAGTTTTATTAACCCATTACTTCATGGGCATTTTGTGAAAAATGGCTGTTTTCATTGAAAAGTCTCCCGTTACAAGTTCAAATTGCTTGCTGTAAAACTATAAAAACTGCCCCAATACTAATCAAACTTGGCACAAATGTTGACTGGACCATTGCCTTTGTAACAACATGCCCAGGCTTAAATTTCCTGTTACCATGGCAACGAGGGGACATCTCAAAATTGCCAAAAATGACTATTTTGCATTGATTTTTTCAATCAAAATTGATTTCAAAGTGCTGCAACTTCTCAATGGATTGAGATAGAGTCAAATGCTTTTCAGCGTTCGTTACACGTTACCTTATAATCGATCTGGGGTCATTTTAAGCCTCTCACAAGTCCAAAACTTTCTTGGCAATGAGGGGGACTGCCCCCTCGCCCCCTTCAAACGTGTTGGGAGCCTTAATAAGGCATTTTTTCACCATTTGATAAAACAATAAAGGGGGGGGGGAGGGTGAAAAGGGCGTTAAAAGGCGCGTATATCGGGTAATGGGTTAAATCCGTGATTTTACATAAATAAGGATTGACTGGCTTGGAGACACCTTAGGACGCATTCCTTTTGATTTTAAGCCTTTTATTGAGAGCCTCTTTATTGAGAGACTCTTGGATTCCATTGCGGAACAATTATGTTATGAGGGTATCATGTCATGATCTCATTTGATTTTGACCTAGGTTGGTCAAAGTTATTGCTAGTACTTTGAGCCTTGAGTAGTGCAGTAGATTTTGAAAATTAGAAACCGGCCACCCAAGTTTATCAAAACATAATTATGAATACTGACGTTTTCAGAGCTGTAACTGAAAAAAATAAGTCAAATGTAATCAAAGTCAGATCAGCTTTTGAATACATCCGTAGAGGCGACACAAAAAAGAGAGAAATACTTCTGCAGCTTAGATATATTTTATTTTGATTCATCTTCCCTTACTATTGTCAAACAACCATATCTTCAATGAATTGGTTCCAGCTCAGTTGTGAGTGTATGAGGCTTGTTCTAGAGAGCCCACAAACCCTTCATATTTATCAGCTGAAAATGCGTGAGCATCCACAGGATTATATTTCAATCTCAATTTTAAGGCCCTATCCAGATACATACAGATATTATTTAACGACCCATAAACGTTAACATTTACTGATATCCTGTGTTGCTATGATGATAATAATCATGAGTTTTCATAATGGCATATTGGTAGTCTAAAGCCTTTAGACCACTGTCTCCAGCCAAATAACAAGATAATTACGCTTCAAGCATATACGACATTCTCAAGCCAAATATTATTTGATCTATTATCCATTATGATAAACAATTTTGGCAGCCAATTCAGTTGTCACTTTAAATCGCCATTTCAGTGGTCAAGATCAAGTATTTTTAGTTTGGTATCCACTCGTATCCACAAATGTAAATGTGTAACATATACCAAGAAACCACTTGTACTACAAAATGCCTCTAGCATTTTATAGAGGATCTATTTTTTTAAAAGCAAACAAATTAACGGTTTAAACAAATCCTTAAAAAAAGAACCATCTGACCTTAACGGTCATGATAATTTAAAGGTCAAGGTGATATACAAGTTATTCAACATGTCCATTTGGTCACAAGTGTTGTCTTGTCCGTGTGTAAATAAAATCAGTACATAAATATTAAAATTATGACAACTTAACCAAAATTTAAATAATTTGACCCTGACGGTCAATGTAATTTAAAGCTCAGTGTCAAAGTAAGTTCAACTAACAATGTTAAATTTTGACATTGTATAACCATCATCATTTTAATTGTTGACCTTGCCTTGGACTTAGACCTTTGAGGTAGTGGCCTGAGTCTTGCGCACTGCACGTCGTCATTATGTCAAACATATTAAAGTATAATAATTTTTAAATCCATCCATCAATGACAGATTTGTTGATTGAACACGTACATCAGTTCATTTTTATCAAACATTTCCTTTGAAGTCAGGGTGTGTCCTTGACCTTTGAGCGTCAGACCTTAATGTTGCAATGACACATTGCCATAATGTTCTACAAATTTATACAATCTATTTTAATAATCGTCCATGAATGACAAAGTTATGGACTCGAAAAAGTTCGGACAAAAGAACGAACGTGCCAACATTTGGGATTTATGTGCTTTTTCTTTGAGATTTATGTGGCATTTTTCCCCATAAACCAGTAAAATTACCACATAAACCAGTCGGTTTATGGGATTTCCTTCTTGTTTTAACTAAAATTATGGACGAAATGAAGTTATAGACCATTGGTATTTTCGCCCGGATGGGACGGACGGAAGAATCGACGGACGATAGGTTGGACGCTTTAAAAACTATATGCCTCTCCACATTTTTATTTCTTTCTTTCTTTAGGGGTGGGGCATAAATTAAAATGTACATTCAAAAAAGTTGTGACAACACTCATAGCAACATTAAATGAGGATTTCCAAAAGGGTTTGTCTTAAGAAACCTAAATGGAAAGGTCGCTTGAGAGATATATTATCATATTGGTTAAGATGAAGTAAATAGCCATTATAAACAAGAATGTCGAACGACACATATGCCCCCTTTCTAGCCCTTGACTCACATAATTGGTAATTTTGTTACAGAAACTTGCCATAAATGGGTACATGGAAGTGTTCAATTATGGAAAAAAGAAAAATAATGAAGACTTTGTGAAATAGTTTTCAAGATAATGAGATATTTAAGGCACCTGTGACCTTGACCTTTGACCTAGTGACCCCAAAATCAATAGGGGTCATCTACTAGTTATGACCAATCACTATGTGAAAAATGAAGACTTTGTGATGAATACTTTTCAAGATAATCAGCGGAAACCATTTTGACATTTAAGGCCCCTGTGACCTTGACCTTTGACCTAGTGACCCCAAAATCAATAGGGGTCATCTACTAGTTATGACCAATCACTATGTGAAATATGAAGACTTTGTGATGAATACTTTTCAAGATAATCAGCAGAAACCATTTTGACATTTAAGGCCCCTGTGACCTTGACCTTTGACCTAGTAACCCAAAAATCAATAGGGGCCATCTACTAGTTATGACCAATCACTATGTGAAATATGAAGACTTTTTGATGAATACTTTTCAAGATAATCAGCGGAAACCATGTGGTCTACCGACCGACAGACAAGACAGACCGACATTAGCAAAACAATATACCCCCTCTTCTTCGAAGAGGGCATAAAAGTCATGAGAACACTTCCATCAAAATAATGCGCATGCGCAATGTCATACAAAAAATTAGAAGACTTTCTTAGACATTAAACGTCAGTTCAGTGTTCAGATCATTTATTTCCTTCAAAAAGAAGCAACGCATGTGGTGTAAATCTCGTCTGCAAAGGGCAACCAATATCAATAATAAAATATAACGTTTAAAGGGGCATAACTTCTAACAGTATTGCAATCAAGCTTATATCAATTATCATACAAATTCGTATCGTCATGATAATAAAGTATTATACGTTTATAGCTTTGATAGTTTTTGAAATTATTCTACTAATGATATTAATGTTGGCAAAAAGGGGCATAACTCCTAAAATATAGCTTTCAGAAATAAAGCCCATTTTATTTCAATGCACATCATTCAATAAATGCAGACAGAGCAAAAATGGAGAGAAACTAGAAATGTGTCCATAGGACACGGGTGCCCCCACCGCGCCACTGTTCTGTCAATCTTTTTACTAAGTCAAGGGAAATAACTCTACAAATACTGGATAAATTCACAAGCGAAACCCCAGGTGCAAATCTAAATATGCTGAGCAACCTACCCATAAGGTTTAATGACTATGTCAAATCCTTTTTGAGTAACTTGCGACACAAGTTGAAAATTGCAAAAAATTTCTAAATGAAGGGCAATAACTCTAAAAATAACTAAATAAATCCAGAAGAAAATACCTGGTGCATAACTGCACATGCTGATCAATATTCCTGTAAAGTTACATGACTCTAGATAGGTCAAATACTTTATGAGTTACGTGCGACACATGTTGAAAATTGCAAAATTTTACTAAGTCAAGGGCAATAACTCTGAAAATACTAAAAATATCCATACGAAAATACCCAGGTGCACAACTACACATGCTGATCAACATTCCTGTAAAGTTACATGACTCTAGGTCAAATACTTTTTGAGTTACATGCGACACAAGTTGAAAATTGCAAAATTTTACTAAGTCAAGGGCAATAACTCTGAAAATACTAAAAATATCCACACGAAAATACCCAGGTGCACAACTACACATGCTGATCAACATTCCTGTAAAGTTTCATGACTCTAGGTCAAATACTTTTTGAGTTACATGCGACACAAGTTGAAAATTGCAAAATTTTACTAAGTCAAGGGCAACAACTCTGAAAATACTAAAAATATCCAGACGAAAATACCCAGGTGCACAACTACACATGCTGATCAACATTCCTGTAAAGTTTCATGACTCTAGGTCAAATACTTTTTGAGTTACGTGCGACACAAAAGTGAACGGACGGACGGACGGACGGAAGGACGGACGGAAGGACGGACGGACGGACAAGGGTAAATCTAAATGCCCGCCACTAACGTGGGGGCAAAAAACTGTTTAAGCACAAACTACCCAATTAGATAAGGAACACCTAATGTATCATGTAAATACATTAGTCTCGGTAAATAAATAGAAACTGCAAGAGCAAAAGTAAAGAACATCAGTCTCGTAAACCTGACCTTGACCTACGTGACCACATTCTCCTTCCAATTTGATAGTACCATCAAATATATTTACCTACCAAATATGAAAGACATGACATGGGTCATCAGTCAATGAATAAAATTAATGCTGTTTAAGTAAAAGCATAAATATTTATTTAAGCACTTAAATTGTTACATTGACATTAGTGCCCCTACATTAAATCACCCCTGTATCTACCTGCAAACTACGAAATCCATCAGTCAATAAAAAAAATTATTTCCAAAAATCTATTCCCAGTACTAGTGACCTTGAGATTAATCCAAGTGACCCTAACTGCACTTACTGTAGGTTAAGTCCTACCAAATATGAAAAACATCGGTCAATGAGTAAAGGCTATAAAAGCAAAACATTTACCAAGCGATAATATACGCGTAAATTAAACAATCAAGAGGTAATGTATATTTTACTTCCTCTTTGGTCTTTATCACTGTTTAAAGTGACATTATGCTCATCCAAGGGTATAAATGAGTAAACAAGTGAATGTTATAATAAGTTTTCATTTTGCCAAAATTCCTTTAAATATAATTTTTTATTTCACACTAACAATAAACAACACGTGGATTCAAACAAAATGTCTGTAAATATCCACTAGATTTTACCTGTAACGTTCATTCCATAAAAAGAGTGGGACTATCTACATGCGATCTTATTTAAAATATATATACATGTATATGGAGAGATAAATAGTGGAAATACTAACGAACGATTCACTGAAAGCGTAAAAATCTGTAATGGATTCTATTCACAAGAATTTATTCATAGATGCCCTTTGTAAACGATCGTTTATATTTTATTAAAAAATAATATACTTATCGTTAACATGCATTTGGTTATATATAAAATATGTATCAATTTAAGTGTTACATGCTTTTTAAATGTCCGGTATATGTAACATTTTAACCGCTGTAAGTATATGATTATGTTATTTTACATTTTAAAAAAAAAGATCATACCTTTTGCCATGGAGCTAAATATACATCTGTGCTTTTGCCGTCTTTCTTTCAAGGGCTTGAAATAGAATTTCACCTTGTTCTAAGTTTTACATAAAACCCCTCAGAAAAAGCACGTTAATTTTCGAATACATGTTACGCTTGATTGACTTACAAAAGCGTAGTGGTTTGGTATCTTTGTTGAGTCTGTGATTGTTAATAATGAACTACATAAATTATAGGTTTCAAGTGATTAACATTAATTAAGTTAAACATTATTTAATAGAAAATGCCGAATTAAAACCTATTGTTCGGTAAGAAAAATAAAAGAGCATGTAGGTAAAAAGATACCGTACGAGTACTAGAGTTACAGACCCTAGTGCGCGTTCGTGCGTGCGTGTGTGTGTGTGTGGGGGGGGGGGTGGCTTTTAAAAACCTCAATCGCTACGCTCTATCGATTTTCAACTCGCCATCGGGCTGTCAATGCTTCTTCGTACGGTATTTATTAACTACTTCCCATCACTAGGATTAATCAAGTGTTTACGTAGTGTGAGTCCGTCTGCTTAGGTCAACAGAAAGAACATTTGATTAATAATAATCTATATTATCATATTAATCTACAACATTTCTTAGGATATGACCTTCATTTGTATCAAACTCAAATCGACCTTGGCTTATAATGATCTGACCTTGATGGTTTAGTTATTGAATTTTCACTGATTTTTGCTATAATTGACTGTAACTTGGTAATTAATGAATGTAATATCTTCATACTTGGACATAAAAACCTTTTAGCAAGACCTTCTTAAAGGTTGAAATGACCTTGACCTTTAATTAACCTTGACCGTCAAGGTCACATTCTTGCAGTTTGGTAAAATGGTCATCATTTTGTCATTTATGTACGGATTTGATTTATACTTGGAAAAAAACAACAATAAAAAAACCCCAAAAAACAACAACAACAACAACAAAAAACACAAGATTTGCTACCAAACAAACATATTGAATAATTTAGATGTGACATTGTCCATTATTTGAATTGACCGTCAAGCTCAAATTGATGAAATTTGTTTTTTATGTAACTGGCTATAACTTTGTTATTTATAAATGGAGAACTTCATATTTACACAAAACATCCTTAAGGCCAGGACATCGTCTTAACGTGTTAATGATTAGATAGCACGATCTAATTTGTATTTGAATTTTTTCGAAAAGAATCAGAAAAGAAAGAATGATCAAACTTACAGAAGTAAGTTGGGAGTTTTGTCTATTAAACATGCACACATGCATGTAACGCAACTTTTAACTTTTATGCAAACAATAAATAAATAAAAATAATAAAAAAGACAGACTGTTATTGATAACTCATGTACTTGTTTGCTACAAAAACTGTTTATGTAAACATTGATAACATCCATATTCAAATTTTAACATTTCTTTTTGTTTATCGTTATGTACATGTATTTATGTATCTTTAGTCATTGTAACGTCCAGTCTGGTCATTTTTCAAAACATGATAAACTCGTGCCTATCATTTAAGAGGGTACTTACGGGGTATCTGCAAAAATGACATTCATTTTACTTTATTTCAAACGCATGGATAAATGATACCAACTTAAAACAATAATATGGAAATCTAAGTAAGATTACTATAATTATGCCTCTAACTGTCAATTATGTAAGATTTTAAATGTCACATAAAATCAAATATAAATTTTGATAACATTCAAAGATGGTAAACAATTTGCATGTATAGAAGTTTGGCTAATATTTACTTAAATTTTACCTGTCAGGTAATATTCCATTCCAGATTTTGTCTGCACTTCAATGAATTTAACGTGTTGATATAATTATAAAATTTAACGTGTATCTAATGTCTGGTTAATACAATAATATTTACGTATTATACATGAATATTCATTGACAATTGGCGATAAAGCCCTTGTAACACGGAAGTAAACACTGCGTATGTAGTTACTAGGCTTTTTTTGCTTTGCTGTGCATTTCTATTTTCAGAAAACTTCAACACCTATAAACGTTTGACACAATTAATCGCATTATTAACAATAAGGTGATCGTTTTTGAAAAATCGCTGGTCATGTATTATCAAGTAGTATTCAGTAGAGATCTAAAACGAAAGTAGAATTATTTTTTTGATTATTTTTGTGTTTTACATTGGAAACAGACTTGTATTAGTCTAATAATGCAAGAATGTTCACTCTTTAATCAATATATTAATACTTGTTTATTTAATCATTTATTCAAGATTGGATTTTAACATTACTTTTATTTAATTATAATAGATTATGACATTTTATTTGTACTTTAGTTGAATTTATCGTGTACGGTACAGTAAAACAAAATACAAACAAAATGGGCAATCTTATCATAAAAAAACAAAGTTAATCTAAGAATTCTTTTAATACGGTCGTTTAAACATTTTACAAGGTAAGTACGTCGCCGTTTAAAAAGTGTAACACCCCTACATTTTTTAAAGCTGTCATTAAATTACTGAATTATTGGAACGAATAATCAATGGTATTGAATAAGATATGCTCTTTAAAAATCAGTACGGAAACAAGTCAGGCACAATTTAGTTTGATATCAATCAGCATTTATTTGTTGATGTGTTAGTAATGAAATCATATGTCCCAAGAATGCGCAGAATTATATCCCTCTCGCATCCGAAATTTAATCAGCGTTAAAAAAAATCACAGTCTGTTAGGGATATATTATTATATTATTTCTTAAATATAAGCAAAAAGAGGCCTGCTTAAAAGGTTTAAAGATTAAACTTTAAGTTTGATAACCACTAGGGCAAGGCGGACCGGGGAATGTCAAAGGTATACATAATGTACATATTCTGCAAACAAGGGTAATAAAGATTATTTAAAAAAGAAAGAAAGAAAGAAAGAAAGAAGAAAACATCTCGTTTAATTGGTAATTTTGAATTATTTTTGTTCATCTTTAGTTTTGCATTATTTTTTATCCTTAGTTGAACAAACATTAACAGATCGATATCACTGACTGTCACTCCTGAGGTTCCGGGTTCGATCCTGGGTAACACCCTTGGGATTTTTCAGAAACACTTTCAGTGTTTCCCACCTTACTAGAGGTGTACTGGTAAGAAATCCAGGTAATCCTCGCATGTATCAGTGCTATACACTGGGCATGTAAAAGAACCAAGGAATCTATTCAATAAGAGCTAGAGACTGGGTCCCGGATTCCCTTGTATCTCATAGCTGTCTCTAGAGTCTGCTTAGGTAAGGACCCTACTGGAAATAAGTGCTTGCACTTTCGTAGCCCGGTCCCAAGAAAATCAAATCGATATATCATACGCCAACCATATAAATTGGATGATGTCCAATGCCAATGTCACCCTTGAGGATCATATATCAAGCAATTAAAGCCTCTATAAATCCTATATCCCTTGAAGGATGTTCTTCATACGTGGCTTAAATGTTAATCTCAATTAAACAAGTACAAAACCCAATAAAACATGTACCCCCTTTGAATGATTTTTTCTTCAAAATTGGCTCAAATGTTCACCTCAAAAATGCAATGTGCAAAACCTATGCAGCAACTGTGTATGTTCAATGTCAAGGTCAACATTAAAGGTCAAATGCCAGACAATTTCGTGTCCACTTTAAACATCCTATACCCTTTGAAGGATTTTCTTCAAATGTGGCTAAAATGTTCACCTGAACAAGACAATGTGCGGAACCCATTCAGCCGCTCTGCAGGTTGGTTAAGGTTACCAGTTTTGTCGGTGCAACACCGTATCTAAATAATGCCATAGCCCTTCGATAACGAAAAAGCAAATGTTGTTTTACATATGAGCCGCGTCACGACAAAACCAACATAATGGGTTTGCGACCAGCATGGATCCAGATATTCTTACACTTAAAATTAGCTACTGATCTTGAACAGATAAAGACTTTTTTTATTCAATCCTGAATCATGCATATTTAGCAATATACAGTGTCGTCTTATTAAAGAGCCCCATTACTTAACTTCCAATTTGTAAATAAATATATAACTATATTTTTTTGAGAAATCTTGTTTAGTATATTGTCACATTATAATGTAAATATATTAAAAGTTAAATATGTACTATATTTTAAATGCCACATAATCATTTCTTATACGGAATTAACATTCTTGAGTCATAAAAAGGCTGTTCAGTTTGTTCTAAATTTTATAATCTTTTAAAAAGAAGCATTTTAAGTTTGACTTAGCATAAGGAAAGTATTTGCTTACAAAATAACCAGTCTGTCACAACTTTTATTAGCACATGCTGTATGAATTTTTTACAACGTTATATAAGACATGCATAAAAATTAGTTTAAGCTACAGTCTCACTTACATCCCGGCAGAGCCCCGGCAGAGCCCCGGTAGACGTCCGGGGTGATCCGGGAACGACCGGGGTACGACCGGGAACAACCGGGGTACATCCGTAACTCTGCCGGCAACGTCCTGGATGATCCGGGATGATCCGGGAACATCCGGCATTCGACCCCGGATGGAATAAAATATTTAATATCACCGGGGTGGTCCGGGATGATCCGGGAAGGTATAGCTTTGCCGGCATCATCCTTAGCTATGCCGGGAACGACCGGGGTGATACCGGGAAAGCACCGTAGCTCTGCCGGCACAAACCGGGAATGATCCGGGGTATTATATAGCCGGTAGAGCTACGGTAGATCTACGGTAGAGCCCCGGTATATGCCGGCAGAGCCCCGGTAACTACAGGCAGAGCCCTGGAGGATAAAGGTAGAGCTACGGTTGATCCCGGTAGAGCCCCGGTAGAGCCCCGGCAAAGCCCGGATCATTAAAAAAAAATAAGGACAATTTGTGATGATTGAACTTGTTTGTATTAAAAGCCTTCCCATTTCCCTTCTATCCAGTATGGCATAAGGATTTTTCAGAAAATCATCATGAATTACTATTCTGTAACGATAGATATTATATTAAATAAAAATTATGTATCAAAGTTATCATTTTCGGGCGTTTTCAATCCACCGGGGTTCTACCGGGGCTCTGCCTGGATCGTCCTGGGCTCTGCCGGGGCTCTGCCTGGATCGACCGGGGCTCTGCCTGGGTCAACCGGGGCTCTTCCGGCGTCATCCGGGAACAACCGGGGAAGCACCGGCATGAACCGTAGCTTCACCTGGGCTCTGCCTGGATGATCCGGAGCGCACCCTGGGTGGTTAGTAGGGAACTACCGTAGTGCTGCCGGGGTAAGTGTGACCGCAACAATAATTTCATCCCGGATCATCCCGGTAACTTACCGGGATGGTCCTGGGCTCTGCCGGGAGTAAGTGAGACCGAGGCTTTAAATAAACTTTTTTCATGCCATGGGCAAACTAAAATATGTATTAAAATGGAGATTGTGTTTATGTGGAAATAAACATAAGAATATAATACCCAAGTCAGTCAGTCAGTCATTCAGTCAGTCATTCAGTCAGTCAGTCAGTCAGTCAGTCATTCATTCAGTCAGTCAGTCAGTCAGTCAGTCAGTCAGTCAGTCAGGCGGTCAGTCAGTCAGTCAGTCAGTCAGTCAGTCAGTCAGTCAGTCAGTCAGTCAGTCAGTCAGTCAGTGTCAGTCAGTCAGTCATCAGTCAGTCAGTCAGTCAGTCAGTCAGTCAGTCAGTCAGTCAGTCAGTCAGTCAGTCAGTCAGTCAGTCAGTCAGTCAGTCAGTCAGTCAGTCAGTCAGTCAGTCAGTCAGTCAGTCAGTCAGTCAGTCAGTCAGTCAGTCAGTCAGTCAGTCAGTCAGTCAGTCAGTCAGTCAGTCAGTCAGTCAGTCAGTCAGTCAGTCAGTCAGTCAGTCAGTCAGTCAGTCAGTCAGTCAGTCAGTCAGTCAGTCAGTCAGTCAGTCAGTCAGTCAGTCAGTCAGTCAGTCAGTCAGTCAGTCAGTCAGTCAGTCAGTCAGTCAGTCAGTCAGTCAGTCAGTCAGTCAGTCAGTCAGTCAGTCAGTCAGTCAGTCAGTCAGTCAGTCAGTCAGTCAGTCAGTCAGTCAGTCAGTCAGTCAGTCAGTCAGTCAGTCAGTCAGTCAGTCAGTCAGTCAGTCAGTCAGTCAGTCAGTCAGTCAGTCAGTCAGTCAGTCAGTCAGTCAGTCAGTCAGTCCGTCCGTCCGTCCGTCCGTCCGTCCGTCCGTCCGTCCGTCCGTCCGTCCGTCGTCCGTCCGTCCGTCCGTCCGTCCGTCCGTTCCGTCCGTCCGTCCGTCCGTCCGTCCGTCCGTCCGTCCGTCCGTCCGTCCGTCGTCCGTCCGTCCGTCCGTCCGTCCGTCCGTCCGTCCGTCGTCCGTCCGTCCGTCCGTCCGTCCGTCCGTCCGTCCGTCCGTCCGTCCGTCCGTCCGTCCGTCCGTCCGTCCGTCCGTCCGTCCGTCCGTCGGTCGGTCGGTCGGTCGGTCGGTCGGTCGGTCGGTCGGTCGGTCGGTCGGTCGGTCGGTCGGTCGGTCGGTCGGTCGGTCGGTCGGTCGGTCAGTCAGTCAGTCAGTCAGTCAGTCAGTCAGTCAGTCAGTCAGTCAGTCAGTCAGTCAGTCAGTCAGTCAGTCATTCAGTCATTCAGTCAGTCAGTCAGCCAGTCAGTTGGGAAATGTAAAATACATCAAGCTACGTGCAATGCGTTTATTAGGTCTAAATTTACGCCCTTGTTTAAGAAAGGTGAACTTAGTAAATGACTTTTAACGTTTAACGACAAAGCGGACGTAACTTGCAAACAAAAGTCTGACAAATTTATAGTAACTTTTAACTATTTAAGTGCGCGATTAAAGTATGTCCTAGCTTCTGATCCCGACTGTCACTAGACGAGGTCGGAACCTAGGACAGAAGAATTACAATATTCATGTTAATGTATTTTCACGTTTAATCTACGAATTTACATCATATATAACATCGACTTTTGTAACCTGATATTATAAATGGAAACGGTTTAATAACTTCAAAGGTTTTTTTTATAACTTGTTTACATGAGCTCTATATCCGAAATTTGACGGAAAAAGCCGAACATTTACGACTGAAATAACTTCCTGATGGATTTCCAGTGGATTTCCCCATTCGAGTACAAATGAACAAAATGTTATGAAAATAACTATGTGACGGGATTGTCTACGAAAATGAAATAATTTGTTTCAGAAACTTATACCACGTACAGTAAAGTTATACAGTGAACAGGTAAATATATTTTATAATTTATATTTTAATTATACAGGAGGGACACTATATTTTGTTTCAGTCTAAAATGTTGATGTGTGTTTGAATTCGAGGGTGTATATTATATTACATTTAATATCTGTGACGTGTCGTATCTGAATTATCACATTACTTTAAAAAAATCACCACAACGTATTTTGTAAACAAAAAAAGAACACATATCACGTGGTTTTAATCTAAATCCACAATTTATTTCAGTAAAGAGACGGTTGTCTAATTGGCACGGTGCCACCTTAATATTGACATCATTTGATTAATTTCACGCTGTATCAGTAACATCAGGACTACTTTGTTGATTTTTATACATGTATACGTAATGCTTATTGCTAGAACAATATTTTAAAGGTACATTATGCCTCAGAAACAAAGTTTAATTCTTTTGAAATGACAAACATGTGTTAAATAATATTCTAATAATGGATTTAGAGAACGTTAGATGTTTAACAAGAAAGTAACGCTGAACGTCCAGTAGAAAAGTGTCGTAAAATTAGCAAAATGTAAATGAAACAGTATTTTGACTTCCATACAAAACTCTTATACAGTACTAAAGGATTAAAAGAAAGTTCATGTATATGGATTTATCTTTTTAAGGCACTGTATCAACATTCCAAGCATAAAATATAAAAAAAATAAGAAATAATAAAAATGAAAAAATGCAATAGATTGTTAACCTATAAATGATAACTTTGGAATACGGATTGGAAGTAGTTCTACCAGTGAATAAAAAGGGAGGATGTAATGTTTCATGGTGTATAAAGAAATATATATTTTACATCAAATGGAAACCGGTTAAGTTGTAATTGAAAATATGTCTGATTTTATGTATTCAAAACTAAAATAAAATATGTATGCAAAACTAAAAAAAATGTACGAAAAACAAAAAACAAAAAAGTATCAAAAACAAAACAAAAACAAAAAAAATAAATAAAAAAATTGCAAATGTCACTTTTATGCCACCGTATTGTACAAAGTTACAGAAAAAAATGACAATAATAAATATATGAAATTCTTACCTTAAAAATGAAAAAAAGAATGGTAAAATAAGTTTCCAATGTTTAATGTTGTTAACAGAATGGTTAACTGTTGTTGTTGTTGTTGTTGTATAGCATAGCCTTTTATATGAATTTGTAGTCAAGGATTTCACCTTAACAACAAACAGAAATGAAGACATGGTGATCAATAGAATTTACTGTCTATTTGAGAATTAAGATTAATTTGTCCATAAAACTACAAATACAAAATAACATGTTGAACTATTGAGCTATTGATCAAAGTTTTCCTGTAACAACATGATTACTGGACAGATTAGTAAAATAGATAATCTCTTTGTTTGGTAAAATACTATAGTAGCTTTGTGGCAAAAAAAAGAAGTTTTTTGAAATGTTTCATGTACCTAATTTATGTTAACTTTTACTCGATATATTGGAATAATCTTAGCCAACAACTTCCAGCATCAAATTACTCTTTTTTAACATGTTTATTTTCTTGGCGTATCAAAAGTTTGACGGAAAGGGTCAAGAAGATGCAATTTGAAAAGTTAAATTAAGATAAAAGCAAGCTATATGCAATAGTCTTGATAGATCTATACAGAAGTATTTGGATATGACGTACGCTATGTACTTTATAATGTAAAGAAGTCAACAAATATACGGAGAGCTATTAGAATTCAGAGCTAAATACAATTATTAAAACAAGCAAATTAACCTAGGTTTTGTAAACCTTATGCTTTTATTTTTCTCTTATATAATGTATTAATAATTTCAGTTACGGAAAACAAAATATTTTCGCTAGTATTTGCAAGACTGACGTGATTTGAAATCTAAATATCAGAAGGGTTCCACATACAAACCAAATCCCACGGAAGCGGGGGTGGGGTTAGTTTACTGTATATCTTTAACCATTTCATCATTATTTTAAAAAATACTATCAGTTAATATTAATATAGAAATTAACCAGATATAATTTTCAGGATAGAGAACTGAGATGCCTGTAAAAGGAGAATTTGGCCTGAAAAAGGGCATTGATTTACATGGCGCCATCAATGAATTGCCTGGAAAAATATATTTAGAACTGAGAGACAAACTTAATACTAATCCTGAAGACAAAGATTGGAGAGCTCTTGCTGCTGCAGTGGAAAAAAAGTACAAGATAGAGTATGAACATTAAAATGTATACAATTTCATTAAGTGTTGAATCAAACTAAATAGTTATATTCTGTTATACTGTTGATTAACAGATCAGGAAATTTTAGATAAAATTGTTTGTGACCATTTTTATCGATATATCTTTTATGATAAATTTTTCGGGGTCTGTCAATGAATGACGAAGCCGTTAGACAGGCTGAACAAAGAACTTTGATACTTTTTACATGTGAGATTGCCTAATTATCCAGCTTATGGAAGGTCAGGGTTTCAATTTAGATGCTTGCTTGTCCAAAATGACCATAACTTTTTGGCTGACTTCAAACCCAACTAACTCAGCCCCCTCTTCACCAACCTAATTAAAAATCTATTGAAATCGTTGATAAATGTGTTGTACAAATATGTGTGCATGTATCTCATATAAATCACCAAAGCTGCAATTATAAGAAAGATTCAGTATAGCTTTTATGAACTAGTTATTTCTGTTTCAGTAAAGAAGCACTGACATATTTTCGGTACCTACTTATCTTTAATTGTAGATCTTTTTGTTTAACTTAAGTTAGCATCATCTAGAATTTAAGAAAAGTAAAACAAAAAAATTATTATAGCAATACTACGATTGCGAGTTGGTTACAGACTGGTAGTGCTGCTGGGAAACTGCTGACACAACTCAGCTCTCAGGGAATGACAGTCAAAGAATTGGCACACTATTTAGATACTATAGAGATAGATACCTGCACTCTGGGATTGTCACCTCCAGGTTTGTTGATGGGATTATGTACCTCAGTTTTCATTAAGCAAGTCCTTAGATAATATATAAGGGAAAATTCCATAAATAAAATAAAAGTCACATTATTAATATTAAGCAGTCGGTCAGGAATTAGAAATGATTTATAACAAATTATGACGATAATCAGAAGTGTGATTGAGAATATAATTGAGAATTGTCTGATTAATTGTGTATGTACAATTATCAATTTCATACAATGACACGTGTTTCTATTTGTGTACATTATGTTCAGCGGATATAAACATCATTAAAGCACCCCCAACAGAGTTAGAGGTGTTTGAAGGGGATCCATTGGTTATAGAAATTGATGCAACAGGTCGGCCGTTCCCAAAGTATCAATGGTATTTTTGTCAGAATGTGGAAGATGACTATAAGAAACTGCGTGGAAGAACAGAGAAAGTACTAAGAATAAATGATGCTACGTAAGAAAAAATTAAATTGTAATATTTTTACGCTTTGAAGTTTTAAAAGGCAGTTTAAAAGATTATCAGTGAATATGTGTGTTTATGGTGATTATCAGAATTTGTGTTAGTAATATGGGCAATGTCAAATACTATAATGTCATATTCATATTGTAAAATTTACTGTTCGTGAGGTGACATTGTCAGATTCTACATTTATGTAGTCAATGTAAAATTCGTTGTTTGAGAAGTCAGTACAAATTTAATTTTCTTGAAGTCATAGTCAGATTCTTTTCTTTATGTTGTCAATTTCTATGTAAGATGTCAATGTTGAGTTGTTGTGGTCGATTTTTAAGCATTTCATCCCTCATCAAAGTGAAGTCTCTCTCTTTTTCACAGAGGCACTAGCCATCTTTGATTGATATCAGTAAGGTTTACAATTGTCTACATGAATTGTAATTTTTGTTTTAATTTCAGAACTGGCAATGCTGGAACATACGCATGTCAGATATCAAATCACAGAGACCCAAGGAAAACCAAGTTAACCGACCATATAGTAGTGTCTGTGATACCTAAACCCATGCCACACAACTCAGGTCTGAATCCGCCCAACAGGGATGATGTTGAATACAATCAAAATACAATATACAATCAAAATGGTAAAAAATGAAAAATATATTCCTGACCTAACATTTGAAATGCGCACGTTTTTATTTTCTTTCTGTCTTGTTTTTGTGAGGGCTTTATCTCAGTAGCACAACTTAAAATTATTGAGGGTGGTTTTTGTAGTTTACCCTCTTGATCATGGCAATAAGCCACAATGAATTAAATCAGAAAACAATTTTGTCATCGCTTTATTCCTGGGCAGGACGTCAAGCAGTTTACTGAACTAGCGCCTTCACTTTCACAAGTAACATATATACTTATGTACATGCAAAAGCAAAATTGTTTCATGACCAACCACAGCGAAAGTGACCTGCTCGGTCCGGGAATCAAACCAATGGATCTAGCACTCTTCTTATAATTCTTGAAAGCTTTCCTACTATAATTAGCTGAAGATTTTGAGTGTCAGCTAATGATTTGGTTCATTAATTATTACAGATTTATGGCCCTTTTATACCCGTGTATTCACTTAAAAGACACTTTCTCAGCATCCATTAGTTAAATACCAGGAAACTTCCTAGATGTCGTCACTATTCATGTGCATAATATTATTTTATTCAAATGGTTTGGTTCATTGTTTATACTTGCATAGCTATTAACAGATGAGTTAGATTAAACAAACAGATGAACTAAGTAGTAAACAAACAGATGAATTAGGAAGTAAACAAACAGATGAGTTAGGTAGTTAACAAACAGATGAGTTAGGTAGTTAACAAAAAGATGTGTTAGATAGTAAACAAACTGATGAACTAAGTAGTAAACCAACAGATGATCGAGGTAGTAAACAAACAGATGAACTAAGTAGTAAACAAACAGATGAATTAGGTAATAAACATACAGATGAGTAAGGTAATAAACATACAGATGAGTAAGGTAATAAACATACAGAAGAACTAAGTAGTAAACCAACAGATGAACGAGGTAGTAAACAAACAGATGAACTAAATAGTAAACAAACAGATGAATTAGATAATAAACATACAGCTGAGTAAGGTAATAAACATACAAATGAACTAAGTAGTAAAGAAACAGATGAACTATTAGTAGTAAACAAACAGATGAATTAGGTAGTAAACAAACAGATGAGAAAGGTAAGAAACAAACAGATGAACTAAGAAGTAAACAAACAGATGAGTAAGGTAATAAACAAATAGATGAACTAAGTAGTAAAGCAAACAGATGAGTTAGGTAGTAAACAAACATATTATTTAAATAGTAAACAAACAGATGAACTAAATAGTAAACAAACAGATGAGTTAGGTAGTAAATAAACAGATGAATTAGGTAGTAAACATACAGATGAACTAAGTAGTAAACAAACAGAGGCACTAGACAGTAAACACACAGATGCATTAGGAACGAACATATGGTAAGTTTTATTCCCTTAAAAGTATACTGATTCTAGAATTTATTTTGACAGGGCTTGCAAGTTCCAGTTCCAGTTCTAATGATTTCAACCAAGTACTGAATAAAAGATGTAAGTTTACAATTTTTTGACTGATATATTTTTATTGGATTTATTCTCTTTTATTGACTGAAAGATAATTTGTATTATTTTTATTCACGTATACATTTGCAAACTGTAGTCACAATATACATATACAAGCCTGAAAGGTATTGCCTTAAAGTAATTATATACGGCACAATCACTATGGTTCTAACGAATTATACCACTCTATCATATACCTGTAACACCTACGTAAATATACTAAAATGAAACTATGTAAAAGTAAAATCTTGCTGAATGAAATTACCAACACTTTAGTTTGCCCTCAAATCGAGGACCTCTTGATCTTGATCGATGTATCGTACTACTGAAAACCTCCCTTCCCAAGATCACATTTCATATCAATAAAGATGTTGACTTTTTATACCCTAATGAGATTTTTGTTTTAAAAATACTTTTAAAAAGAACTGAATTCTCTTGATATATTGTCGGCCTTGATTTGTCAATAGTGAGTTTGCAAGGTCTGTAGACCTTGTTTTTTTATAAGTTCAAATCTTAATCAAGACTTGCAAAAGTTTTTCTTTTTTCTTTTTTAAAAATTTTATTATTGTTTATTTAGGCATAATATCTTACTCATAATTTGTAATATAAATTTACCTATTATAGCTCATATTGACAGGTATACTTTGTTATTGTTATACAAATAATGTATCATTAGAATTTATATTTCAGGTTCTTCCCCTAGTGCGAGTCTAATCTTAGGTCAACCTAGAGATGTTCTTGTAGGAATGAATGAACCATTTGTTTTGACTGTACAGACCTCTGGTAATCCACCTATCACATATCAATGGTACAGGAATGGTTTAAAAATTCAGGGCCAAGTCTGTCCAAAGCTAAGAGTAAGTATTATATGAATGAGTTTTGTAGTATTTGACCACAACATATCGATTCATGAATTTATCCATATGTTAGATTAATGGTTGTTATATTATATCTCTTAGTTTTCTGAAATGTGAATGGTGAATGTGGTTGGGCAGCCAGGCGTAAACAAATTCTTGTGTGCAACTATTTTTTAACAGATCTATTGCCACCAAGTTCCCTGAAGCATATTGTTGGGGTTTTGTATTTTATCACATTTGACACAATATGCCCCTTTGTGGTTCTTTTTACATATGTAATATCTCCTGTGAGCAACCCCCACATTTTTCAATGGATTTCGCAGTACTATTGTAGCCTAGTGCATGTTTTGGCACATATTGAACAACATTACGGTTTAGTGATTTGAACATTTTGACAGAATAGGGGCATTTTGTTTTTATGCCCCCGGACATATAGTAATTGAACCGCCCGTCCGTCCATCTGTTCATCTTCCTGTCTGTTTGTACGAGATAAGCCTAAAGTTAGATTATCTTAAGTTCTACCAATACCAATGGTTTCATAAGTTTCTAACTTACGAGTCAAGAAAAAGGTTATTGTCAACCTCAACCGGCAAGTTGAATTTATCTTAAGTTCTGTCTATCCTATTGTCTTCATAATCTCCACGGTTATTTAACAATACAAAGTACATGGTATTGCCAAGTCACCTAACTGTGCCGTCCATTTTCCCCTAAGTTGGATTTATCTTACATTTCTTTAATGATATCTTCCATATTTGGAAAGTGGATAGCTTTCATGGTCCTCTTACTTTTTGCTGAGTAAGTCACTTGGGTCAAGGACTAGGTAAGTGGTTTTAAAAAATAAACTTATAATGAATTTAATTTTTCAATATCTTCTTGTTTCCCAGACATACAGGGGCTGTGTTGAAACTCTATTACTTCTCAAGGAGTTCATCCAATGTTTCATAAAACTAGTGTTTCAAAGTGACCTGGGATTTGTTAGGGTTTTGTCATTTGATCATTTTTGAGAAATATATCCCTTGTTCTTTATTTATATGAAAGTTATAGAGAAATTAACTATTATAATTGGCGGAAAGCCTGGTTTTATGACAATTTCTAAATATTAGATTTAAATATGCATTATTTTAACTTAACTCATTGTTACTGCTGTAAATTTTATTTGTCCGTATAAAGAAGTTTTCTAAATTTTTAGAGATGTCTGTACAAGCTTTTGGACAGCCTTTGCTATGCGAACAATCAGTCATATTGATCAACCATCAATAATCAAAATGCAGAAGGAAACTCCTGCTTGACCTGTTATTACCTGTCAAAACTGTCCTTATTCTTGCATTAAAAATATCAATTTATGTATGTTTATCCAAAGATTTATATATATATGCCTGGTTTTATGACAATATCTAAATATTAGATTTAAATATGCATTAAATTAACTTAACTCATTGTTACTGCTGTAAGTTTTATCGTGAATGAAGTAAGTTAATGTTGCATGTCAACCTGTTTTTGACTTACTTGTCAGTTCTATCAGAGTCATTGTTTAAATTTCTTTATTAGTCCGTATAAAGAAGTTTTTCTAAAAAATTTAAAGATGTCTGTACAAGCTTTTGGACAGTCTTTGCAATGCGAACAATCAGTCATATTGATCAACCATCAATAATCAAAATGCAGAAGGAAACTTCTGTGTGACCAGCCCTTACCTGTCAAAGGTATTGATAACTTCAAAATATGATAATTCTCATTTCATGTATTTTTATATAATTGTACGAACTGCGTGATTCAAATCAGTAGCCATGACCAATCAACCATGAAGATCTCGTAGGATCAAGACTGGTGATAAAGTTACTGCAAGTATAACGAGTCTTTTTGAGGGGACTCTTAAAACTTAGGTCTCATGAAGTGGTGTGGTGTTTTATACCTTACATGGTACTGAACGAATTGTTGTTTGTTTCTTTTTTTTAAAATTAAGTTCATGTAAGTTATGTACTGTATTGATTGTAAAATCCCTCAGTTCTGGTAGGGTCGTTTGCCACACTTTTTATAGTACAGCAAACCATTATGACTATGAATAATGCTTTTGACATGCCTCAGGTGCTGTTAAAACAGCAACGTTAGTTTTGTTTTGTTGATTTTAGGTCATAGTTTATTAACTGATGTGTTTCCTCTCCTACATTACAGGTTCAGCATGCATCAGTATTAGATTTTGCCAAGTATTATTGTCTGGTCAGTAATGGTTATAAAACTGAACAAAGTAACACAGCATCTGTTACAGGTATGGTTTTGTTTAGGAATGTTTTATAAATATGCTACATAGTTTAATTAATTGTTTGTTTATTATATCTGGCATTATTGTAAGTGCAAATGTTAATAGGTGTAGTGTATCGATGTTATATTTATATATATTTAACTTATTAACAATACTTTCTTATTTTCCATTTGAATAAACCTTAGTCTTTAATAAGGAAACAGTGGGAATAGTTGGGAAATCAAGATGTGCTGACTGTCTGTTACTTTATGTTTCACTCAACGTTAGTAACAAAAATATCAGTCTGGTTATTAGAGAGAGTTAATACATTTCGCGCTGGTTAAGGTATTGAAAGGGAATATTCGGTGATTTAAAATACCGATGCTATAATTTCTTTAATATATATCAGATAAGACCATACATGCCATATTTCCAGCCACCCAGATAGGGGGATTTGGCTTTTAAAAGCAGAGGATTTGGACCAAAAATTGTTTTTTAAAGCATCGCAAACAGTCGTAATCATAAAAATATGCAAAAAAGCATTTCTTGAAAATCATTTGATATTTCCAAATTTTAATAAGAAAATAAATAACAACTAAAGGCAATTATATTTTTTCCTTTCTTTTTCTTGTAGAGAAATTCCCTAAACCGGAAAGAAATGTTGGTATGTGATAGAATCTATTTATATTTTTCTACCTTAATTTGAATCATGGTAATATCGATTTTCAGTGCCAGAACCATAGCAAATGAGATGATAAATGACAAAAAAGATTATACATTGATATACTCTGATTACTGTTTGGATTTTATTAATAATTTTAGCATGTTAAATGACATAAACTTCCAAGCTTAAAGTTGTGTAAGTTTGAAACTTTTCTTCTGGCTCATATAAAAATCACCTGTAACAGTATGACAATTCTTAATTTCATCCTGCTATATTTTTAATTTTATAAATGCTTTTAAAATTCGTAGCATTGTAATATCATATGAAAATTGAGAAGAATTAACATTAGTATTTAAAACAGTGACTTTTTCTTTTGGACAATTGTAAGAATAGTAGGACTATCCTACAAATCTGTGCGTCAGTATCGGCATTAGCTTAACAATTTGGTTAAACTTTTATGTGTAACTTCTGTTGCATTATCATATCTCTGCAACCGCTAAAAAGTTTTGCTTCTTTCACCTGTTCACTGTCCAAGACAAATAACTCTAGCATTGATTTTGACAGACAAATGACCTTTCGTGAATTTAGGTTGTTGCTTGGAAACCATAAATGCTCTTTTTGAGACAACATGTTAAGGATGAGCATTATACAACACAAATTGGCAATAAAAAACCCCGGGAAAATGGGCATACTTCTAAATTTAATAGCATATTGAGCAAGTCACTTGACATTTAGTTACCACTTTTAGTGTATTTTAGGTCCAAAATTTCGTTATCCTGGTGACCAAAAGCCGGCCGATAAATAAAGTTGCTCAAACCTGTTCTTGTTTGTCTTGATGTGTTTTACATCTTTTACCTTGTTGTCTTAGAAATTTATGGTTATAGTTTTGTCTTGCAAGTTAATCTTCAAGGAATTCATTTACAACTTATGACATGATCATAATTGGAAGTCATCATCCAAGGCTCATAACCCTGACATTGACTTTAATAGAATAATTCCCTTTGTGACTTTAGACAATCCTTAACATTTGTTTGAAACATCAAGCTTAAAAACTCCTCGATGTATTCATAAGAAACATAAGCATTGTCTTCATGACCATAGTTAGAGGTCACTGTCCGAGACACATTACTCTTACATGTGTTTAGACAAAATTATTGCCCTTGGTGAACGGTGAAAGTTTCGCATCTAACATCAATCTTCAAAACTACTGAAGTTATTCATTTTAAACTTCTTACATTTATTTGGGGTCACAGTTTGAGGTCATAGTTCAAGGCCTATTACTCTGACAATGATCTTGACTGAATTATGATGACCTTTTGTGAACTGTGAAAATTCATGGTTGAAGTTTTGCACGCAATAACAATATTCAAAACTACTCAATGTTTTTATTTGAAACTTTTCAAAACGTCTAAACGACCATAACTTGTAGTTTCTGTCCAAGCCAAATAACTCTCTTGACGCAGATAATGATTGAAAAACGATCCTTTGTAATGTCACGGGTCGATTTATTGTCATGTAAATGTATTAATGAAACCCTTTTTTTGTTAATTGAAACATTATTCTGACTACTTTTATTGCTCTGAAAAGGCTTACTGACATCTTGTCCATTTATAACATACGTGCTTGAAAGGTTAAAGTACATTTACTGTTACAGAAATTGTGATAGTGTCACAACCAAAGTCTGTATGCGTGACGTTTGGGGGATCTGTGTTGTTCAGTTGTGAAGCTAGGTGCTGTGAACCTCTGAAATATCAGTGGTTTAAAGATGGAAAACCTCTTCAAGGTAAAGATAAATAAAGTTATTTATCAATTGAGTCATATGATTCTTTTTAGACTGTCTTCTTTCTAATATTTCTCATTTTTTATGTTCTGTGCCATCTGTCTGTACATATGTACTGTTGGCCTGTTTTCGGTAAATTGGATTTATCAAAAGGTTTATTTTGCTGTAAACTTCGCTTTTACTTATCATACTTACCATATTCGTACCTTGACTGGCCGTATGAAGATTGAAATAATTTTGATAATGTATAGCATCTAAGCACGGTCACTTTTGAACTAAGTATGTAGAAAGAACCTTATATTAAGAACTGTATGCAAGTTACTTTTATTATTGTATCAACATTTGAGCCGCGTCACGACAAAACGAACATAATGGGTTTGCGACCAGCATGGATCCAGACCAGCCTGCGCATTCGCGCTGTCTGATCAGGATCATGTTGTTCGCTTACAAACCCTATAACAAGTAGAGAAACTGATAGCAAACAGCATGGATCCTGACCAGACTGCGCATATGCGCAGGCTGGTCTGGATCCATGCTGGTCGCAAACCCATTATGTTGGGTTTGTCGTGACGTGGCTCATTTAACTTATTTTATTATTCAGGTGAGGTGTCATCAGACATGAAGTTTATGAATATACAAGATCGTATAATGGAAGGATTTTATCAGTGTGAGATTTTTGTTGACAGAAGAAATGAAAACATGCCGAGAATGATGACAGTAGGTGCTTGGCTGAAAGTTAAGATACCAGATGTGAAGGATAATATAGAATACAATCGTAAGTATTAAAGCGGCCTTCAACTTTTCTAAATGTTATAATATATATCAGTTTTAGATAAATTGTTTCATATAATTGTCAAATCAAAAGAATTAAAAGGTATAAAATGAAATTTGCCGTCGATAGAATATACCGGTCCGCTCTCTATATTTAAGTAAGTATTTTAATCAAAGATGACGATTCGTTTCCCAATCTTCTATTTTTAGAAACGAACGTCTTGGGACGCTGTTTTGAAGAAGGTTTTACACAATGAAATGATGCATTTTTTTCGAAGAAAGAATTACTGAAACGCTAAGTTTGAAACAATACAAAATTGTTTTTGTTTTTTCAAACAGTAAATAAAAAGCTGAAGGCCGCTTTAAAATATGGCTAGTATAATTATAGTGTGTTATGTATCAAACAAAAGCGTTTATGCTCAACATACCATTTTATATATTGCCTTATATTTTCAATGACATCAATAGGGACAGCAGTTAAGTGTTTGATATTACATATAACATGTGAAGAGAATGTGATTAGGATCTTAACTGGTTATTCCGGGTACCTTTATAATTAACTGTGCATGAACGATGAATAACTTACATAACCCAAGGAAATTTCTGTAAATTTCCATCGAAAATTACCTGATACGTTCAATTCATCAAATACTTTTTATCTTTAAGGTAGATTTATATTTTCTCATAAAAAATTTTCAATATCAACTGTTGGTCAATAGAGGAACATTATTACAAAAAGGGTAATCGGAGATCTTTCAGGAAGCATTAAGAGGTGATGTCAAGCTGTTAGTTATAGCAAAATGAAGACTTCACCATTGTCCTTAAGCTTTTGAAAATTTCACGTTTAATCAAAATCTCAATCTTCTATTGCTTTACTACTTAAATTTCCAAAAGTCATGATGTGCTTAGTGAATTTTAGATTGTACAAGTAAATATTTATTATCAAAAGAACTTAAAGCATTAATGCTTCTAAAGCATTAATTCTTCTTCGTATGAAATACAGTATTTGTTGTACATGTGGCATGTTCACTATAATAATTGCCAACAATAGAAGTGTCAAAGGGACTTCACTGAGGTTTTTGACCTAAAGGTAACACATAGCCCCCACCCACCATTTCTCAATAAACTGTACAAGATATTGCTTTGACAACATAATTATATGCATATTTCTGACCCTTACAACCCATTCTGGCATAAATTTTTACATAAAAATTGACATTAGTTTGCCTACTTTCAATTTTTTATACCTGCTTTTTTATTTTCAAGTACTGTCAGTATTACATAAATACAATTATGTTGAATAGCTTTTACATTTTTTTCCCAACAGCTTCAGATAAAGTGGCTTTACTTATTGGTAACTCGGATTACAAGTGTCACAAAAGGTTAAATGGGGCGAGTATAGATATACGGATGCTAGCAGAATCATTTCGAGCATTGGATTTCAGAGTTGTTTCCCTTTTGAATCTCACTAAGTCTGAGATGGAGAATGCTGTGCTTCATTTTATTGACTTGTTAGGTAAAAACGTGTATGCTGTTTTCTACTTTTGTGGACATGGATTTGAAGAACACGGAATGTCATATCTCATACCGAGCGATGGTCCAACAGGAAGCACAGCCAAAGAGTGTGTTTGTGCACAAGAGATTTTGGCGAATATACAGAAAAAGGAGCCACCAGTTATATTCATGATATTAGATATTTGCAGGGAAAAGTAAGTAGACAGATATTGAAGTTAACACTTGGGTATTGCATTATCATTTAAAAACTTGTTTATTTTATCTCAATATTGAGCTCTAAATGGAGCCGTATTCTTATTCATGTCTTCCTTTTTGTTTCAACTTTTGATCTACAAAGTGCAACTTTTAGGGTTTGATGAAAAGGAAAGAATAATATAGCCTTTGCCTTAGGTAAAGAAAGGGCAAGACTGGCCTGCCATTTATGATTATTATTTGCGAGCCAAAACAGAAATAAAACTAATGACAAAAAATAAATACTAGTAATCGATTGTATATGTTTTTTTTCCAGACCAGCAATAAGTTCACCAACAGTTGAACAAATTGTCCCTAAAACAGAAAGAGGCAACACAGTATTTTGCTATGCAACGTAAGTATGAAATAATTTGAGATTTGTTCTCTGTAAAAAATGTGATGTTAGAAATTGTGTATTATTTTGAAATACAGATTTATATGAATGTCAGCTTAAAATTTAAAGGTAAAGATAAGTTTGTTGGTCATTTTTTTAATTTTTTTATTAATTGCTTGCATAAAGTTTTCGATAACTTTTGAAAGAGGTGACAAATCAAAATTCTTTGTAAAGCACGGAATTTATAACTCCTTTTCATAAAAAATCCCCCATAATTTTTTTGATACATTCTGAAATACAATCATTTTAATAGATATATATAGATGTATTATAAAGTGCATATGGGGTTTTACTTTAGGAGTTCAAATGTGAAAACAAAGGTCTTTTGAACAAACTCATCTTGTGAATCAATATAATATTTATTCAGGGGCGGATACAGAATATGGTTTTTTTTTGGGGGGGGGGGGGGGGCTGACATATGGATGGACGATTTTGACACAAAAATAATGCAACTCATGTGGCAAAAAAAGTACTTAATGTGTTTTTATAGCTCATCTTATGAGTGGCAATGTACTTTGCCTATACATGTGTTTATATACTAATGTTTTTGTAAATATTTAGAAGATAATTATGAGATTAAGAAAAACATTTGTACTTGGGGTGGGTGTCCCCTCCCATAGACTGAAAAAATTTTGAAATATGAGGTTGAAAATGGTGTTATTTCCTTGACTTTCTAGTGCTGTTAATGGTACCTTTTGGATGGTTTAACATCACAAGGTATTTTGTATAGGCTAGTGTTTGCAGATCTTTCAAATAGCATTCCCTAGTGTTTAGTATTGATCCAGCATTTACAAAATAACAGCACACCAAAATATGTGCGAACGTTGATAAAAATTATTTCAAACACTCGATCAATTTACTCATCTGAATAAAAGACAATTTTCCTAAATAAATTGTTATTAAAATACTGCATTTTTATTGTACAAAAAGTAATAATTTCAAACACTAATATTCAATAAGAATTATTTCCATCAATGAATCCATTTTAGATTATGACTATTTAAAGAGGTCAGTACGAATTTAAATTTATTAAAAATATATAACTGCCATAAAAATTTATTTAAAGCTAATGATCAGTTTTTTCATCTTAATAAAAATCTTAGTAAAACTAGTTATTTAAACGTGATTCCTTTAATATCATCTTTTTTTTAAACTCGCCACCTTTTTAATTTACAAATCATAATTTTCAATTTCTTAATTATACGGAAAATTCCCAAAGAAAATGGAAAAATAAAGATAGTCAAATATGGTGTACTATGTTACACATCTATTTGCCACTATTTGTGACTATTAATTTCATTAGTCCTTTGGAAAGTAATAAACCAATCAATTATGCACTGAAGTCATTCAAGCATGTTGATAGATAAAGATCTCTGCCAAGCCCCCAGGCAGGAGATTAACAATTGGATGACAGCAATAAATGTTTTGATAAGGGAGTACACTGCAGTCAATAAAGTATGAAACTGACAAAAATATATTCCAGCCCAGCTGGTAAACGTATCTTTGGGCTGAGCTGGGGGGGGGGGCTGCAGCCCTGAAGCGCGGGCCTGAATCCGCCACTGTTTATTCTGGCATTGATTATCAAGGCACATTGGTATAAAGAGTTTTGTATTTTGTTATTTGTATGTTTGAAGGAGTGTTGGTTTGGGCGCTTTTGAAACCAGACATGGAGGATGTTTAGTTAAACATCTGTTACCGTTGTTGCGGAGAAAAATTGGCATTGATGCTCTAGTTTCAGATGTAAAAGGAGGTATTATTGTTTATGTTTATATACAAATATAACGATAATGACACACTTCATTACTGTTGAGACAGATAAAGAATCCCAAAAGAATCTCCAAAACGGCAAAATTTTTGTTGCATACACGCTTTGATTGAAAATTTGGCATGTGCAAGCAACCGTCCACACACCCCTAGCACCGGCTTTAGCAGAATTTAACATTTAAATATGCAAATGGTAAAATTTTGAATTAAGACACATCGGCAGATGTGTTCATAAAGCGGTTATCATGGAACCTTTAATGTCACACACGCCATTCCATGAAAAGTGGCGTTCTTGTTGACAATAAGAGTTTTAAAAATATTAAAACACTGACCCTCCGTAAACAAGCAGGATAGCTTCCTCACATGAAAGAGTTCAAAGCCATTGGCGGGATTTAAACTTACAGCGGTTAAGGGCAGGTGGTTTGAAGTCAACCATCTTTAACACTTTACTACAGTTGCCCCACAACTATACGTGTATTTAATGATCTCCTCAGTAATATCTTATAAAACCGGTATATGGATTCATATTTGTAGTTTCCTTTACTGTAGTATCAACTTTATTCCAGAATTTGCCAGATTTAAAAGAGACAATGATCGGTACCCACAGATACCCCAGCTGGTGTCAAATCTGCTGGAAAATCAGAGGTCACTGACAGATAAAATATCAAAGAAAGGTCAAACTGAAACGTTTCAAGTGAGAGATATGATTTGGAATGCTGCCCATGGCAAGTATTAGTTAACTGTACATGTAATACATAAAATATTGACAAGGAATGATGTAAAGGGTACTAAAAGAGAGTTAATGTTTGTTCTAATCCCCAAAAAATAGAGACTCAAATTGGGCCTTCTCAATTGACATTGAAGTAATTTAATATAATGGCAAAAATTAAATGAAACTTTGAACTAAACCAAAAATAAACCAAAGTACTGACTAGAACTATAAAAGTCAATTTCTTTTCATATTTTGTAGAAAAACCCGAGAAGCAAATAATACACTTTGAAGAAGTGGGTGCATTGATTGAGCTAGATTTTCAGGCAGAATTTTCCAATATGCTTCGTATATTTACTACTGTGATAGACCATGGTACAACACAGGACTGCGTGGGGAACATAACAAACTTCTCACCAGTAAGCTAATCTGTAACTTCGTATGCAAACTATGTTACATTGACTTTTTACCTATGTTACTTAATCTTGTTACCTATATAACCTTGTCTCTTTCATTATTGCCTTGTCTAGTTACCCGTGTAGTCTTGACTAGTTACACAAGTAGCCTTGTCTATTTGCATTAGTGGGACATGTAGTCATTGTCTCTTTACCCATGTAGCCTTGTCAAGTTACCATTGTAGCCTTGTCTGGTTACCAATGAAGTCTTGTCTGCTTACCTATGAAGCCTTGTCTGGTTACCTATGTAAACTTGTTAAGTTACCTATGTAGTCTTGTCTAGTTACCTATGAAGACTTTTTAGTTACCCATGTAGCCTTGTCTGGTTACCTATGTAGACTTGTCTAGTTACCTATGTGGCCTTGTCTAGTTACCCATGTAACATTGTCTCGTTACCCATGTAGCTTTGTCTTGTTACCTATGTAAACTTGTCAAGTTACCTATGTAGTCTTGTCTAGTCACCTATGAAGACTTTTTAGTTACCCATGTAGCCTTGTTTGGTTACCTATGTAGACTTGTCTAGTTACCTATGTAGACTTGTCTCGTTACCCATGTAGCTTTGTCTTGTTCCCTATGTAAACTTGTCAAGTTACCTATTTAGACTTGTCTAGTTACCTATGAGGCCTTGTCTAGTTAACCGTGTAACATTGTCTCGTTACCCATGTAGCCTTGTCTGGTTACCTATGTAGACTTGTCTAGTTACCTATGTAGACTTGTCTCGTTACCCATGTAGCTTTGTCTTGTTCCCTATGTAAACTTGTCAAGTTACCTATTTAGACTTGTCTAGTTACCTATGAGGCCTTGTCTAGTTAACCGTGTAACATTGTCTCGTTAACCATGTAGCCTTGTCTTGTTACCTATGTAGACTTGTCTAGTTACTCATGTAGCCTTGTCTAGTAACCCATGTAGCATTGTCTCGTTACCTATGTAGATTTGTCTCGTTACCTATGTAGACTTCTCTAGTTAGCTATGTAGACTTGTCTGGTTACCCATGGAGCCAAGTCTTGTTATCCATTTAGCCTTGTCTGGTGGCCCATTTAGCCTTGTCTGATTGGCTATCTTACTTTGTCTGGTAAATGTTTTCTTAATTCAAGAACTTGATGGACCATTGATATAAAATAAGAAGAATCCTTGTGTGTCATTTGAAAAGAGAAATATTTAAAAATATTAACTTTTGTATATTTTCAGCCCGTTTCTCAGGCAGGAAAAGTAGAAGTGTCTAATAAAGGTACTCGAGTGGTGTCAAAAATATCTTTGCAAGATATACAAAAGTTGAAGGTTTGTATTAGGTTTTTTTTTATTTATTCATAAAATCTTATCTTTATCTTATCTTCATAAAGTTGTTGTACTATGTATGTCATATGTATGTTAAGTCGCCACCGGAAACGCATTTTGGTGATTCACTCAAGACGACTTTTATTATTTTTATTGTTTGAGTCTAGTGAAGCAGATACAAACATAACTTCATTAGTAAACATACATGGTGTTTACCAGCATTACTAGGAACAGTTGATTTTAAGTTATTTTAGTTGGAGTTGGTTAGATCGATTTGAATTCAGTCAGTGTAAACATTTGACCACTTTGTCCACTCTGGTACATACACTGTAAGTGCATTGATACAGTGTTTTCAGTAAAGACCTGACACGATTGTGTGTGCCGTGAGTACTCTGCCTGCCCCTATTGTTGTAATACATACCACTTTTATCATTGAATTTCAGTACATGTAATAGAAAGAGCATCGAAACACGAGGCTATTTGAACTGTACGAGGTGGCGTAGCCCCCGAGTATTAATCAGATTGCCGAGTGTTTTGATGTTCTTTCTCTTTTGTATTATAGTCAAACATAAAAACACATTCCCTGTTGTCACAATATGAAACCCCGGGAAAAAGTAACCAATAAACGAGCATCTGAATATGATATTTCTGCCGCTTACCTTTCTCTTTCGTCACAATAAGTAAACCCCAGCAAAAATGAGCCAATCAATGGGCATTCTCTGGAGTGCGGTGCACTCCAGTTAACGCATTGTGCATGTATATGTATACGATTTAACTCAAACACAGTTTCAACAGAAAGATCCCAAAATTATGTTACAAATATGTTAAAACAGCTTTGTCTCTGAAATCATCACATCAATTTTACATTCCTTTTCCATGTCCATTTACCACCAGTTTAGAGCCAGGCTAGCCAGAGCATTCATTTCGCCTGATTGATGTCTCCAAAATTGAAAGTAGACAGGCCCAAAATCTGGTTAATGGGAAAGTCCATTTTATGTCAGGGAGGTTAATGGTATTGTAAATTTAATGATATAAGATCTTGTGCAATACATTGTTTCAAATGTATTGTTATGGTATTTAAATGAATAGTTACATGGTGCATTTATATGATGAAAAAGTCACATGGTACATGTGTATGCTAAAAAAAGTCAAATGGTGCATGTATATGATGAAAAATTCACATGGTACATGTGTATGATGCCTATTGTCTCTGCTATCATGCTCATATAGCACATAAAAATTAATATTTTGATAAAGTTTTAACAATTTTCTTTAATTTATTTCAGGAAAACTTGATAGTTGATGTTACCATCATATTTTTCAAGGACAACACACGTCATATTTTACAAAAACGGGTGAACCTTGGCCAGCCCCTTGTAGCTAAACTCAGACTTTGGGAGCAGTCTCATCATTTTACTCCTAACTTAAGGGAGGCAGTTCAACAAGACGAGGAGTGTGATTGAACAAATAAGACAATTAGAATCCACAGTTTTCACAAACACTTATAAAAATCCACAGTTTTTACAAAGAACAATGACAATCCACAGTTTTCATAAAGATAAATGAGAATCCAAAATCCACACAAAGGCCAATGAGAATCCAAAATCCACACAAAGGCCAATGAGAATCCTTTTTTTTCAAAAGTACCAATGAGAATCCATAGTTTTCACAAATAACAATGACAATAAATGAAACCCATTTTTACACCCCCGCACAACTAAGTTGTAAGGGGGGTATACTGGAATCAGCTTGTCCGTCCGGCTGTCCGGCCGTCAGGACGTCTGGTCGTCCGTCGGTTTTTCCTTGTCGGCCCAATAACTTAAGATTCCTTTGATCCACAGCCTTCATATTTAGCATAGAGGATAGTCATGACAAGTTTTTGAGGTTTTTGAGGTCACTGGGTCAAAGGTCAAGGTCACAGGGGCCTTGACTATAAAAAGCTTGTCCGCCAAATAACTTAAGATTCCTTTGACCCACAGTCTTCATATTTGGCAAGAAGGTTAGTCATGACAAATAGATGACCCCTATTGATTTTGAGGTCACTGGGTCAAAGGTCAAGGTTACAGGGGCCTTGACTATAAAAACCTTGTCTGCCCAATAACTTTAGATTCCTTTGACCCATAGTCTTCATATTTGGCATGGAGGTTGATCATGACCATAAGGTGATCTCTATTGATTTTGAGGTCACTGGGTCAAAGGTCAAGGTTACAGGGGCCTTGACTATAAAAACCTTGTCCGCCCAATAACTTAAGATTCCTTTGACCCATAGTCTTCATATTTGGCATGGAGGTTGATCATGACCATAAGGTGAACTCTATTGATTTTGAGGTCACTGGGTCAAAGGTCAAGGTCAGGTCAAGGTCAAAGGGACCTTGACTTAAAAAAGCTTTTCCCCTCAATTGCTTAAGAATGCCTGTCCGCAGTGTATTGATTTTGACATTTTCACATTTGAAGCATGTAGAATACATAACTTAGCAATGCAATGGCTTAGTAACCTTAAATTTGGCAGGGAGGTTGTCCTTGAGCTCTAAATGGCCACTGTTGATTCTTACAAAGTGGTATGCGGGGGTATTCACGCCATGACAGTGGCAGTTCTAGTTCACAAAGAACAATGAGACAAAGACCATGAGCATAGGGATGTCTTTAGGAATTTTGTTAAAAAATACACAGCATGCTTTCTTAATTCTTGTTTGTGAAAAAAGTGAGTTTATTTTGAAGGTATTGTTCTGATAGAGATTATGTTTTAGTATTGGCTGAATGTAATTCGACATCCTAAGCATTTTATATAACCATATTTCTTCTTGTTAAAACATTTATTCTTTATATGCAGATTTAATTTTACAATCTGTCATTTCTTTAATACATGCATGTGTAACAGACAAAAATTATACATTGTGTACCAGTATTTGCAGTTCATACTTTTTGATTTTACTTTCAGTGAATCTTATAGTGAAGCTAATTGTTACGGGTTTTTTCTCTTTATTCTTCCTTTTGTCTTTCCATTCTTTACTGCATCGTTTCTCATAGCACCTTCATCTATATACTCTTATGCTTACATATAGGCTATAATTATTATGTTATAAACTTAATTTGATATGATGTTGTATCAAAGTTAAATGTTATTAAATACCAATAAAGTTTCTGTGATAACTAAATGTTAGCCAACTGTGATATGTTAATGTTTTTATTATCCCCCGCCGATGGAATATTGTTTTGGCGTTGCCCGTCCGTCCGTCCGAGCAAACATTTTGAGTTTAGGGGCTATATAACAGTAAAGAGAACAAAGAGAACAATAGGTTCATTCCGTGATCGCTAGTAGCCCTTAAGAAAACAAAGAAAATAACAAAGAAAATAGCCCCTAAAGCCAAAATGTTGGAACGTCCGTCCATCCGTCCGTCCGAATTTCGTTTCCGGACTAGTTCTCTGCAACTACTGGCTGGAATTCAACGAAACTTTATGGGAATCATCATTATCAAGAGGAGATGCGCATATCGTCAGCTTGTTCCAGTCGCACCCTTTAACTCAGAGTTATGGCCCTTGATTAGTTATGCAGTATGCATATAGAATAGAAATCGTTTCCGCGCTACTTCTCTGCTAATACTAGCTGGAATCCAATGAAACTTTATAGGAACCTTCAATACTAAGAGGAGATGCGCACATCGTTGCCTTGTTCCGGTCAGACACTTAAACTTAGAGTTATGGCCATTGATTAGCTATGCAGTATGCAACCACAGGAATAATCGTTTTCGTGCTACAACTCTAGAACTAACGACTGGAATTCAACGATACTTTATTGGAACCTTCAATACCAAGATGAGATGTGCATATCGTCGCCTTGTTCCGGTCAGACACTTTAACTCAGAGTTATGGCTCTTGATTAGTTATGCAGTATGCATATAGAACAAAATTCGTTTCTGCGCTACTTCTCTTCAACTACTGGCTGGAATTTAACAAAAGTTTATGGGAATCATCAATATCAATAGGAGATGCGCATATAGTTGGCTTGTTCTGGTCAGACACTTTAACTCATATTTATGGCCCTTGATTAGTTATGCAGTATGCATATAGAGCGAACTTTATGGGAACCTTCAATACAAAGAGGAGATGCACATATCATCGCCTTGTTCCTGTCAGACACTAACTCAGAGTAATGTCCCTTGATTAGTTATGCAGTATGCATATGGAGCAATAATTGTATCCGTGCGACTTCTCAGCAACAACTGGCTGGAATTCAATTAAACTTTATGGGAACTATTGATACCAAGTATCAAACTTTTCTGATGACAAGCATATGATGATCAATTCTAGTAACTAATTTTATTATTTTTCTGAGTTATTATTCATAAGCATTTAATTCAACAATACTTTGTATATCAAAGCACATGACCTTGATCTTAACAGTGACATAAGAAGAAAATGGTCATATCATAACTCATGGACATTGATAAGAACTGGACATCAATGTATTTATTTTTCACTCATTTTCATGAGTTGCATAATCATATTAGCATTATAATGTGATTTATTGTTTGTTGTCCTTTTTTCCCAATTTTTCATTTTGGAAACACTGTGCAATACTTCGGGAATTTTCCCTGGGCATTCAGAATACGCTACTTTTCTGACCTTATGATTATGCCAATATTCCACAAGGCTGTCCATGTATTTCCTTATAACAGGCATGCAGCAAAATTACAAAAGCTGACAATGTTATTCATTGGATTAGTAAAATATCTGGAGATTTATTATCTTTGTGAAATAATCCATCCAAAACTGACTACAGTGATTTCTTAAAAAACTAATCACCGGTCAACCGTTTGGACAAATAAAGTACAGGGCGTCATATCAAAACTACGCTAGTTCTTAGCATTGATGTATTTCAGTTCCACTGTATACTCGTGAGAACCGAGTCCGGAGTGCAAACAAACTTTAAATAAAATCGTAAAACATGCGCTGTTTCAGTTTGTATTTGTATTCCCTGTATTCCCTGGCTTTACGACTAAATCTATCAATTGTACGATGTATAAAGAAACCATATAGAGTCAGTTTGTCATATTGATCAACATTTCCATACATTGTATATAATTTGGCCCATGACTTGTATACATTCGCCTCATAATAAGCCCACTATAACTATATCTAAACGATATAAACAATATATCTCAAAGTTTTATTGATTTATTTAATAATATATATCTTTTTATCATGTACAAGGATGTGTTCAAATCAGTGTAGGCGGGACACAAGTTTACAGCCAATAATGTTAAGTTTTAGTAAGGCACCCACCCTAAATAAAAAGGAATGGATTTAACTCGGGACGCCGTTGGGATGGAAACAATCATGTGAATAAAGGTGCATCAGCATGGATATCAGAGAATGTTACATTTTCAGATAAATTTGTTCGATGATATGGATGCTATGTAAATGCAAAACAAGGACTGCTTAGGAAGTATCAATCAAAAAGCATTTATGACTGTTTAAAGCGAAGTTCAAGACTAACTTATTCTTTCATTGGTATAGCAGATAACATATGCTATTGTGTTTCCTATGAGGTTTTATTTCACAATTGGTTAACACTAACAAACGAATCTGAATGTAAACTAACACTTTTTCTTGCCAAATTTTAGTCCTGGTGAGACATTTTCGAAGAAATTGGAGAATGCAAAAATACATGTATATGAAATAATTGCCATTGGTCATATAACTTGGAAGCCGTCTTCAAAAAGGCACTTTGGTCAGTGTGTTTATTAAACATGATGATGGTAAAGAAGTAGGTTACTTTACCGGGTCATGTTTCTTAAAAGAAACTGGATTTATTTGTACTAAAAGGGATGATGGTAGTTCATTCAATGGCAACTGTAGTGGTACGTTCATGTGCTATTCCTGGTTTCGGTTTTTGTTATCATCAAGGGCCGTCCACGTGGATTTCTTCTCTTAAAAACTTTAGACAATATTACACAAATCTCCAAGGCTTATTACTTTCTAATTTAAAGACGAAAATACTCCAGTCAATAGGTACTGTATCAGTTTGGACAGGTTTGTTCCGAAATTTCATTTTAACTGAATTTCGGGATACGGAAGTTTTAAAGAAAAGTACTACTTGTCTATCATTAATTAACGTAAACAACACCCTCGTGTTTGATCCTGCTGAAAGGTCGTCGGATAAGAGATATGTCTGTGAAGATGATGATTTAAATATTGATGAGCAATCGCCAATCAAAACAACTGACAAGAAAGCATTCCCATCTACACAAAATTCAAATGATATCATGCATAGCACCATATCTGAAGTTCGTTCTTATTTGACAACGATCATTATTTTAAGTATTGTTTTCTTAGTTTTCATTTTCATTTTTATAGTTTTGCGGAAAAAAATAAAAAAGTATGTATGCGGACGAGAAGATACGAGTATAGATGTTCATGAAACAACATCCAACAATAGTGACTTACGTTCAGGATCTGCCGAAGATAGAAATATCCAGAACATACACTTAACAAATCTTATAAGTGTGCATGTATAAATGGTTTCATAGGTGTATCAATATTTGCCCGATCATGCTGAAATTTTGAATAAATACAGAAAAGAGACACAGTATCATTTTTATTCATTTTTTTTTCATTCAAGATACAAATTTAAGATGTATTACTAAAATATGTGAATGCGTGTCAAAAGTCGATGTTGCAAAATGATGCCCTGATACCATATGTGCCCGCCCTGACTGTGTATTACAGCCTGGCAGTGTCGTCACATCGATGTAACATACCGTTGTTGATAATTTTGGAATTTTGGAATAATGGTGTCGGCGAGGAAGGTTACCAACGATGCCAGTTGCTCTGTACTCAATGATTAGCCTTTTGAAAATATTTCGGTGTACAACCATGCGAGGCGCAACCTACAAATGATACATACATGTGATACGTAAATAAAAAAATATGCATTTATGTTTGTCTTAGGTAGAAACTGAATTTAAATGATATTCGGCTTTTACAATGCAAAGGAATTAAAATTATATTTAAACAAATAAATTTTGTTACCAACCTGTGTTTGGTGTACACCAGCGTTGACCAATCCTAGGGCTATGTCATGCTGTTGTATAGATAATCTACCCATGTGGTGTTTTTCTGATACGTGGACCTCTATCGTATCCGAGAATATCATGTGCAATTTTATTTCACCCATTCTGACAATTGTTCGTGCATTTTGTGAATTCCGTTCGTTCATGGTTGAACACACCTCATAAATAAAATTGACATGCCTGAACACGGGAAAAGTGTGGGAATGCAGCCAATAGGTAGTACACAAAATTTTGCAGAAATATATTGATAAACGAAAGTTATAAGGACATAAATGGTGCACACTTATAAGATTTGCTAAGTGTACAAGCAGTAAGTAATGAAATAACAGACTCTGAACTATAATGTCCGTTATGTAGCGACAGAGTCGACAAATGAAATCGCTAATGTTTTGAAAGATAATTTGCCGGAGAAATGTACATTTTCTTGGTGCACCAGGGATATGTTTTCTACAAAGGGAACAATTTATGTAATGTTATCAAACTAATTTTAAAAAAGATAAATATTAAAAGTAGTATCAAAATAAAAGTTTCTTGTAAAACTCAATTATCAAATTTTCGATTAATGTTTTGGAAGGTATATGGCAACAGAGATTTTCCAAAACATTGCTTATTTTCAATATATTATGCAGAACAGCAGAGAAATACGTAACGTACATATAGGTTTAGTATTTCATATTTTAATAATTTTAGTGAAACACTTTTCATGAAAGGTACCGGTAGATTGCATTGACACTAATTTTAGAAAGTAACTGATCTTGAAGTTTTCATATATTATTTCTTGTTTCTGTTGCTCTTAATGGATCCCTTGCTTTTCAGATTATATAATTTTTAATATTTCCATGAAATACAGACGCGTTCTTAAAATCAATTGGTGTCTTTTCTAGAGTTACCTTTTCAATTTATATTAAATACTGACACGTTCAAATCAAAGCGGGGGAATAGGGAGGGTAATTTACAACGTAACACTATATAAGAACTGTTTAAAGTCGTTCAATATGCATTTCTAATGACCACTTGTCATAAAATTATATACATGTATTTCACTTTTCATTTTTTTCTACTTCATAGAGATAACTAACGGGATGCTGCAAAAAACATTTATTTACAAAATTCATATAAACTTAATTGGAGTAGAAATTATTTATACATGTAAAGAAAAAGATAATAATATCACAGTTGTGTGTATATATCAATACAATTAAAATCATATCGGCAAGACAACAGTATCTTCATAAACAATAAAAGGGAGACAAACAGTTGACTAGAACAAGACAAAACAAGGAAAATTTAAAAGAAAAAGCTGCAACTTACAGTTATTTTAACAGAGTAGTTTAAAAGATACTAGAAGAATAGTTTTGCCCTACTCTTTTGTCAGTGTAAGATGTCTTATTACTACAAACACTGCATGTTTACAAATTGGTCAGTAAGTTTTCCTTTACAAGTACATTTTGTTACATACACAGACATATAACGACACTCACAAAACATCACGAAATGTCTAAACAAAAACTAACAAATACGGTATCATAATGTCCAATATTTGGCACAGCGTTTCAAATATATCACTTTTAACAACCATTGTCATCATAGAAATACGCACAAATGTAGCAATGTGCAGCAGGTCAGTGTCGGTATCAGGAGCCGTTCCTGCTGGAATTCTCCCCTCAATAAAGATTAAACAGCTCGAAAACGACGGGGAGAATTCAAGCAACATGGCAGCATGTATCACTAAATCTACCAACTGTCCGAGTGGGATTTACCTTTCATCGAAATTAAAATAAAGGTAGAAAACTCTTAGTAGATTTCAATATTGAAGAAAATAAATGACAATAGATGCTGTCTAAAGAAACTTCATTCAGTAAAGCTGCGCATGAGCAACACTACGTCCGAAAATTGGAATGAAATAGCACACAGCATCGGTCATATGTCAGTTCTATTATCAATTAAGCTTTTAGTCATAACCATTTTCTATGAAATTTCTATTAAATTAAACGAAAGCGAAATAACCGAAACTCCGAAACTTTATAGCAAATGGCTAATGGAACTTTAAGGCACTGTAGCTTTCATCAAAGCACCAATGATGTTCATTTTCCTTTTCCTGACACAAATGTTTCCGATCTGATATGGTCTCGGAGATCAATTGATGATCCAAACAAGGTAGACTCCGTCCGTAGTCTTTCTAGATCTAGGTTTAGATCATTTACATCCCCTACAGTGTCAGTTAGCGACACATCGCCATCATCTTCTGGAATAAGAATGCTAGAATATTCCGATTGGGCTGCTGGAGTTTTTGCATAGTCTGCCCGACAGCGATACCCTAAGTTTGCATGCATCCTCGCGATTTCAGCACGTGATCTCGATAAACCCTGCATTTGATATTCTGAAATTGTCGTATTATCGCGAGAGATTGGTGTCATGAAATTATCAGACCGAGATTCTGGGAAATTCATCGGACCTTTGGTGCGCATTTCCTCCACAATACGGTCATTCACGTCTTGTAGAGCTTCTCTGATGGCGTCTTCTGCCTTTTCGTCACCTGCAACATAAATATTAATGTAATAAATGATGTATAAATGTAAACATACATTATATATGTGTGTGTAAATATAAAAAAGGTTTACATAAATTCGAGTTGCATTATTCCATTTGAATTGTTCTGCGTTTCAAATACTGTATGAGTTATGAATAATCGCACTGTTATATAAAGAGTGTGCTGATTTTACCTTGTAATCTTGCTTGATCCAACGCCTTCTCAAATGTGTTAAAAGCGGCATGGTACTGCTTTAATTTCACTGAAAGTAAATAAAAAAATAATCAAGAAAGAATTTTACTCGAAAATAAGTTCCATCAGTAATCATGAAATAAAAAAACACATCTAACACAAAACAGATAGTATATATAATATAATTTACCTTCTGCGACACCCATAAGGACACATGACTGTAACTGATAACTCCATTCAACAGCCTCTTCAGCGGCCTCCAGAGACTTTTTCGCGGCATCTTTGGCATATTCAAAGTCACCGAGAGCCAGAAAACAGTTACCAATCTCGTGAAACAGCCAAGCAGTCTCTATACGTGATGCACACATAGGAGTCTTTCGGAGAAACCTGAAAATCAAATACATGTAGTAAATATATCTTTCTGTGTTCTAATATCTCAATATGTTATCTTTTGTTTAGCATACACAAAATCATCACATTTATTCAGTTCGAGAATATCAAGAGATACTTACACGTCTAAGGCTTCTTGATGTCGCTTCTGAACAACGAACACTCTACCAAGGTTACCAAGTGCACGTGAAATCGCATCATCTAATTTGCTGAAATATAACATAAAAACATGATAATTGTAATCAACATTAAACATTGAACGCATAATTTTCTATATCTTAATCATTTGATGAATGAGATATTACAAGACAAATAACCCGTGACGCTATTACTATAAGATTCGTTTGAACATACGTATATTTATTCTAGCTCAGCTTGTACCTAATTTGAAACATTCTCGAGTCCACTTCCTGCAACTAACCAGTACTATTGGTCCCAGATACAGGTGATTAAATCACAATTTCTGGTTAGTCAGAATTAAGCACAGATTGTACTTTGACATAAAAAAGTTCTGAGATTTAAGGAAAAGCCCAGAAAAAGCTTTATAACCTCGAGACCTGGTGTCATCTAAGAAAACATAATCATGACATAAGTAGGGGTCAAACCCACGATCCCTTGGGTTGAGGGACGGACACATAAACCACTTAGCCACCGCTACCTTCTACAACATTGCAGTACAAAAGCTTTTAAACGTCTTAATTAACAAACATTTAACAATCTCATCTCATTTATTTACTGTTTCTCTCCAATTGCAAGATCTTTATTATGATGGTCAAGACCCCTTTCATAATCCTTTTTGCTCATGCACACGTTGCCAAGGTAACTGTGTAATGATGACATATGCACGTGTTTGTCGGGCAAGTCTTCTGTGTCAAGAATCTTCAGAAGGTGTGCAGCTTTATCGCCACAGGCGTCGTACTGTCCGTCTGCATATACTGTAAAGATAATCAAAATGTTATACATGTTTAAATTATTCCACGATGGATAAATAACAATTACAAACCGTCCGAATGTGACATTGAATCTAACCAAAATGTTATATACTATAACAAATATATTTTCCATGTTACGTAGTAAACAGTCATTTTAGTTAATTAAATATATATGGCGTAATTCGTAAAACGTTATATATCTAAAGTATAATATTTATTCAGCGCATGTTTAATACTATAGGTATACTTGATGACTTATTCATGAAACATTTTGTCTTACACATTTCAATTTCCTCCATTTCCTTGGCAACGTATTTTCCTACAGCTATTCGGCGTCTTTCTAGTCTATCCTTCTGACCACCAAAGTTTCTCAACTTTTTCGGGGGTGTTCTTGTTTGAATAGGCTTCTCCTGGTCACTGGTGTCCATAGCTGTCCCTTTGCTGTAAAATAATTTCAAATAATTCAAAGTCGTAACTAATTTATTATCATTCCTTATTATTTACATGTCAATATATTACCTTATCGCAAAAAAAGATGATCAGAAGACTCCCCTAGCTATTTTGCAGATGTAAAAACTACATTTCATTTAATGACATACATTCAGATATCTAATGTTTTCATGAGATGCCAAAAACAATATCAATCGAAATTTCTCTGAGAACATGTCAAACATTAATTACACAATTATTCATATAAGAAATAATGAGATCAGTGCTATGCTCGAACCTTTCGTCGCTGTTGCGAAGGTCACTTCCAGGTCGGTATGATTTGAACAGGAATTGTTGGCTCAAAGATTCCTTGCTATCGTACTCTTTATTCTTCCGCAGTTTACCATCCTTACTTCTTCTTTCCGGGTCCTGCTTTGATCTTTTCATGTCTAGATTTGAATGTTCTTTAGGCTTTATTTTACGACCTATTACAACAATCGATTTAGTTTAATATATACAACTAATATTCACATCTTTAACGGAAAAAATATTTAAGACTGAACTTATTTCACAATATCTTGTAATTTTTTTAATCATGATATTCATAATTGATTTTATCATAATTATAATCATGAATATCATCTATTTCACCGTGCGTTTTTCCATTGAAACGAATAAGCATCAGAGAGTTTCTTTTTGGTACATTTTCACAAAATTGAACATTATCAAATGCATGCAGTCCTTATTGTACTACATGGTATACAATTTTGTAAATGTCTGCATTGTTTTCCTGACCTATCTTTATGCGCTTAAAGATGTATTTTTGATTTACCTTCGACAACATGTAGAAACACATTGCGCGCATGCTTCCGCTCTTGGGCTTCCTCCACTTTCTTGTTCTCCAGGTAATTATACCAGGTGTGTGGGGCCTTAGATTGCGCTTTCTTCTTGTAGTGTTTACGTTTACGTGACTCATTTTCCTTGTCTTGCTCTTCAAGCAAACTCTCCACTGCTGTCACAAATAAAATAACAGTCATTATACTTTCTGCTAGTGTCCATGCTAAAATATTTTCAATTTGGACAATACCTTCATCAGTTTAAAGAAAAAATCAAAATGAGCCACGTCATGACAAAACCAACATAGTGGGTTTGCGACCAGCATGGATATAGACCAGCCTGCGCATCCGCGCAGTCTGATCAGGATCCATGCTGTTCGCTATCAGGTTCTCTATTGTAAAAGAGTTGGTAAGCGAACAGCATGGATCCTGATCAGACTGCGCGGATGCGCAGGCTGGTCTATATCCATGCTGGTCGCAAACCCACTATGTTGGTTTTGTCGTGACGCGGCTCAAATGTGTACTGAATGAAAAGCGAACAGTGCATACCGGGAGACTGACAAAACCCAGCCACACAAATATTCATAGGCACAAACGCCACCCTCAAATCTTTCTAGCCTCTAGACCGACAAAACACCAAATAATATTATTGGAGGACAATAGCCCAACTGTGATTATACATGGACCATTTTTTGCTAGTGTTGCGGTTTTTGCCCGCCTAGAAAAAAATGAGGGTATGCTTATGACTGCTTTGGTAAACATTGCATTGTGGGTTTTTATCTGAAAACGTTACAGATCATGATATGATGGCACTGTGGTCGCATGGGTAAATTACCTTGCAGTCAGCATAAAAGTAAATGAGTATAAATCAGTTTCTATTTTATTTTATTATGACGTGATAACATAAAAACGTATTACGTTATAAAACAAATAATCATCTTACCTTATTTTTTAAGAAGATCAATTTCTATGAAAGGTTCAGATTCTACATTTTTATCAAAGTACTAGTACATGTTATTGTAAATAAAGGACAAGAAAGCGGTATTATCAAATTTATTCATTGAAATATCTAATAAAAGTGCACGATTTGTATCATCATATGTATAGCTTTATTTACCTGATGACCCATGGATCATAGTCTTCCGTTTAGCCGACGTCTTTGTCTCTCGGGGTAGAGGTGTAGGGCCTACTGTCGGCACGGGATCACCTTTTCTGACCCAGTTCAAAACACGATCGTAGAGAAAATGAAGACCGTTCTGTGCTGTTGGCCCAACATTCATTTTGTTAGGTAAACTGATACCCTCTGAAATAATATTGCAGATTGAAAATCTATGCACTTATAAATATGATTTTATGGCACAAAGAATATACAATGTTAACAAGATCAGAAAAAAATACAGTACATTTTTTTACATATAGTTTAAATGCTTTGTCTGCTCTGCTGATACATTTTCTTACACAGTTTTGTCATTTATTATAGACAATTAAATGTTTATTTCCTTAACACAGCAGTTTGCCAAGACACTGTCATCATCTCTTCCCGTTAATCACATCAGAAAAGACATATATTGAAAGACATATGTTGATTCGTGTTGTCAAAGTACATGCTTAAACAAACTTAAACACAATTAAGATATGCTGGACATAAATCTATATATAAAGTTCTTCATATAGTAAGTCACTGGCTTTTACCATAACAGTTTACACTGGATTTTGACAGCCGGGTGATTATTCCGTTATTTCTTTTTAAACCGTGTCATTATATTTCATTGGTTTATACGCGTATGTAAGCTATATTTACCAGACTCATCGAGAAATTTCTCCAGATATTCCCGATCTTTGTACATGGAGCCAAGTATTTGCTTCATCATGTCCTCATCAACATCATCTACAGTGGGCGGTACTGTAGGTTGTTGTGGCTGCTGCTGTTGTTGTTGCATAGCCTTGAATGACCAAATTGTTTATTTTAATAAATGAGTGCGATTTCTATTTCATTTTATAAATTGTAATTGTATACTGTACGCCTTCAAATTTCTTACCTTTGCAAAAGATATGTTAGAAACTTATACTAACCTAGACTACGTAATAGCAAAAACGTAGATATTTTTGAAAGCGTTCAAAATAAGTAAATTATGGTTTTAGTTGATTATTATGATAAACCATTTAATATTGGTTCATATTTGTTTAAATAGATTAAGATTCTGATAATGATACATTATGCACGTGTCACTATTGTAATTTGAAAATTAAAGAAAATATTACAAGTGCTTTTCGTCTTCCCGGCATCGGTGTCATTTGACGCCCAAGTTTGGCACGCATAGTTGCAGGTGGCGGCTGAGGAGGTGGGACCGGAACGATGGTGGGCGGTTCTTCCTCTACTATAACGGACTCTCTATTGGTTGAGGCGTTAGAGCCATAGGAGTTATTGTGAACGTCGTCACTCATACGGGAGTTGGACCTTTGAGACTGCGCATTTATGTTGTCGCGGTTCTTCCGTGCCTTCTCGGACTTATCTTTAGACTAAAATAGACTTGTTGCTGTAAAAACTCATCGTAATCTGCACATAAGTATTATATTAACTAAAATTAACAAATCTTAACGATATTTTAGATAGTATTTATATCAATTTCTTTTAGTGGTGAAATAGAATAATGATATATTTCTTTGCTTAAGAACTTTGTTTCAGAGCGTCCATACATCAAGTAAACTTTATAAATCACCATTTATTTTTAACAAAATAAAGTGAAAAATATGAAGGTAAGAAAGAAAATACCTTTTTCTGCTGTGTAATATCTTCAGGACTTAAGGTGTTTTTCCTTTTCCTGGCGACTGAAATAGAGAATTTTACCAGAAATCTGCTTGTACATTAGAACTTTTAAAATCGTTACACAAGGTGTCTGCCTCGTAACAAAGTGATCATGGGCTCGAGTAATAATGGCATCACGACCATGATTTATTCTCTGGTTTGTTAAAAGAAGTCAATCCCAGAATCTAGTTCAGATAAGCTAAATGTGTTCTAATTACTTATTTATCAACAGTAAAATTATATTGGTTTCATTATTATATGGTTGATTCCCGAAAAAGTTGTAACATAGAATGTCTCTTTTATTAATACACATGAAAAATGTACGTAAACAGAATGAAATGTTGCGGAACAAATTATCATTTTGCCATTTTAAGTAGGATTTTATCCGTTAAGCAATGACTTTGTACATGTGTCACCCGCTTTAAGGGAAAGTATTGCCATTTTTATTTCGTGCAAGCATTTTGGAAGTATTCTTTTTTAAAATCCAAACAATATTTTTTTCATCAGATATATAGCTTTATACACTTTAAAATAGGGGCTCCAAATTAACACAAAATATACAGATTTGTCTTAAACAATTGGTTCGTCGTTAAAAGGTGTTTGTGTAAGAACTTTCTTGCAAAAGAGATGTTTTCTTGTCTAATGCTTGGTTATCTTTTACCTGGAACTTCAAGAGTGACAACAAATATTGTATCAAGATAACATCTTGATAACGAACTGTTCTAAATGCTGGTGACATCTGTTTATCATCTAGAAAACATTATTCATTTGACATTAAACATTTTAATTATTTCTGTTTTAATGGACTTTAAGAGATACCAAACACTTGAATCATCAAGTCAGAAATGCAATAACCATCAAGAATTTAGTAAAAATATCTCGTTTCTATAGCAACATGACATTTAAACTAGAATTTATCAAATATAAACCTTTATGGTTCTCGGACAGTCCGTGTTTAGCCTTCTCTATACCGTCATGGAAGTCATCTTTGTCCGGTCTCATTCTTGCTCCCTTCTGGAAATAGTTTAAGGCGTTCTCATAGTCACCTTGTTCTAACAACAGCTCCGCCTTCTGCAGCAGTCCCTGTTAATATAATAATGTACACATATTTTTGGTGTCGAATATAACTTTAGAGATGAAATGTATCTTACAGATGGAAAAGAAGAGCAAAACAAAATGTCTTCAAGAATGAGTCTCATTTTTACGGACATCTCTATATCATTTGCAATTTGGTATCAGATCAGCTATTTGCCGAACAACTGAACATGATCTTATGAGCAAATAAACTATCAAGATATCCCCTCCCGATGTAAGTATTTGTTCAATGTTTTTTTTTTCTTGTTGATTTACTTTGCTCACAGTAACCTGGATTAAGCTTCTTGACCAGCGTTAACTTGTATCATTTTTGGCAAATAACAGCCAGAGGTCCACAAATTAGCAGTTTAAATTAGTAGTTGAATTGTCACAAGAACAGAACAGAACAAAGATTTTATTTGGCACAAACATATATACATGTTCATCGCTAATACGTTGTTACAATGTATGACATAATATACATAACATACATGAGAAAAGTATGACAAATTACCTCATCATATTTACAATACATTCAAAAAATATAGAAATATTGCTGTTATAAAAACATACACTGCACATGTAAATATTTAATACATACAATTACATATATCTTACACTGGGTGATTGACATGTTTAATTTATTTTAAGAATTCAGACCATGTAGACAATATTGCAAAGGAAAGAAAAGAAAAATATCTTTAATACTAAATAATAAAGTAAAGAAAAACTGGCCGAATACATATTTACAAATGTGTACTTTATATAATTTATACAGCGCTCATGTAATAACCTACTAGTCTTATAATCGCGGATATAGATAAACATATGCAAAAAATGTCAAAATATATATTTATAATATAATGGTCATCATAAAAGATGAAGCACACAGATTCATCCTAATATCATATGTCATTTACTTTACCTAGACTACGTAAACAAATAAATACCTCCATCTTTGTAAATGTAATCAAATGTTAAAATAGGGTGATATATATTTATTAAATATGAAGAAAACCAAAATTGTTATGATTAATCTGGACAAGTAAGTGAACAGTAGAAGTTGAACATATTGGGTAAAATTAACTAATTCCATTCTTTATAGCAAAAGAACTTTGATTTCAAGGGTATAAAATATAGTGCCTTAATTCTCTACAACACGGTACGATATTTTGAAGATCGATAATTTTAAAGGCCCATTAAGGTCAAGAAATCCTTTCATTTTTATTTCTCAAAAGCTTTTTTTCCCCATTTATTTTTTTATAGTTCCCAACAAGTTACTTAGTGGACAATCATCTGAACTGTCTCCTTCTTCTGTTGCAGTTAGTACATTTATAGTAATTTAGTATTATGTATGGAAGTCAAAATACTATTTTGATTACATCTTTCTGCCTTTATGACATTTTTCTTACATTTAGTGCTTTTTCATTCAGCTAAAAAGCATCTTATATGTTTCAAAACCATAACTTTACATTTTCATTTCTAAAGCATAATGTGCCTTTAATACTGTCAACATGTTGTTTTTTGTTTAGTACAACTTGGCTTTCACTCAAGTTTTAAATAGCCTCTAAAAATAAAAGCTTTTATCGTGATAATATTTCACGCGTAGTTAATTGCTTTATTCGAAATCGCAGTTGTCTGATTACTTTGTTTTAAGGTTCAATGCGTGACCTACGACAATAGAAGGTGACACTGTTCAAATTAACAGATAAAAACTTTAATTTAGACATCAAATGCTGAATTCAACAGAATCATCAAATAAACGGATATGATGCTTTGTATAATTTTCATAATCGGGCGTTCGTCAGTCAACATTTTTGTGTGTGAAAGAGGCAACAGTATCTCTTATAGTGAATTCCACATAATATAACAGTACTGGCAGTATGTATGTACACGGATATTTGATATTTGATACCTGAGGACGACAGAATGACACGTGAAGGAACATGAGACATATCTAATGTTGGCCGAATTCTTAAACATAAAACTTTGCGGGAGTAATATGATTAACAGATATATTACTTTCCTCTGTGATAAATAAACATGTTATAATGTTCTAATTTGACATACAGAATAATTTCACAAATACACCTATTTTGAAATGCAATATTATTAGTTATACCAGTTTCTGACGGGATATACGGGGAAATATAGCCCGAATGAGATAAATATAACTACAGGCACTAGCTAAAAAATGTATTACTGATACGTATATTCTCTCGTATCTTGTTTGTCTGCTTATGTGACAGTTGATCTCGGACATTGGGACACCGCCGAGACACAGGTGGCAGTATCAGTGTTTAGACACCCACCCCTATCTGCCCCTGGACCCCTACTACAACCGTGAAAAAAAATTCAACACTCTAAGGCTTACTATAAGGTACCAAATGCAAAACCACCGATAAAATTATATAAACATTTTTTTCCACTATCAATTTATCTATTTTAGTTCAAGCGTCTATTCGAGCAGTTTCCAACCCCATTTATATATATCATGTACTATATAAGACTCTGGAACCATTTAAGTGTGTATTTGCTTGAATATATTACCATTAACATAAAACTATTTAATATCTGGAAAATGTTACAAGGCATCTGTAAAAAGTGTCATTTTATTTCCTTTATTCAAGATAAACAGTGTACCAAGAAAACAGCCTTTAACCTTTTACCCCAAGAGCATATTGCGAAAAATGGCCGTTTTCATTGAAAAGCCTCCTGTAACAAGTTCAAACTGCTATGAAACTATGAAAAATGCTTCAATACTGATGAAACTTGGCTACACCATAGCCTCTGTAACAGCGTGCTCAATCGTAAATTTCCGGTTACCATAGCAACGGGGGGCGTCTCAAAATTGCCAAAAATCACTATTTTGCATTGTTTTTTTCCATCAAAACTGATTTCAAAGTGCTGCAACTTCTCAATGAATTAAGATAGAGTAAAAGGCTTTTCAGCGTCGGTTACTAGTTACCCTAAGATCGACCTGGGGCCATTTTTAGCCTGTCACATGTCCAAAATTTTCTTGGAGATGAGGGGGACTACGCCCCCCACCCTTCAACCCCCCAAACCCCCTGGCAACCCCCTGGTGTAACATTTGGATGGGGACGGCGCTGAAAAAGTGGTCACTTTTTTAACAACAATTCTCAAACGAAAAACAGTGTTTGGGGCCTAAATAGGGCATTTTTTCACTGCTTTAGGCCTCAAAAAGGGGGGGGGGGGCAAAAAGCCGTCGAAACACGCTTATATTAGGGAAAAGGTTAACAAAAAATGATGAAAAACCTTGGAATTACACAAAAACTAGATTTTCCATGTTAACACATGCCCTAACACCGAATTTGGTGAAAAATTGTTGTTTTTTTGACATTTTTTATTTTTTTTATTAAAGGGTATAAGTCTAAAAACATAACATTTGAATTTCTTACATGAATGAGCGGGGCCACTTTAAACAGAAATGTATGCAAAGATAGTTAAGAAATATAGTTTGAAATAAATTGTAAATCGTATTTTTTGCTTTTCTTGGCCCGATTTGAGTGAAAAGTGTTCAAACGCTTTTCATTTTGTGTCATTTTTTACAATTTGAATAATTATTCTGAAAAAAAACGAAGTGCGCGAATGATCTGAAATTTTGCACAAAGATTAGTGGTCTATCGGGCTACATCAAATGGTACATTTCTGTGGAAAAAATATTTTCAGTACCATCATGTCAAAAAACCTTTGTGGAGTCCCTTTTATATCTTATAATATCTGTCATTTTGAAACGGTGTTCAGCTACATGAAGAAATGGAGGATATTCAAATGTTTTTTTCCCAATAAATACAAGATTTATTTTCATTGAGTGGTATGAAAATAAATATTTCAAGAGTGACAGTAGCCACGAGTGGAACATGATAATTTTCATATCACAAAATGAAAATGAATTATAATGTATTTAAGATGAAAATAAATTATTATATACTTTTTCTCTTTTTTAACCTTATTAATAGGAAGACTTCCCTTTTAAAAAAAATGTGATAGTATAAAGTAAAAATATGCATTTTATTTCATCAATATTTTTCAATATTTCATTTATAAGTATATAATAAAAATATTTATTAAATTAAAACCAAACCTCGTGATAAAGTGGATCTAGTTTGAGGGCAAGGTCAGCATCCTGTGTGGCTTTTCTTAGTTTGCCCAACTTCCGGTACACTCGAGATCTAGCAATAATGGTTGTTTTCTCGTCCGAAATGAATTTTAGAGCCTGAAAATATATTAAGAGGAATATATCATTGTTTTTTTAGTTTAATTTTATTCATTCATTCATTCATTCATTCATTCATTCATTCATTCATTCATTTAGCGTTTAGTTTTAGCAATAACATTTTCAGTGTGTTTGCCGGTTCACAAGTTGTAAAAATTTGACTAATTTGAGTCAAATCCGACTTAAAGGCATATTTTTTTTTTCGTTTTGTAGAAAGCGCAAATGTGTGTTTTATAATGTTGTAATAATGGATTTACAATAGCACTTTATAGCGATTGACTTCAATGTTTAATAGAGGATAATCAATTTTTATATAAAATACGGGATTTGTTTCATCCAGTGGTATAAAAAAAAATCATGAGTGGCGGGAGCCATAAGTGATATATAATAATTTTCATACCACAAGATGAAAATAAATCCTGTATGTATAGAAACAACTTGATTTTTTGTTTATTATGTTTATTCAGGGTTTTTCAAATAGAAAGACCCTTGTTTACATTTTTTTTCTGTTTTCTTGACGTTACAATTTTTTCCCTAAAATTTTATGTATTGGTTGAATTTAGAAGAAAGTAGTCCGGCAAGACACCTGTGAATATGTTTCAATGCACTAAAAATAATTTTTACCGTGAAAATACGGAAATAAAAAATATTCATTTTATTTCATCAATTTTTCATTTATAAGTACATGTATATAATAAATTTAATTATTGTAATACCATTATTATAAAAGAATTTTGTTCGTGCACAAGAATATATTTCATGTTTTAAACTACATGTTGTTACTACAATATTAACATAAAAGATACGAGGTCCGAACAAATAGCATGATTAAATTTCGAGATACAGGTATTAAAAACTGAAGAAAAATGTAATTTTTAGATATTTGTTTCGTGGCCATTTAGTGGTTCTACGAGTAAGTATGAGCTGTAGAATTTGAGCAGCTTGAAAAAGAATCATTTGAGCCGCGTCACGACAAAACCAACATAGTGCGTTTGCGACTAGCACGGATACAGACCAGCCTGCGCATCCGCGCAGTCTGATTAGGATTCATGCTGTTCGCTATCAGTTTCTCTACTTGTAATAAAGTTTGTAAGCGAACAGCATGGATCCTGATCAGACTGCGCGGATACGCAGGCTGGTCTGGATCCATGCTGGTCGCAAACGCACAATGTTGGTTTTGTCGTGACGCGGCTCATTTACCCTTATTTACTTATTCAATGTAAAAAATATTGTGATATAAAACACCTCTCCTTTCTTAAAGTTAACGTAAATCTTGTGAGCATTAGGTGATGATCATTTAACAATTTATGACTTACTTATAACATAGATTGACATGTTTGTTGCGATCCTGCCTAATGAAATGTTAACAATTTTACGATGGAATTTAGTTCGAGTGCGCTACTACTACTTGTCAAATAACTTTGTTAATTCAATATACAAATAGTTTAATCCACTAACAGCAGGGGTATCACATACTTTAGACAGGCAACGATATTATTGGGCTTATTATTATAGTTACAGGGATCTTAAAACCCCTCAAATTATAGTCATTTTTGTAATGTACCTGTCTTTCATTATAAACAGATGTCTGGTTCAATGGGTCCAAATTTAAAATGTTGTCAATGAGTAAATTAAATACTGGGCAGATATCTGTAGTGGTTGGGTTAGAAAGTTGTCGTCTGCCCGTATACAGATAACTTTAAAGACAAATGGTTACTCATTATATTGATGATCTTATACATACATATTAGGTTTATGAAATTGCAGATCATAAAAAGATCGAATGAAATAGAAGGGTAGGAACGAATCGGGTGTACATATAAAACAGGGTCATTAAGTGATCTAGAGAAGAAATGAGTTACTTCAAAAATTTAAATGAAATGGTCCGATTTGTATTGCAAACATTTACTCTCCTTTTTCACTTTTTTTTTTATAAAACATTATACATTTTGTACAAATATTAACCCAGCTTAAGATGCATAGTTATGTATGTCCTTTTAATGAAGGCGTGACCTAATTTAACAAAATCATGAGGGTATTTTATGTGGTATGGGGTAGTTCTTTATAGTAATGTTAAACACTGCTAAATATGTACAAATGTAGTTTTACATGTAGTATTGTGACGAAGAAGAGTTTGAAACAAAACCATTTTGTGATACGTTGGAATGTTAATTGTCCCATAAAATAATTCTTATTTTTATGTTTCATGCGTGAAATAATTATACATCCACTTCATATGACGTGAATGACTCCCATGTTTGTACAAAACATTTTGATGTATCAGCAAGTGATGGACTATAAATTATTCCACGTCGATTGTTACAGTAACTAGTTATTGATGCTTTCACACGAGTAAAATAGTCATTAAATATTTACCAGCACCAAAACTATACATGATATAGAAATATGATCAAAATCGAAAAAGTTCGACAAGTTGGTGTTGAACGAGGATTGTTGTGGTTTAAATCAAATAGAGAATAATTAATATAATTATTCATAATATCACGTCACGAGTAATTATCGTAATATCAGCCCACCATTAATATTACATTGATTAATTAGTAACATCGTACATTTAAGAACAAATTAGTGATGAATCAGCTGGACCAAGGAGGATAAATGTGGCATCAAGTTAAATGAGCCGCGTCACGACAAAACCAACGTAATGCGTTTGCGACCAGCATGGATCCAGACCAGCCTGCGCATCCGCGCAGTCTGATCATGATCCATGCTGTTCGCTATCAGTTTCTCTACTTGTAATAGGGTTTGTAAGCGAAAGCATGGATCCTGATCATACTGCGCGGATGCGCAGGCTGGTCTGGATCCATGCTGGTCGCAAACGCATTACGTTGGTTTTGTCGTGACGCGGCTCAAATGAATAGATCAAATAACACCACATAATGTAATGACATACAATTTATTTCTTCACATGTACATTGTTGTTGTTGTTGTTGTTGATACTTTAAGCCACTTAATTCAGTCTTTGACTGTTTCAAGCATTAAACCTGCTTATTTTGTATAATGGGGTCGTCCTGCCTTGATATCGGAACAGCCCATTGTAATTATGAGGGATATCAAGTTAGAGATGTTACCATCCTACTCAAAGCACACGTGTTGTCAGCAATAAAAATTTTAATAATTCAGTAACAAAGATTAATGAGTATCTCTAAAATGTAAATTTTGTTTTCCGGACGAATAATAAATGAGATATTAAAATGAAAGTTGATTTTATCTAAAAAAAATAACATCGTTTGTGGTGTAGTATCTCAATCAAACATTAATGAATTATTTGATCATTTTTTTCATAAATATATAGGCCTTATGAACGCATCTCAAATCTTGTAATAATGGAATTGGCTGCATACTAGATTTTTTGTTTAGAAAAGAACGGTATGGTGATAGTTACACACAATTACAGTATTTGTTATTCATTTATTAAAGGTTCAAGAAATCATTTTAAACACTGTAATATATTGAGTAATAAACGTAAAATAGAAAGGGTACAGATGCTAAGTTATGAACGTTTTTTATAATTGATATAAGTTAGTTTAAGGAACAAGTATTTAAAATTTGAAGTGAATTACAAAAGTTACAGTAAAGAAAATTAATTGAACATTTTGTCGCGGAAGCGTACCACCGGTATGAGATGAAAAAGCTTCCCGTACTTAGTGCACTTTTAATAAATTTTTGAGCAAAAACTTTGAACTCAATAAATTTTAATCAGACAGTATGTAACACCCAGTTACATCAGCGTTTTTATACTAAGCAGTATACAAGTTGTTTAGTGTAACAGTTGACAAAGTAATTAAAGCCGCGTCACGACTGAAACCAACATAATACGTTTGCGACCAGCATGGATTCAGACCAGCCTGCGCATCCCCGCAGTCTGATCAGGATCCATGCTGTTCGCTTACAAACCCTATAACAAGTAAAAAAGTGATAGCGAACAGCATGGATCCTGATCAGACTGCGTGGATGCGCATGCAGGCTGGTCTGGATCCATGCTGGTCGCAAACGCATTATGTTGGTTAATTATTAAATGAAGTATCGTTAAACTCTTAAAGGAGTTAAAGCAGCATACAACTCATATTTTAAATTTCATGGTGTCTAAAGCTAAAATTTGGTTAATGAATATTTGCCTTTTAATTTTTTTTCGTATTTCGTTTGGTTTGTTTATTGTGTTTGGGGTCTGTATCTCAAACTAGTCGCTATGTATGTTCGTATTTTAACGTATAACTTACATAAACTATACTATATAGATGCAATACAATTCAATGCCACTTAAGAAGGAAATTCATCATAATCGTTAACTTTTACATATACAAATATACAATATCTATTACTTTGTCATAAGATTCGGAAAGAAACTGTTGAATGTGCAAAACTCGTCATATTTTCAAAATACTTATAAATAACTGTGAAGAATATGAATTCAACTTTTCAGTTTTCTTTCAACAATATACATTAACAGTGTTTGGAAAATTACATTTTAGATATACTGTGACAAATATAAATAATTGCATAATTTCAATGATAAAAGTAATATATTTACATACCAGAGAAAGTCAATAACCGTATTATGTGGATTTTTATGAGTGACTGACTGACTTTGACTAATTTTAAGACTTAAGTAAAACAACATACCAGATTATAACTCTTCAGCGCTTGTTCGTAGTTTCCGTCTTCGCTAAATATGTCCCCTTCCTTTTTATAAACGTCGTGCATATATTCTATTCTGTTCTGTTCCGGTTTGGGCTTCTGGGACAACTTTGGTAATTTCGGCAAAGTTCTTTGAGTTGTGTTGCCGTGTTGATGTTCTTTCACGTGCAAATGCTGAGGTCCATGTTGATGATGATGATTATGATGATGATTTTCGCCTTTGTGATGATGACTCTCACCTTTATGGTGATGGTTTTCACCTTTATGGTGATGATTTTCACCTTTATGGTGATGATGGTGGTGATGATGCGTTAACGTATTTGTGTTATGCTGTTGTGTTGTATTGTGTATCACGACTGCGTGTTGAGACGTACTATTCTGCGTCAAATTGCTCGTGTTACGTGCCAGGTGAGGCGTGGACGACCTGCTCGAACTGGCCGTAAAGTTATCTTTTAAGTCTCTAAATGGCACTTCCGGAAGAGTTCGTCCCTGTCGAGCAACCATATTTGAAGCTTTCTTATTATCCATATGTTTTGGAACTCTTGGAAGTGCCCTTGATTGCTTAACGTTTGAATCCAGCTTGGATAGGTTTGAGTTAGGAACTGACGGAAGAGCACGGGAATGTTTCACAGAGTTTAAAGGTTTCACTGAATAATGAGAAGTTTTAGGGAGTTTTGGCAAAGAGCGCAATTTGGAATGATGGCTCTCTGGTGATAAAACTTGTACTCCCATCGCTTTATGTCAATATAAATGTTTCAGAGTCCTTTTTTCAATAAAAAGACCCAATAATTTGTTTGTTCACTTTAACGAAAAGTTCCTCTATGTTTCTTCAAATTTCGTAAAACAGCTCTACATTATAAGCACATCGGCCGCCATTTTGATTTTTAAAATTTCGAAAAGTACGACCGTTGTCCTTAGGTGTGACGAGAAAACAACCTAGAATAAGAAACAAAAATTACTTTAATATTAAATATACAATACCATTTTACATATATCCATTTTTAAAATAAACAAGAACAATTTTTTTAGATAATCCGTATAAGAATACACAATTATAACGTACTCCAATAAGACGCTCGAGGAATCTATGCTTGTTTGTTAAATGGCGATTCTATTGTTTCATAACGTTGCTTCGAGACAAGCGATTGACAAGCTAGCGTTACATTTTACTTCTTTTTAAAAAAAATCCTTTCACTGAATATACACTTCTCGTTTTTCATTCTAACGATCAATTTTGAAATAAAACAATGGCGCCATTTCGTACCGCTGACTAAAAACAAAAGCCGTCAGGTACCATGACCTGTATCAATACAGGTATAAAAATTCTATGATCATTTTGTAAAAGTCTTTGATAAGCAAAATTAAGTTTCAAACTTTCACTAAATCAGTGTACTTAAAATTCACTTGACTTGTAACTCCACTACTAAACTAATAAACAGATGGTAATAAATTGTCTATGTATCGGACGGCTAAAATCGTAGAATTGCATTGTGATACAAACATGAAAGGGTTATGAATCCATTTGTGAGAAATCAATTCTAATGTTAATCTTGTTGGCGTTAAACTAAATTGAAATTGCTTACATTTTATTCCCCTCTCCATAGTACAGGGATACCAATATACACACGCCTTAAATACCATAATAACAGCCAGCTTACAAAGTATTGGTCTTGTTAATCGCACAACTTGTTACATCTCTAGATAATATTGTTTAATTACCTTTTTTATCCGAACACTTTTATCATTTGTATTTTAACACAGCTAATATGTAACGAAGGAAGAAATTAAAGGCTGAAACAGAATTGAATATACATTCTATGTATTTGTATCGTATCTTTACTGATTTAGCTACAAAATATTTTATTTTAAAATGTGAAGTGAAACAATCATTCCATCTGTTTCAGATGAACTGAGATAAGTAAAGTTAGTGAAATGCAAGTATACCAAATATTCAAATTCAAAAATACTCAAGTTTAGCAAATTTTCAAATGCAACTATACCAAATATTCTAATTAAAGAATATCAAATATTTTAATTCAAGTAGATCTCTCTATACCAAATATTCAAATGTAAGTTTACTAAATATTACAGTGTAAGTATACCAGATATTCTAATTCAAGTATAGCAAATATTTTAATGCAAGTATACCACACATCTGAATGCAAGTATACCAAATATTTGTTATAATGGACAATAATCTGCACATATGTCCATCATGCTATCTGATTAATATCTAAAGATTTTATTAATGTGACCTGATGTTTGAGTCCTGGGAGATTGCTATTGTGTTAGCTATGCTCAGCCATTTCACACAAAACCCGATTAACTTTTGATTATATTTATGATCGAGGTTATACAGGTGTCCATATACAAATACCCGTTATCTCGCCTGAGAACGATACTGACCACAATGATAAAATTTTGAATTGAATTTCACTTATAATTCTAGTTCTGTAACAATAGACCGTTGAACAAAAATAGAAAATCAATTTTATAAAATTTCCAGCATTTATGTCAGAAAATAATAATACCAGTCAAGAAATGTGTCGTAAAAGTACTGTTATCGGTATAATTGAAAGACTTAGAATTTCTCGCTGGCAAAACTAGTAATGAAAATATTTTATAGATTAAAGGATAAAATATTAAATTAATAAGAAATCATAATTTCACACAAAAGCAGCATCAATGATAGATATATGTACCAATTATTTTTGTTTTCCCCCTTTTCTTGTTAGCTTTTAAAAGCGATGGGCGCACATACTAGAAATGGGAACAGAATCCACAGCTCAGAGAGGCAAGTTATTTAAATTACGAAATCTTACTACTCGACCACGGAGGCCGTCTATCACAGATGCGTTCAAGTACCACAACCATTTAAGGTTCGTTGAATATTCCGAACAATTCAATATTATTCCAATCATTTATCTATTATTTATTATTAATCAAGAAACTCACGTTGTGTTTGATGAATGTAATCCATTTTTCTAATAACATGCTTTATCAGTTAAATTACACGCATCAGTTAACAACTGATTGTAAATACTAAACAACGTTGATTTATTGAACTTTTATCATTTTATCTGGAACGGTTTATTTTAATTTTCACCAAATATTAACGTTAAATTCTCACAAAAATCACGTTACTTTAATTCCGTCTCAGACATATAAATCCGGAAGTTTGTATTTCTCGATATGACGTTTCTATAGAAACAGAATATTACTCGTAAATATCAGCTTCATAAAGAGATAACGAGCACGTGTTTCGCACGTTTTCTGTAACTATTATTATTTCTTTTCATTCCCTGACAATTTTAACGAGGTGAAAAATAAAAACGTTCAAGTGAACATGTATTTAAATCATCATAATGTAAGAAGAACAAGATAACAAGAATCAACAACTATTAACATTTTTCAAAAATACTTTTACAGTAACTTATGTCCCTATACACTAAAATTTAGTTTGGTATTAAGTGATTTCTTTATAGTACAATCTGATAATCTATATTTTCACTTAGTCTATAAAGTTAACCTTTTCCCTTATATAAGCGTGTTTCGACGGCTTTTTGACCCCCCCCCCTTTTTTAGGCCTCAAACAGTGAAAAAATGTCCTATTTAGACCCCAAACACTGTTTTTCGTTTGAGAAATGTTGTAAAAAAAAGTGACCATTTTTTCGGCGCCGTCCCCCATCCAAATAATACATCAGGGGGTTGCCAGAAGGGGGATGTGCCCCCTTCTGTTTGGGGGGTTTGAAGGGGGGCGGAGTCCCCCTCATCGCCAAGAAAATTTTGGACTTGTGAGAGGCTTAAAATGACCCCAGGTTGATCATAAGGTAACGTGTAACCAACGCTGAAAAGCCTTTGACTCTATCTCAATCCCTTGAGAAGTTGCAGCACTTTGAAGTAAATTTTGATGGAAAAAATCGAGGCAAAAAAGTGATTTTTGGCAATTTTGAGATGTCCCCTCGTTGCCATGGTAACAGGAAATTTAAGACTGAGCATGTCGTTACAAAGGCAATGGTCCAGTCAACATTTGTGCCAAGTTTGATTAGTATTGAAGCATTTTTCATAGTTTCATAGCAGTTTGAACTTGTTACAGGAGGCTTTTCAGTGAAAATGGCCATTTTTCACAATATGCTCATGGGGGAAAGGGTTAAGTAAAAAAATTATAAATGTTACAAAACAACAATTTTTCACCAAAATTAGGTAAAAGACCACATGTTAACATGGAAAAACTTGATTTTGGGTAATTCCAAAGGTTTTTCATCATTTTTTGTTAACCTTTTCCCTTATATAAGCGTGTTTCGACGGCTTTTTGACCCCCCCCCCCCCTTTTTTAGGCCTCAAACAGTGAAAAAATGTCCTATTTAGACCCCAAACACTGTTTTTCGTTTGAGAAATGTTGTAAAAAAAAGTGACCATTTTTTCGGCGCCGTCCCCCATCCAAATAATACATCAGGGGGTTGCCAGAAGGGGGATGTGCCCCCTTCTGTTTGGGGGGTTTGAAGGGGGGCGGAGTCCCCCTCATCGCCAAGAAAATTTTGGACTTGTGAGAGGCTTAAAATGACCCCAGGTTGATCATAAGGTAACGTGTAACCAACGCTGAAAAGCCTTTGACTCTATCTCAATCCCTTGAGAAGTTGCAGCACTTTGAAGTAAATTTTGATGGAAAAAATCGAGGCAAAAAAGTGATTTTTGGCAATTTTGAGATGTCCCCTCGTTGCCATGGTAACAGGAAATTTAAGACTGAGCATGTCGTTACAAAGGCAATGGTCCAGTCAACATTTGTGCCAAGTTTGATTAGTATTGAAGCATTTTTCATAGTTTCATAGCAGTTTGAACTTGTTACAGGAGGCTTTTCAGTGAAAATGGCCATTTTTCACAATATGCTCATGGGGGAAAGGGTTAAGATTGCCCTGCGTTCTCCTCTGCCGCTTTTCTCTATAATAACGGCAATGGTCCCCAACAGGACCAACGTTCGTATTATAAGGTCCTAAAGATGCTAATTACCGTGTTTGGTTCTAGTAATGGTTAACATTTTAATGCCCCGTATGAAGGGCATATTTTTCTGGTCGGTCTGTTTGTCAAAATACCGGGTGGGTTAACTTGCAAAAATTCTTTTAAGGTCAAAAGGTGACTTACAAGCGTTTATGGTGGAGGAATACCATTATAATGGACAGGAGCAGGTACCTGTATAGAACCACTGGCGGTCTGTTAGAATAGTTGACAATAATAAAGTCTTTCGAGAACCTTCAAACTTCACTTGTGCATGCATCTTTATCGCATGACCCACTTAGAGGTCACGGGACCAAAGGTCACAGTAACCGGCCACCGCCCCCTACTTTTGTCTTTAAGGGGACCTAAAATGTACAATTCGAAGTTGCAGCTAAAATGTCATAACCGTGCAACTTAATGCAAATATTGCCTAGCACTTTCAAGGCACTTTGCTGCTATCATCTGATGGCCAGTATCATATACACAGGCATAATTGCTCATCCTGAATATTTGCTTCTGGTGAGATTAAAATCAATGACTGTAACCTTGCGACTTATCAATCTATATGTATATTATATGAAGACTGGGAAAATCAAAATTATTTAAAATAATGTTTTCAATTTTATTAGTCAACAGTGACAAAAATGAACATATTAACAATTGTAAAGAAATACAGGTCATTTAAATACAATATGTGTGACTAGCAAATGAAATACAAATGTACGTAAATTTCAAACTTTCATATAGCTAGCTTTACATACATCCAGTATTACATTTGTACTCTAATAAACTCATAAAGCCATACATATAATGCTTGTAAATACCTTTATAGTCCAATAATACATATGTACTTTAATAATGTATAAGTCATCTACTCTATCTATCTTACAATACATCTGCACTCCAATTCTAAATCTTTAAAACAATAATAGTTTTAAATCAAATGTACTCCAATCAAACCTTATATACAATGTATGTTTTAAAAACATAAATTCTACACAAGTACACATACACTCAAATAATACATCTGTACCCCACCAATAATTCATATGTACTCTTACAAAAAATACATCTGTAGTTCCCAAGTAAAACATATGTACATGTATTCTGCCAGTAGTACATATGTGCTCAACTAGTGATACATCTGTACTTTAGTTATACATCTGTACTACAGTAATACATCTATCATACATTAACACATCTGTACCACACTAGTAAAGCAAATTAACTCTTGTAATACATCTGTAGACCAGAAATACATCTGTACACCAGTAATACATCAGTGCTCAAACAGTAATACATCTGTTCTCCAGAAATACATCTGTACTCCAGTAATACATCAGTATTCCACCAGTTATACATCTGTAATCCTACAGTAATACATCTGTAGGCCTACTCCTACAGTAATACATCAATACTCCAGAAATACATCTGTACTCCAATAATACATCTGTATTCCACCAGCAATACATCAGTATTCCACTTGTAATATATTTTACATCTGCACCCCAGTTATACATCTATACTCTAGTTATACATTGATCTGTATTCCACCAGTTATACATCTGTGCTCAATAACATGACAAATGAGACAGATTTCAAAGTAATTACTGAAACTATATACACAAATCACAGTTGTTATTTCTAATAAACTAGTACACACTCTATTTTAATATTTCACTGGTCAACAGGTCATTCATATTGATTTGTATATTTGTTTTAAACAATAACTATGCAAACAATATATAAATAAGTCAACCAGTGACACAAAACTTTCATATTAGTACTATTTCCACATAATTTTTATTATTTATATGATGTTCACATCTTTACTTCATCTAAATAAGATAAATGATAAAATATACATCTATTTTTTATAAAGCTAATTTTGTGCAAGGTTTCCATTTGCACGTCCAAGGTTTCCATTTGCACTATTTTTGTTGATACATTTATATACAATTTTGTAACTTCAACAAACAAACAAGAGCTTATAAAAATGTGGAAATATACATTCTAAATTAACTAATACATGTATTTCAATAGATATATTTTAAAAAAAGAAGGAAAAAAAGTCTTCCAGTGAAGTAAAAGAGCTCACATTCCTGAATTATATACACAAGGCCATTAACCAATATTGCATTTGAAGTTCTATAAACATCAAATCAGTGAGAAGAAATATAGATAAAATTGTGTCCCTACATGGATGACAGTGGGCCCTGAAGTGATAGTAGTTGACAATAATAGTGTACTTCTATTTATATAAATAATACAACATTTATAAAAAAAACTCCCAAGAAACCTGTACATAGACATACTATAATTATCATTTTTATCCGTGGAAGTAAGTATGGCAGTATCTATATTGCACTTGTTAATAGAATCAGTCATAATTACAGTGTCTTAATTGTAATACCAGTATTGTCTTATCACATTTTTCTGATGTCTTAGAGTATATCTAATAATTTTAACAATTAATCATTATATCACATTTATAAAAAGAAATCATATCACAGACAATGTGACGTTTAACATTAAATAATAAACATATAAATTAATTATACACTATACCATGTATACAGCCACATATACATGTTTTGTTACATACACTGACCTGTGCTAATATAGACCTCTCAGCATTTTATATATCAGCATGCACAATCCATGCTACTTAAACCTGGTGCCAGCACTTATCAGCATTCCTACTATAGAAGCCTGGTACCAGATTTCTGCATACACAAGCCTGATAGCAGTACTATATATTTCAACATTTCATATTTCTGTACATACAATCCTTTCAATACAAATCTGAAACAAGTACTTATAAGCATTTTATATTTCTGTACAAAAAATCCTTCTTACACAAACCTGTAACAGGCACTGTCATTTCATATATATGTTCACACAATCTTAACTTACACAATCCTGGTACCAACAGGGCTCCTATTAAGTCCAAAAATTTGGAAGTCAGAGACTGCAAAATGTCTAACACTGGAAGCCACATTATATATGTAAAGAAGGAAAAAGGTTAACTTTTGGAAGTCACAAGCCAAAATCAGAAGTAAATGACTCCAAAACTTTCACTAATGGAAGAACATAAAATCCTTTCTACACAACCCTTTCTACCAGTATTTCACACAATCCTGTCTACAAAATCTTGGTACCAGTATTTAATATTTCTGAATACACAAGCCTGGTACCAGTATTTAACAATTCCCTCTACAAAAGCTTGGTACCAGTACCTTATATTTCTGTACACACAATCCTTTCTTCACAAGCCTGGAACCAGTATTTCAGATTTCTGTAAAACACAATCCTTTCTACTGTACATAAGCCTGGTTCAAACATTTTATATTTATGTACACACAATGCTCCTAAAACCTGAAGATCAATATTTATTTGTTATCATACACAAAACTCTACCAGAAATAAATAAATTTAACTTTTCACAATTTAAGGTCTGTGTACACAGAATCTTTTCCAAAAAAAAAAAACAAACCTGGTACATGTATCGGTATTTGTTATTTCAATACACAATTCCTGTCTTTCCTTGCAACAAAATATTCTGATACCTGTATTTATCACCATTTTATATTTCTGGTTCTACAGGCACAACCCCTACACCCACACCACCTTCGTGCACTGACATAGGCTTCACAAATGTCCACGTATCTTTTTCTGGATCATACATTTCAACAGAACTTAGATTACCAGCCCCATCATAGCCACCTATTGCATAGATTTTCCCGTATGTTGAAACCAGGGCAACTCTGCTTCTTTTAACATTCATGTCTTTGACTGGTGACCAGCTTTTTGTTATAGGATCGTAACATTCTACTGACTTTAAGAACACGGAGCCATCGTAACCTCCGGCAGCGTAAAGTTTGCCATTTAGTGATGCCACGCCCAGTCTACAACGCTTTGATGTCATAGACGGCAAATATCTCCATGAGTTGGTAGATGTGTTATAACATTCAACCTAAGAATAGACATAGACTACTTACTTTTCTTGACATGATTTTATGTTTAAATATCAAATATTCTAAAACAGTTAGTTATTCCAATTATTGTTTGTCAGTTAAAGAGAGTAGACCTGAAGCAAAACAAAGATTTATTTGCACTGAATGGAATGCAACTATTAGATGGTCATCATCAAAATTTTACTATGATCAAAAACTGAAGTCAAATTTTCTTGCTAACTCTATTATGTCCATCATTACATAGAGGATATTTGTTTAGATGGAAATATATATTTCACACTGTAAAAACCAGATGTAAGAGCTGGTGTTCACGACTGAAATATAATTTGATCGTACATACAATACAAACAGGTTTTCTATTCATTTCATGCTTTTTATTGGTTTGAAGTTCGCTCTCATTAGTGACGTCATCAAATCATGACAAATTATGTTACATATATGAAAATGCTTTGTTCAGATATGCATGTGCATCTCGTAATGAAGCACATTTTACTTACAAAGGCATGTATTTCTAATGATATTTCCACTTATTTAAGTCATTTTCTTTTCATCCACTTTCAGATGCAGTCTGGCAAATGTGAATATTTATTTACATTATATAATTTCACGGTAAAATTATAAGATTATTTCACGGTCAACTGAAAAGCATTTATAAATACGTGGATTTGTACTGTATTATGTAAACTATACAATCTGAAGTAAAACTGGGTCTGATAAAATCAAAAACTTACAGAATCAAATATGGACAGACCATCATGCCCTCCACAAGCATAAATCTCCCCATCAAGGACAGTAACTCCTGCAGCACTTCTATGCTTCAACATATTAGACAATAATGTCCAGCTGGAAAAAAAATGTCAAATTCATTATACTACAGGTTTTACAAACATAGAAAAAATATATATGTGCACTTTCCTCAGTTGCTGGACATTAATAATAAAGACAATTCCTTCATTTGCAATACATATCTACTAACATAATATAATGACAGTAAATTTTTGTTCAGTTAATTGATTAACAAACAAATCAGACAAATGTTGTAAATGAAGTGTTAATCTTACGTGCATATTGAAATGCAAATAGTTCAGCATTAAATAACATAAATATATACTCAGTAAAACAAAGAGTTGCAAGAAACTTTACACTCATTACTAAGTACTGGTTAGTTCCATGAAGGGATTCCAATTTTTCAATAAGCTTATAGGTTCCAGCACAATTAAACTAAAATAAATTTGTATAAACTTAAGAAACTGCTATCATCAAAAAGCCAAATACTTGCTTTAGTTGTTTATAAGCAATATGTCAATGAAGAGTAAAAAACTTGACAAGAACATTTAATTTCTAAGGAAATTACAAAATGAATGAATGTAAACAAAACTCCGACATACACATTTGTTTCTGGGTCATATACTTCTACTGATCTAAGGGAAGTAACTCCATCATAACCACCAAGAACATACAACTTCTTATTCAATGCAGCAGCTCCTAGGGCACTATAATGTTAAAACAAATTTTACATTAACACAGTAATTATTATAGTATATTCTAAAATTCAACCCTATTCTGTTATAACAGGTTAAAACTTTTCACTGATTTAAGAAGTGAACTCAGATAAAGATAACATCCTCAAGTTGACAGTTAAGAAATGATTCAATATAAATTAACAGGAATCCACCGAGCATGTAATTACTAGTGTATATTATCTTTACCTGCCTTTAACTTTGCAGTAAGAATGCCTTTAACAGACTTCACCAATCATAAATGTAGTTAATTAGACAGTTAAGGGAATTCATTTTCAGACTACTATAAACAAGAAGCCGATAGACTAGAATAGAGCCTGGTCAGGCAGTTAAGATGTGAAAGGTGACAAAAATTTGTCTATAAACCGCGTTGCTAGTGCTATAATGGCAAAGGGTCATTCATCTACCTTCTTTTACAATTCATGGAAGCAACTTTTTTCCATCGTTTAGCGTCTTGTTCAAACACTTCTACCGTACTCAACCTGTCCTGACCATCATACCCTCCTATAGCATGCAGCATTCCTAAAATAATATAAAATATATACATTATATATAAATATCTTATGTCAGCATATGGCAACCTAAGAACAGAAAATGCAAACTAAGGTATGACAATCTATTTTAAGGGCTGACAATATAATTGTTACATATACTGCCATATAGTTATCTTCCTACACACAACAAAATTGAGTAAATGAAAAAACTCCTTTTTTCTTAATCATTTTTAGTCAAAAATCATCCTATCAGATATCTGTTTGTAAACATAATTAAACACAATTTTTCTATATGCAAGGGAGATTATTACTGAATGATTTTTGCTAAATGATTAAAGCAGTTATTTACCCTTACATTTATGACTGCACGCATGTAATGAGTTTATATCATTGTGAACAGTAAAGTGGTATAAAAATTAACAACCTCAAAATCACCTGAAGACTTTTCATATTATTCTGAATGTGATATATTTTGTGTTTACCATTCTAGGTCTACAAAAGTGTCATCATGCCATCATATTTCTTATAAATCAAGACATATGAATAAATTTTCATTCAAAATTGTAATCTTTATTGTAAATCATTGCATATGAATATTATGTCAAGGAACAGTAGCTTTTCTTTCACACTGACATTATATTATCATTTTCAGTTTTGATTCTTTTTACTTATATATAGACATACCATTGAGAACAGCTACACCGACCCTGCTCCTTGTTGTACTCATAGCTTCTGCCACCATCCAGCGACTTACTAACGGATCATAACACTCTACAGCACTTAGTGAATCACCTGTATAAAATACAGTCAAACCTTTGTACTGTGACCCTATATAGAGCAATTACCTCTTGACAATAACAGAATTATTCCTTCCTATAAGTAAACATTTGCAATAAATCTAACCTCTATAGAGCAACACCTCTTAACAGCAACCAAAGTCATTTTGTATCATATGGTGTTGCTCTGAAGACTTTGTAAATTTTAACAAGCTTTCCACTATTCCCCTATCAAACAGGGCAATCAAGTGCATTATGCACAGAATATAAATGGAATGCTTCCATGTCATATGACAGCAGATATAATGTCAATAAACCAAATGACAGAAAATTACTTCTTTGCACAATGTTGTTTAACATATTTTTATCAATTCTCTATTTATGAGAACATGTATATATGAATGGAAATAGATATTGCTTTTTCCTGCATTATAGAATAATAATGCATGGTTTATCTTTCCAGTGATTTGTAATCAATCACTTAGGCTTACTGGCCTTTGTGGTTATATTTGTGCACATCTGAACTTGAACTGTGCATTATCTTACAACAATACACTCAAAATTGATATCTATTTCCAAATCTAATTCTTCTTTTTATAATTTGCAATAGCTAAATCTAGATTAACCATTACAATGCTATAAGCATTTGTTTAATATAATAGACCTTTTATCATAAATCATTTATGAGTTAGGAACATGATAAATACATTAAACTGATCAACTATGTACCTGTAATATTTCAAAACTTATAAAAACAATATTTGAATTTGAAAACAGCAATATTCTTATAATTTTTTTTAAATGTTGTACATTAAGAATGAGTCCAATTGAAGGGGGATGGTTGTTTTAAAGACTGACCTGAGGATGTAAGACCACCAACAGCATATATCATGCCTGGAATATCAGTACAGCATCTAGGTCGAGCTTTAAATGTCTGCAACAGATGACGTCTTTCTGGCATCAAGTGATAATCTCTGGCAACATCTAATAAGTCCCTGTGATAATACATTTAATGTGATAATTTATTTCAATCTTAATTTCATTTTGTTTGATAGCAAAATTAAAATGGCACATTTCCAGCATCAATAGTGGAGGAAGTATCATACAGGTATCATACATACATTTCTCCATACATTATTTCAGGTATTAGAGGTCACCAGATTAGAACCATGGGCTTTAGTTTCTGGCTCACATGAAAGAATCCACTGTTAATGAACCATTGTCTTCAAAGAATGAAAATAATAGGTAAGCAAGATTTTAAAGTTGCAAGTTATTATTCGAGGGGGGCACATTGATTGGGCAATGAATATTTCATTTCATGATAAAAATATAAGAATGTGATTGTGAGAGCATACTAAAAATTACTATGATTTGCAATCACTACCTGTGTAATTACAGTAAAATATATATCGATCACTGTGGTATGATCATTATATGATGATAACAATGTGGTGTTAAACAGGGTAATGTTACAACTTTAGAGATGATCACTACTGTATATCATTTGACTATAATCAATTCTGATGCAGTTACTGTTGCTATCATCTATGTTCTCTACTTTTTAAGTAGATATAATAAGTTTTGTGTATTGGACAAAATAAAAGAACTTAATTGTATACTGGTAACTAATTCTAACAATCAAGGAAATAAATAGCACAATTTTGTCTGAATAAACTGACCAAGTAAGGGTCAAGTAGACATGCTCAAGTTGTTTACCATACCTGCATTTATGATCTGATTTTACAAGTTCCTCAGAGGCAACCCTGTCACTTAGATACTGTGGGGTGAGAAGGGGCAGTCTCACTTTGGCAATCAGTTCTGGCAGAAATTCTTGTCTATTATATACATCTTTCTTTACCCACTTTAATGCTGCTTCATAAACCTGCAAATATATATATTTACCAGTTATACACTGTACACAATGATAAACAATATTTTTTGTCAATATCTATGAAAGTATATATAACTACTGCAATGTAAACTATTTGTTGCCACTAATATGATAAACCTGTATCAATATTGGTAATTTGTTACCTCTAATAGTATACAATTGCAATGTTAGCAATTTATTAGCAGGTGCTGCAGTGTTTGCTATTGGTTACCTTAGAAAGTAAACATTTATGGGAATGTACAACTATGGCAGTGAGTCAACTGTTATCTCTAAGGTATAAACACTGCCCCGTGTTAAAAGTTACTTAAATTGGTGTTTAAGGTGGTTTCTCACATTAAAAAATGTTGATTAATAGTTATAACTCTGAGACTATATATAATACCATTAGAAATTAGCCAATAACAAAAATGTGTATTAGATGGAAATCTAAAGGTATATAGGTTCATGTGTTATTTCTTAAAAATAGGTACAAAAATATTCTTTTCAATGTCATGTCTGTTCAAATACTTTTTTACTCTAGCCTGTATTGCATAGATTTTACAGAATCTTTTAATTTAAGCTTAATTTCTTCAATTCTTAACATTTTAACAAAACAAAATATAATTAATTCACCTGTTCCTCAGAATTTACATTAAGTTCATCACGTGACAGTATTTCTACAACATCATTTTTTGAGAGATTCATATATTCCTCTGATTTGCCCACTTCTTTGAAATGTTTCTGGATATATTTATTACAGGCTTCTACAAGATTGGTACACATGTATTGGTCAGCAAATGACCGTACACCAAGACAGTTCTGTGGATGAAGCCTACAATAAAGAAAATTTGAAAAACATATACACTTACATGTAAAATTTTAAATGGGGAAAAAATTTCACTTTTAATTTTTCCATAAAAAAGTAAAAACCCTAAATTTAAAATGTTAAAAAATGATTATTTTAAAATTTTTAAAGGGCCAAAAAAATATATAACAGAAATTTTTACTGATCAAATGAGTAAAACTGAGCACTAATCAAAGGCTTTTTATAAAAGATTAAAAAACTTTAAAAAAATTTAAAAAATTTTGCATTTTGCAAAAAAAGAAAAATAATATTTGAAATTATTGAAGGGGGAATGTAAACTAAGATAAAAGTGACCATGCTTAATAGCTTCTTAACGGTAACAAGGGTTTTATGAAGTGGCTAATAATTTTAGCTAGTTTTTCAAATAAAATAACCCAACATTAAAATTGTATTCAACATTTACAAGGCAAATATTCTTACCAAGAAATAAAGTATTACTAATATGAACAATTGGGCCACACACGACCGTTTGTGATCCTAATATATGATCAAAATTTAATCATTTGTAGAAGGTACTGTGTGAAATCTGATAAATAAGCATTAACTATAGATAATACGCTTAAAATAATTATAGTGACATATCTTTTCTCCAGGAATTCACAGCAAGCATCTTTGACTGATTGTAGATGTAGAAAGCTGGCTGCTATCAGGAGACACTGTACACAGTTTTGATCTATCTCAACTCTACCATTATATGCAAAGTTTACCAATGCTTCTAAGGCACTGAAATTTATACAAGTGTAATAAATACCTTGGGATCATTGCCATGAAGCAACAGGTTCTTCATGAACTTTAAGCAGCAGTGATGCATGTTTCCTGATTCAGTCTAATTTTCATGAAAACTTTGGAAATTTGAAAGTAAAATCTTGTGAAGTCAACAAAAAAGTTATTTATAAATTACAATACACTGCAAACAGCAATTAAACTCCACGTTCAATGTAGATTACGAAAAAGAGGTAAAAATATACAAAAATAGCCCTTACTGTGTTAGTCATGCAGTAGAAATATGGAAATATATAATGCAAAATCAGTCATTAATCGCATATAACACGTAAATTATTATTTGACTTCCTAAAATCTTAGTATCTATTTCTCAAGTTTAATTCTCTTGGAATACTTTTGCACATCTAAAGGCATATATGTATACATAATGTTTTTTATTGTAAATATTACTTGAGCATCAATACTAAAACTTGTATGAAAAATGTACTTACTTTGGATCAATTCCCTGCATACTGATCTCATCTTGTTTTGATTCAACCATATCATGTGTGAACATTGCATGGAAGTATGGAATGCTTGATGCCAATATGATTCTGTGAGCTCTAAACTTCCGATCACCCACCTATAAATATTGGTGAAATTGTATTATTTCAAATATTATATTATTTATGCCAGGTTTGTGACTTATATAAAACATAAAATATGTAATGACATAAAATTATTTTATGTAATGAAAAGAAATTATTCAATATCAATAAAATTAATAAAGGTTGCCAAGACTCATTCCCAAAGGGAGGGCCTGCTTGCAAAGCCAGCATTGCTGTAACCTATCTTCAAAAGTGACGGTTTTGAAAACTTTTCCCGGGAGTACAGCCAAATTATGAATAATAACTTTCCTATTATTTTTGGAGCACGCTGGGAATCACTACCAGCAGGTTTCATGAACTTTATTTAAAAAAGCGTCAGGAACTAGTATAATCTTGGGGTCAGTCTAAAACGCAGACCCATATGCAGACAATATAGTATAGTAAAACGTACACAATATAGCTACAGTGTATTCACAAACTGATCCGTATCTCATTATGGTTCCCATTTAAATTGACATAAAAAATTGAAACACCATGCTGATTAACATCAATCCTAATATAAAGTTTTGCAAAAATACTTTTCCCAAAATGGGACTCTTAAGAGAGTTCACAATCATTTGATAAATACTATTGTAAAATATGTAAATTATCACTGATTCAAGAATATCACAGACTTTAATTAACCCATTTCCATCTACATATATACACGCCTTTTAACACCTCCCCTTTTGATGTCTCAGATGGTGAACAAGAACTGTCGGAGAACAGTAACGCTCGACTATTCAAAAAGTTGTCACAAGGGTGTTTCATTGAGTATAATGATGCTTACCTATATGAATACATATAATTGTCTGAAAAGGTACAAAGGCTTGTTATTAAGATGTTTTACCGAGTTAATCACTGCTTTATTATTATGAATGCATAAAATTGTTCCAAAAAAGGCACAAACCCTTCAGCAGTTGTGGTCCAACAGTGGAGATACCAGATTGCAAGCAAAAACTTCACCTAGAATTTCTTAGTAGAAAAAGGGGCATAATTATGCAAAAAAGCAAATCAGAGTTATGGGACTTGTGCCAATCATCTTAGTTTATCACAGAGAACAAGTCAGTGTGTGAAGTTTCAATCCATTCCCATGAACCCTTCAGTAGTTATGGAGATACTTGCTTACATGCAAAAACTGAACCAAGAATTTCTAAGTCAAAAAAGTGGCATTATTATGCAAAAAAGCAAATCAGTTATGGGACTTGTGCTAATCATCTTCGATGATCACAGAGAACAAGTGTGTGAAGTTTCAATCCTTTCCCTTTAGTAGTTATGGAGATACCAGCTTAAACGCAAAAACTTAACCAAGAATTTCTAAGTCGAAAGGGGCATTTTTATGCAAAAAAGCAAATTATCAGAGTTATGGGACTTGTGCCAATCATGTCACATAATCACAGAGATGAAGTGTGTGAAGTTTCAATCCATTCTCTTCAATAGTTACGGAGATACCAGCTTAAACGCAAAAACTTAACCAAGAATTTCTAAGTCGAAAAAGGGGCATAATTATGCAAAAAAGCAAATCAGAGTTATGGGACTTATGCCAATCATGTTATATAATCACAGAGAATAAGTGTGTGAAGTTTCAATCCCTTCCCTTCAGTAGTTATGGAGATACCAGCTTACACACAAAAACTTAACCACTGGGACGCTGACAAATGGGTGACTGCATTAGCTCAATTATTGTGCGAATAGTTGAGCTAAAAAATGCCTTATTTAGGCCCCCAACACTTTTTATTTGAGAACTGTTGTTAAATAAAGTAACACATGTAACTTTTTCGGCCCGCCCCCTATCAAAAAGATACATCAGTGATGCAGGGGGTGCCTGAGGGTGGATGTGCCCCCTTTTGCTTAGGGGTTTGAAGGAGGGCTCTCCTCATCTTTAAGAAAATGAGAGGCTAAAAATTACCTCAGGTTGATCATAAGGTAATGTGTAACCAGCAAAATGCACAATAATTGATTAGGACAAGGGTATCATACACATGAACTTTTTTCGATGATCAAGTGGGAGATTTTTCTTCAAAAAGAGGTAGATTTTAGAATTTGCAATAAACAAAGAACGAAGTTCGGACATCAAAAATAGGGAGATGTTTTTAATTTGTAAAAATACCCCTTATTTTAAGAAAAATCTTTGAAAATATGGGTGCAGAAAGTGGGAGTCTCCCGCTTAAAGTGGAGAGTTCAGATGTATGGGGTATTTGCGAACGAAAAATAAGGTTAAATCAACTTATGTTATTCTGGTTAGGTTTTGTAACAGGTCTAATCCAAATCTTTAATGCCGCATCACATGAAAAGCAAAAATATTAAAAAGCAGCTTATAAAGTTCTGGAAGCCAGAACCAGAGACATAGATAACAGAGATAAGCAGCTCCTATATATTCCATTGAAATATCACTCATGCCTATCAAAATTTGAAAAATTAGGCATTTTGTAGCAAATAAAACTTAATGGATGTACATTTGATCATTTAATATTATTATTATATACCATTTGAAAGGTAAATCTTTTATCTATTGCTGCATGTTAAAATATTGGTTACTTTCCATGCCTTTCACTTAGAAAAACATGGCAGAACATACCCACTGAGCCAGTTTTTTGTCATATGAATAGTTTTGTAACAAAAATTATTAAGTAGTTCTTTTTAAAAAACTAGAACTCCGCGGGTCGGATGTGTCGCCTTGTGAACAATGTAGTTTAGGAGAAATGGCCAGGACAAAAATGAAATATGAAAAATAACAAAGGGCAATAACTAAAAAAATAATAAGTGCAGAGCAGCAGTTTCTGTGCACTGCACTTCTTATCAATAACATCTATCATTCTATGATGTTTCAAGTCCATAGCTTTCATACTTGAGGAGAAATGACCAGGACAAAAATAAAGTAAGAAAATCAACAAAGGGCAATAACTCAAAAAATAAGAAATGCAGAGTATCAGTTCTTATGCACTGCACTTTCTCTTAATGAGATCTATCATCCTATGAAGTTTCAAGTCCATGGCTTTTATACATTGGGAGAAATGGCCCGGACAAAAATAAAGTATGAAAATTAACAAAGGGCAATAACTCAAAAATTAGGAAGTGTAGAGTACCGGTTTTTATGCAATGCACTTCTTCTTAATGAGATCTATCATCCTATGAAGTTTCAAGTCCATAGCTTTTTTAGTTGAAGAGAAATGGCCCCGGACAAAATTAAAGTATGAAAGTTAACAAAGGGCAATAACTCAAAAAATAAGAACTGCAGAGTACCGGTCCTTGTGCACTGCACTTCGGGTTATTGAAAGAAGCATGCATACCAAGTTTGAAGTCAATCAGACTTATAGTGACTGAGTTATGCTCCGGACAAGCTTTAGGGGGCGCCGACAACGACGACACAGACGCCGCCGACAAAAGTAACCCCTATATGTCACCTTTTCAAGGCGACACAATGATGTTACATTTATTTAAATGGGAACTGTAAATATTTTTACCTGCAGCCATAGACAAATGCATAAGCATAAGTTTTATTTTACTGATTTTGATATCTGGTTAATAAGTTTTACTTGCTACAAGTTTTAAGTTTAGAAGGCATGCGATGTACAATAACTTGGCTAATCAATCAACAATCAACAATCGACATTCAATGTCTAGCTAGACAATCAACATTCAGCTCAACATTCGATCTATAATAATAATCAAACAATTCTCAAAGTGAATGTTGAGCTAGACAATCAACAATCAGCTAGACATTCGAAAATTTCTTATGTCGAGCTAGACAATCAACATTCAGCTCAACATTCGACCTGTAATAATTATCAAAGTATCCTTAAAGTGAATGTTGAGCTAAACAATCAACAATCAGCTAGACATTCGATAATTTCTTATGTCGAGCTAGACAATCGACATTCAGCTCAACATTCGATCAATAATAAAAATCAAAGAATTGTCAAAGTGAATGTTGAGCTAGACAATCGACAACCAGCTAGACATTCAGAAAATTCTTATGTCGAGCTAGACAATCGACATTCAGCTCAACATTCGATCAATAATAATGATCGAGGTTTTCTTAAAGTGAATGTTGAGCTAGACAGTCGACAATCAGCTAGACATTCAGAAATTTCTTATGTCGAGCTAGACAATCGACATTCAGCTCAACATTCGATCAATAATAAAGATCGAGGTTTTCTTAAAGTGAATGTTGAGCTAGACAATCGACAATCAGCTAGACATTCAGAAATTTCTTATGTCGAGCTAGACAATCAACATTCAGCTCAACATTCGACCTGTAATAATTATCAAAGTATCCTTAAAGTGAATGTTGAGCTAGACAATCAACAACCAGCTAGACATTCGATAATTTCTTATGTCGAGCTAGACAATCGACATTCAGCTCAACATTCGATCTATTATAAAAATCAAAGAATTTTCAAAGTGAATGTTGAGCTAGACAATCGACAATCAGCTAGACATTCAGAAATTTTCTTATGTCGAGCTAGACAATCGACATTCAGCTCAACATTCGATCAATAATAATGATCGAGGTTTTCTTAAAGTGAATGTTGAGCTAGACAATCAACAATCAGCTAGACATTCGATAATTTCTTATGTCGAGCTAGACAATCGACATTCAGCTCAACATTCGACTTGTAATAATAATCAAAGTATTCTTAAAATGAATGTTTAGCTAGACAATTAACAATCAGCTAGACATTTGAAAATTTCTTATGTCGAGCTAGACAATCAACATTCAGCTCAACATTGGACCTGTAATAATTATCAAAGTATCCTTAAAGTGAATGTTGAGCTAGACAATCAACAATCAGCTAGACATTCGATAATTTCTTATGCCGAGCTAAACAATCGACATTCAGCTCAACATTTGATCTATAATAAAAATCAAAGAATTTTCAAAGTGAATGTTGAGCTAGACAATCGACAATCAGCTAGACATTCAGAAATTTCTTATGTCGAGCTAGACAATCGACATTCAGCTCAACATTCGATCAATAATAATGATCGAGGT